GTCATCAGTATCTTATAAATTGTAGTTGTTATATATCTGATTTGACGCCTCTAAGATTTTTACTTTATGAACATTTAAAAACTGTAGTTTATACTGACCCATCAATTAGCCTCCATTATTTAAAACCAAAAATCACTGAAGTTGTACGCATACAACTGACAAACAAACAAATTATGGCAGTTACTCAAGATGAAGTTATACAACGTTCGGAAGCATGTTTACAACATAATGGACAAAACTTCGAACAATTTATAAGATAATGATTACTAATGAGTATTTTGTGTTAATAAATTGTTTAATATAAAATTAATTTAATAATAATAAAATAATTTTGTTTCAACTTTAACTAGCTGTATTTCGGCCAATTTTTGAAATAAGGAAAAAGTCCTTGTTGGAAATAAGCGTTTCCATTTTAAAAAAATACAAGTTTTATTGCACATGGGTACACTGAAAGGGTAAGAAATTTGAAAATCCATACAAAATGTGTAGTTCAGTATTTCTTGTCTTCTCTTAAAAACCCCATTTCAATCCGAGGTCAATAGACAGAAATATTTCGTGTTACCATTTGAGTGAAACACACTGTATATCATGAATCATAATATTATGTACCTATACATTTTCAAAAATTGTTAGGAAACTTATAAACAAATTTTATTCACACAAAACTGTGGCAAAAACCAGAAAGAGTCGACAATTTCAAATACCTATATTGTTTTAAATTTTTTGAAAATAACTCTAAAAAGTGTTATATGTATAATATTTTACACGTACTTTATTTAAACTCTCTTGGTCTTTCGTAAAAACATATTATTGTGTAATATATAATGTATATAGATGATTTTTCAATGCAATGCACTATACTTTTAATATCAAACGTTACATTCTAATCAAACTCAACCCATCAATAAATTGAAATGTATACTCATAGTCCTATTATTTACACGCGTCCGAGTACAATAAACCCATCGCCTGTTATATAGTTAATTTATATTGATCAATGTACTCATATACTGCCACAGTGTTGAACACAATAATAATAATACGAAGGCTACTCGTACTTTTATACAACGATTACAATATTATAATATGTATAATAATATACCACTCTGACTCTATTATATATATTATACACTGGTATTTTAATAATTAATATAATTTAATCGAAACAAACGCGGATTATTAATTATTTGTTAATTTATATACCCTATATGTATTATGCATATTATATACTATAATGCACAGCCAAAGACATGGAACCTTAACACTGTTTTCCATATCCGTTACATCTAACCAATCTTAACCTCAACCTACATATAATTGTAGTTACTGCGAGTATAAATAATCGTTGCTCGGTATGTGTAAATTTATCAAAATATTGAATAATATTTCATTTATTTGCACAGTTAAAAATAAAAATTAGTATCTGTTTGTATAATTACTAAATATGATTATAATGGGTACCAATTCAATTATTAAAACATAAAATAAAACGATATGAAACTAGTATGGGTATCGAAAAACTATTTACTCTTTCAGTGCCAAAATATTAATAGGAACATAATCAATCTCTTGTCATTTTTCGATTGAAATAATATTTCTGGTAGAAAACTTAAGTATAATACAACGAAAACAATAAAAACTGTAACGTCGCGGCGTGCCGTAAATATTTGTCGTTTTACCTATAATTTTCTGTCGGTTTTTTCCAATTATTTCGAAAACCCCTTAGAAAATCAAAATATGACCTCCCAATGCACTAACTAAAGAAAGTTAACTTTCAGAAAAAGTGCTATAGTCTATAATTCGGAGCAAATTTTCTGATACAAAAGTTGCTGAAAGACAGAAAAATAAAAAAAAAACACACATCATATCTAGTAAAACCTGTAATAGATCCCTCGCGCTATGCTCAGAATCTAAAATAGTATATTTAAAATGACTATAAATAGCTTGAGAATATTTTCAGTATGTTTTGAAAATTTAACCACGTCTAGAAAAAATCAATATAAATTTGTTGTCAAAATTTTTAGTCTACGAATAGTTTTAACTGAAATACAACAAAAAATCAAAATTGAAAATAAAGATACCATTATTTCCGTAGACTTCCCCCATTCTTTCTACATTTTTTCCTGGTTTTGCTCAATTATAAAGAAAACTACATGAAAAATTAAAAACGACTTTTATACTTGCCAATTAATTAAAAATGTAATAAAAAATGCTTTTATTTGTAAAAATTAAAAATAATAAAATCAATAATTACGTGGTGCACCGTAAATATCTGTCCATTTTTTCCTATACGTATTTTTTTGGTTTAATTATTTTGGAAAAAAATTATTTCCCTCGTGCATCAACAAAATCAAAATTTGCAATACGAGAAATCATCCCTCAATTTAATGACCAGAACAAGATTTCCGGTAAAAAAAGTTATGCACAGGCAAATAAAATATTAAATAAATTATTTACACGTCATAATATAAAACCAGAAATGCTCTGCAGAATCTAAAAAAAATGAAAACATTTCTAAATATACGAACTGTGGAGTGCTAGTTAGGTACCCAATTAATTGTTTTTATATACCAACTGTTAAATATACATTTTTCATTAAAAATATTATTAATATAACGTAAGTTTTATGGAATTAACATAATATAATGAATTAAATATTTTAAATGTCATCGAATTGTATGCAAAACAAAATATGTTAATACGATAATAAATAAAAAGCCATTCTCGAACGCATTTTTAACATAGTAGTATAGCAATTTTTTTTATGGATAACGGTATTATTTAGTTAAAACTATGTGGGGTAATATAAATATACATACCGACCTAACCCAAGAATCATCATAATGTAACAAATCGCATTAAAAAATAACTTTAAATAACAAATAATAAATAACCTCATAAAGTATAAATCAAAAATGCATCAAATTATTAAAATAAAAAAAACAAACTGATATACTTTGCACAATGGGTGGGTCATTGTAGTAGTTGAAAAGTTGGGAAGGTAGAGGAAAAATTTAATGTATATCTGTACGCAAAGATTAATCATTGTTAACGAAGAAAAACAATTCTGAGTGGAGTTTGATTATACATGTTTTGAAAGGCCGTAATTTGAAAATAATAAATTTTCCCGTTTTTTCCCATTTATTATAAAAACCCATAAAAAACAAATAAATGACTTTTCTAATGTACCACACCAGTCAGATATCCTCACAAAAAATGCTATACTTGAAAATCAGACCAAAATTTTTAGTAGAAACGTTGTTCTCAGATAAAAAAAAATTATAAAAACAAACATCACTATAAAACCAATACATTCCTCATTCCACTCAGAATCTAAAATAAATATATTGTAATTTCTTCTCAAATGGGTGTGAAAGGCATTTGAAAACAAAATGAAATCGACAAATTGTCATACACAGGTTCAAGCTACAATAAGTGAATTCTTAGAACGAATAGTTAAAAAAAAATTCCAACAAAAACGTTAAAGTCTCCCGGTTTTACACAATCAAAACCGTATAAGAATTTATAACTACGTTGCGGATGGTCAATTACTTAAGATCTAATACATTATTTTATGAGATTTCTTAATTATTTTATATTTTAATCGTTTGACCGATTTTGAACACATCAACGAAATTGATTTTACTATAATGATTAGTGTTTTTTAAAAATTTTTCTACCGGAAATATTCCACCGATATAGTATAGCATCATTTTCTAAAAGTAAATTTTATCTAGTTGGTAGGTTGTATATTTTTTGGTGGGAAAGTAAATTTTTTCTTTTCCTTGTATAAATATTAATCATTCAAAATACTTGAGAAAAACGTAGAAAATCCGAACAAATGTACGGCAATGACAATTTTTTTTCTTTTAAATTTGGAGAGTAGCAAGTAATCTATTGATTTTGCTATGATGTATGTTTTTATATTATTATTTTGCCTATAAATAATTTTTCAAAAAGAAATCTTGCTCGGATATATCAAGTGTATCACCTTTTCTGAAAGAAAATTGTATCTAGCTGGTGCATCAGACAAGTTATTTTTGGACTTGAGGTCATGAGGTAAATGAAAATAAAAAGTTTAAACGTCATAATATTCAGAAGAATTTGTTTACGAAAACATAAAATATTATCTTTTACATAAAAATTGAATTGAAATATGAATATTTGTTGTCATTACCCCTGTGAGTTGTATAAAAAAAAAAATAGAATTTGAATATCTTCATTATCTCAGAAGAAATTGCAATCGGTGTATCTGCGTAGGATACTATTTAGCTAAACCATTAAGTCAATATTTTATTACCTTATTTTGCGTTATATTGCATGTTTTAATAAAAAAAAAAAAAAAAAAACATGATATTTAAGAATGTTATCGGTTTTTTTTGGTCATATCCTATCCAATTAGGTTCATATATAACCTGTAATAATCTTATTGATTTTAAAAAAATAATAATAATAGTATAACATTTTAATCTTTACGATGAAATTTAATTAAATTCAGAAGATTTAGCAGCAGAAGAATTTCGTATGTGACTAAAAAAAGTAAATTTGTGTATTTATTAGAAGAAAAAAAAAATTTTTAAAAATCCATCTCTTATAACATCACAAAACCACTTAAAACCAAAAATCAAAAAAAAAAAAAAAATAATAATAATTTAATTTGAAATTATACGTACACTTATACGATACGTACATTATTATTTAACATACTTTGTGTATGTATGTGTTAGATGCTACATTATAATCACGGGGAAATAAGCCTCCTACACAATCATAATAACATTATAAGGTGGTCGTTATTGTATGCTATTATTGGTCGGGCGATTCGCGAAAATAAAAAACCCAAAACGACTTAGCGGATCGGCAGAGGCACAGTGGACATTTTGGTTGAGTGGAAGGGGAACGGTGCGGCGCGTCCACTGGTTGTCATGCCGACAATGATCGGGTGCCGGCCACGATCTTAGGCGGATGGGTTCTGGGAGGAAGGATCTCGCAGCTATTTGTAGGGCGCCGAATGGATCGTGTTGCGAATTCAGTCGTCGCGACGCTCAACGAGTGATACTGTTCCGGCCGACAGTGACCTCAACAGTCGCACATACGGTATACACGCGTATAATACACGCGCGTTCGTCGTTTCGCGGGTAAGTGAACAACTGTTTATATTTTTTTACTAAGGATTTTACCGACCATTACCAAATAATATTACTATCGTTAAAAATAATAATACGACGTTTACAATAGCTGTTAACGCGTTCAGGAAAAATATATGTAAATATTACTATAATTATTATATGTATTTCTATGTATTATAAGGGATTCGATTTTAAAAGTGGAAATATCTACCAATCATCGTAGTAATATTATTTGAATGACAATATTCGACGATTATCGACTTGGGGGATTATTCGATATTTTAATATTTCGTTAATAATATTAAATATTTTTTCAATTGTGCATATTACGAAAACATTAAATTCAAAAGTAAAACAACAATTCGAAAATAATACTGAATTACATTTATGAAATATAAATCCAAAATAATATTGTTTTATTGTGTGTGAAAAAACCTAACAAAAAAGAAAATGGGTAGATTTGTACAAGTTAATAATTTCAAATAAAACCAGACAAAAATCAGTTTTACTTATTATGTACTCGCTTTGTACCGACCGGGATTTTTTTTGAACATAATATTTCGTCAATTTTTAAATAACTCAATCAATATAGTGTATATAGAATTTTGAATATTTTTATAAAATTACATCACTGAATAAACTGCATAAAAACACCAACAGGAAGACATTTTTAGGATTAACTTATTCGATCGATATTACAATATTTAAAATTGAACAATCACTTTACAACTATAATTAGATACTACGTTTATTATTTTACCAATATCATTAAGAAATTTATCATACGCAGTAAAATAACAATCGCATTTTTTGTTATTCAACCGTTATTGAACTGATGTATATATATTATTTTATATAATATACGTCTCTTTTTTTTCGATTCTGCATGTAGTGAAGAACCTGTTAATAGTTGTATTAAAATGTGTTTACCCTCATTTATTATTATTATTTTTTTTTTTTTTTTGAGAAGACTTGATTAGTAAAAACGTATCAAATTATTCGTATTCATATCGTACTTTAAAATTATGCCACACTCGCATCTACTGTCTTGATCTAACTAACAGGTGACATAGCAAAACTGTGTTACTATTATCTCTTATATTACGGCGTTTAGGTTGAAATCAAAGATAAAACACAAATAATACAATTTAAGGAGGAAAATATTTTCTAAGGCTGAACTTAGCTTTTTCTTAAAAAAATACATAGCCAAACAAAATAAAAACAAAAAAGTTTTTTTTTTTTTTTTTTTTAATAGCTATAACGGCCCTCAAAAATATTCTTCTCTTTTTATTTTGTATGTTCATCTTAAATTCTAATTTCAATATAAACGATATAATTTACGTTCTAAGATACGTAATTTTGTTACGTTGCCCGTTAGTTAAACCAAGACAGTATAAATTTAGCGTCCTCTTAAGTAAATGCAAATTTTTCAGTCGTAGTTTATTTGAAAAAAATTCCCAACAGATTTCTATCATACATCTTTAAAATAAATTTAGAACAAACGTCGATACATCGGTTTTATTTTTATTGATTTTCGGATTATCTACTGCAGGACTAAACAAGGAGAAAACAAAGACGTATACCACTTCGCTAAGAACTGTTTCTTTAATTCCACTGATTGATCGTTGCTTTTAACGTTTATCATATATATATATATGGTATATAAATACCTTTTAGTGGCTTTTTTTGTATGAGTTTTAATTAGTTTTAAATTTAACACCCAGCTTACATAACTACATTTAAGTATATCATAGATATGGGAGATTACTTCTACAATAGCTCACGTTCGTCTAAATGATAAAATTCTTGAAATAATTAAGTACCCGATTCATGTGGAAACTTAATATGAAGGTAAACATTTTTGCAGTTGACCGCGATAAACGTGCCTAACTATGTGTGAAGTACCCACACTATTAAACGTCTAAAAACAATAATATTTTTTACCTCGTAATGAACAATACTCATACACCAAAAGTAATAATAATAATAATATAAATTCAACATAATATAATTACGAACCCCGAATTTGATTGATAACAACAGTAATATTATGATTAACCATCATAATGAATCTCAATGTCATCGCTATATCATTATAATATACTCACAAGGTTTATTGTTTGGAAAATGAAAACGTTAATAATTTTTTATCATTATTATTGTATGGTTGGTCGGAAGAGTAGCTCATCCGTTTATTTTTTTTGCGATAACGTCTTTACTACCTGTTAACCCGGACGACACAGTGGCATATGCCGTCTATGTTTTGCTAACGGGCAATACAGCGGAAATGCGTGCACATGCGAAAGAAACGAAAAGACCTTTAAAATCGATATAATTCAGTATGTAGATAACAACAATATTAGAAAAAGTTAAATTTATTTGCAAAAACAAAAAAATTTAAAATACGATTTGTCTTGTACCATCGATAACGATATAGCTGAATATTTATAAAGAAATTGTAAAACACCGACGTTATCTTCTTATAGAAATGTCGTTACCTACGCATTTTTACTACAGATGATTTATCTGTATAATTCCGATTTTTAAAGCAATCTCGCATAGACGTAAATAACCCAAATATTTGTTTAGGAGGGAGAGGCTTGCGCATAATCAGTATTTAATTATTAAGGACTTAATTTGGGACTGGGCATTGACTGAGTTTTGGGGGATCTCCCTTTATGCGCCCTATATGAGTCAATGCATTTTCATTTGTTTTACGCGAACTATACGTGTTTGTTGTGTATGCCCGTTAGAAAGACGGAAATGATAAATGGTTGAATGCACTATAATGGTCCCTTCAGGGGGTTTAAAACAGAACGGGGAATGCCCTTGTCTTTAGACCAATTTTTTGTCCGATCTATGTAGCGAAGCCTGAAAACCTATTTGAATTCAGCATGAAGTGCATATACGAAATCCACCAAACCATTTTTTTTAAAAAAAGAACTAAAATTAAATGGAAAAAGAGGGCTGGCCGATTTCGTATACATTTCACACTATATTCTGATTTTTAGAAATCCGTCGATCGGATTTGTTTAGACATGCGATTAACGTATGTGTTTTGTTTTATAGACAGAGAAACATAAGGGAATTCCCGGTCAGTTTCGAATCCCCTCGATAATATAACTGACGTGATTAACGAAGAAATAACGATATTACCTATACTTATCTATATAATTTTTTTTTACGTCGGTGATGATGCACATTAACGACGACGAACGGAACAAGGAAAGACGAGGTTCGCGCGAACAGTGCGGTATTTATGATGTTTTTAGAATTATTATTATATTATACGCCGATGAAACATGCGCACGAATCGAAAAAGAAAAAAAATTCAAGTTTAGATGAGAATTGCAAAAAAAAAAAATCTAAACAGAAACAACAATATTTTTCACGTGAAGAAACATACTATACTCTGCTATAGAGCGGGGGGGCATGGAAGAGGGGAGACAGATATGTAATATATGCTGTGATAGTATTATAGACAAAAGTAAATAGGTACTCATCGTGGTAGAAAACGTGACCGCCTCGTCGTACAAGGCTGTCGCCGCCGCCGTCGCCGCCGATGACCAGTAGCAGTCCGTAATTAACGATACACACGTGTAATATTGTATTGTTTTTCTTCACGTTCACGGATCGTCCATTTTTATCGATTCGAAATTTTTACCTGATATTGGAAACCCCACCCACCACCGTGAATCATAGACGATAATAAATTGATTTTAAAATTCGCAACGTAAAACCATAAAATACCGTTATACGGCGTCAGGTTTTCAAAATGTCAAGGGGGGAGGATAAACTAAACAAATGGCGTACCCAGAGAAGAGATGTTTAAGTAAGCTTCTGGCCTCCCTACCACATTGGCTGTGTTAAATACAAAACAAAATAATTTAATCTCAATATAATACTTTGCGACATTGTAAACAAATTATTACTAATAAAAAATAATAACCATTGTATAATTGCACTACTTATTCGACAAATTACAAATAATATCGTACTACACATAATTATGTATATGGCAAAACATTTTTTTAGTCTAGCTCTTTGTTTTACTAAATATAAATATAGTATTATACAATAATATATACATATTTATAAAATAAATTGTATGAAGTGTATTAAATATGTGGAAAGAGATGGGTTTTATTTTATACTACGTACTCGAATCACCAGATAGAATATCTCAATCTCAATGTGTCTCTGATAAATGAATGACATATTTGATCCCGGAAAAGAAGATCTAAAGTAATTATTTGGATTTTTTTTATAATTTTGACTAATTAAATTTTTAATCTAAATTGCATAAGCATACATATTTTCAAAATTATTGTATACACTAGGATTAGTGTATTGGTTTATGATGTAGAAAATTATGTATTTAAATCAGTATTCCTAAACCTGGGAGTCTTCACTTCTTTGGGGTCACCAACTAATTATTTAAGATCGCCAAAAATATAAAGTATTGGGTCATTTTGTATAAAATATACATTTGGAGTTTGCTAAAATATGTAATATTAATTTAGGGGATCGTGACAGTAAAAATATTAAGAAACACTATTTTAAAGTATGTACCTAAATTATGTATTTTTAAAATTTCATTCCCTTGTATCCTGTGAGAAATTTATTTCAAGATAATCTTCACTGAGATTAAATAAGATACGTACATATATGGTTTCTTCTCGATTTTATTTATGATTTAGGGCTTGATAGTTATTCAATATGAAAACAATTACATTTTAGTACGCATTTGCTTTTGATTTAGAAAAAATAGACGAAAATATTTTGTTATAGTCATTAATAATATTAGAAAATATTCATAGACAGAAATAGGGAAAAGCTTAGACTTGAACTTAGCCCAGTCCCCCCCTCAAAAAAAAACTCATCCAATCACCCCCTCCCTTCCCAAATCAAGTCTTTATAAAATATACCACAAGCATACATATTCAATATTAATCAGTATTATGGGGTGTCAAGCATGTACATGCATGTTCAAATATTGCTCGTCGTTTTGTAGAAACACAATTTGACGTTATGAATGCAGTGCATAAAAATATATTATTGGGTACGTGTTGTGGGTGACACATGTAGTTCCATAACTGCTACACAAAAACGGTAATATACGGGTAAATCGTTCGCCTGGCCCGAGGACGATTCTCGCACTTAATATTCTACCGATACACTCGACGATTATCATACACACGTAGAACAATTAATAATTCTCGTGTCGATCTGTACTGTGTACGATTTAATAGAAAACGCTAAATCGGGACAATAATTTATATATCGGTGTATGTTTTCCGTGTCGAATTTTTTTGTTAAAATAATATTAAAAAAATTATAAAAAAAACTAGTATATTACACTAAACTACGATGAAGTGACTTTGACAACAACGGTGACGATGAAGTTTGTTAAATAAAGGTAGTGAAAAGCTAATTGTTTTCTTGTTAACTTTTTTAGATTCTGAGTACAACGAGGAATGTATTAGTTTTACAACGATGTTAATTTTTTTTCTTTTCTATGAACAAATTTTCTACTATAAATTTTTCTCTGATTTTCAAGTGAAACATTCTTTCAGAAAGGAAATCTGATTGGGGTAATACTTTAAGGTGATAATATATTGGTTTCCCCAATAAATGGAACAAATCGGAAAAGAACGGAAGAAAAGCGGGAAAATATGTACAATATTAAATAAATATTATTAGAGAAAAAGTTTAATGCATATGTAATTATTTTAGCATAATATGACGTATAAATTGTTGACAACAAAACATCACTATCAACTGAACTCAGCTGAGAATCGTTTTTTCATTAGCAATAGTTAATCGTTACGTATAGATATACATTAAATTTACCCTCTACTACCTTCCAAACTTTTGACCTATAACAGTGGCCTACCCACTTGCGAAGTATGTCCGTATTTTTTTAATTTCGTCCGTACAACTTAGAAACTCATAAATCAACAAAAATAATTATATTTTGGTACTAAAAATAACAATAACTCTATGTCTGCCTCCCTCTTTAATTCTTGAATACGGGGGAAGTAGCCTGTATGTTATTCCTGGTCTAGAACTACATCTATGTAAATTTCAATCCGTTCTGTAGTTTAAGCGAGATGTGTAAACAAACAACATGATATACCCATTCATCTAAATAAATTTTAGTATTTAAAATAATATTAGGTAGGAAGTAAGATATTATAAACTCTGGTATTTATATATAATTATAGTTTTTAACTGTTGATGTTTTCATAAACATCAATTTTAAGACGAATATGGTAATATTAAATTAACAAAAAAAATTTCACAAATTTAATTGATATAAACTACACAATAGAAAAATATCCAATTTAGTTTATTTTTACAATAATATTATCAAATATTGGATATTTTAACTTTTATTTTAAATTCTGAGTGGAGCGAAGAAGCTTATAGTTTTACAAAGATATTTATTATTATTTTTTTTTTATCTGTTAACAACTTTTATTCCGAAGACTTAATTGGATTTTTAAATATAGAACCTATTCTGAAAGGAAATCAGTGTGGGAAGGTACTTTAGGGAGGTAATTTTTCGATTTTCTCAGGAGTTTTCCCAGCAAATGTGAAAAACTGAGAAAAAAACAATATTAAACAAATATTATTAAAGAAAATATATAAAGCCTATTTAATTATTTCACTATAAAATGACATATAAATTGTTGAAAAAGCATCACTATTAACTGAACTCCGCATTGAACTCTAAGACATATTTTAGGGCATTTATAAACAATTTTTAAAGCGTTTTTCGATAGTAACATATTATGTTACTTTGTTAAGTTTTTTTTTTTATTTTCAGTCCAAACTTGATACTGCTCCGACAAAGTTATTTACTGTTCTAAGTGTAAATCAACATTACCTACTTAATCAATGAAAAATCACAACGGGTTTAGATAAAGTGAGAGGGAAAAACTCAAACAATTCGGTCTACGATCGACGGATTCAAACCCAATATAGTTGATTGACATCGTCGGAACGTATATGTTGAGTTTTACAATAAGGTTCATCAGTGGCTTTTATAGGGGAGGGGAGTTTAGTGGTAATGTCCTCCGCCCATTGGCTTAAAAAAACGACTATGAGTATTTATTGAATAATTCAATCAGAAAATTAATATTTTTTAACCAAATTACAATAAAAACCTATTGGGTTTTTTGGACCCGACTTTGGAACTTCCACTGTCAGAGGTTAGGCATAGGCATACAAGAAATATGTCTGCGATTTATTCGTGAGTATTATTATTATTTTGCGCAGGCACGCCATTTAGGTACTTAAAACAAATAACGCCATAACATCCGGCCAATCAGATATTCCATTTTTGTATGAACGATAATATCGCGGTGCGAGTAGGTTAGGTTGTCGTTGTTTTACTGTAAAACGGCTAAATGCACGTGGCCCATTTTCGCCTGGATATTTGCGGCTCGTGACTTGACACTGTCCTGTGGTACACGTTCTACTAGTACACACCTGCCGGCTAAAAACATAACATTGTAATAATAATATAGTACACGCGACCACGCGTAATTATTATGCCGTTAACCGATTCGCAAACTCCTAGGACCGGTGCAGATACGACGGAGATACGCGATGATGAGGTGAGCGATGTATATTCGCAGTCGTTCTCGCTCGGTCGACCAGTCATATAATATTATCGCGATTATTATTGCGAGTAGGTACCTATACAAAATCACGCACTTACCGTGATAATATTATAAACCGAGTCGCGATGAAAACAAACGGGTTTGTCGACCAGTCGTTAAAATTTGCATAATACGTGTATGTACCGTATAGATATCGTATAATAACATTATATACGATATACGCGAAGAAAACTTCTCGAAAAACGCGAATAACCGCGAAAAACGGGTACAGCGGTGTATTTAAGATTTCGCTAAATACATTGAATTTGGAACAGGGGTGATCAAACGGGAGGGAGGGATTGAAGGGATATATCCCCTGTGACCTTTTCCGGACGATGCATAGTGTTTTAAATGATAAAACAAATTTCAAAATATCAAAAACTTATATAAGACTGTTTTTTTCATATTTCCCCACTTATAGAGAATCCGTAATCAGAATTTCGATTTTTGAATTTTTCTACCGATTTTTCCGGCGTTTCGAAGCTTTCTAGACTTTCTGATCTGGTTAGGTGCACTGAAGAAATTGACAAAACAATAATACCGGAAAAATTTAATACTTTCTGAGATATTACGATGGTTATCACTTCGTGAGAAACTGCATTAATCACTTATTATTTTCGATCAAATTTAGTTTGATTTATTCAGAACATAAAAACCATTATGGCGGTTATATTTTACAATATTCTAATAACCGGAAAAGCTATTAGTTTCACGATATACGACCTGTCCACTTTTGTTTTTCTTTTTTTATAATCACAAAAATAACACGCATTGCTATAAGTATGCACGTTATTCCGTTTATTCTATATAACATTATAATTAATGAAAACTGAATTAAAGAGCAAACATAATATATAGGAACATAAATAATGTAATCTTATGAAATTGAAAATGAATAATATAATTATTGAGTTTATTTATTAAACACTTATATATTAATTATATTATTATTGCCTGTAATTACACCGAAGATACCTATAAATAGGTGTGCATTTTTGTAATAAATGTACGGATAAATATTCAAATAAAAAATAAAATGTTGGGAATAAAATCTTTGATTGCAGTTGCGCATAATTATTGTAGTAAATATTGGAAACGAAATTTTTGTATACACTTTATATACTCCTCAGGCGTTTTATAATATATTTATTTTTGAATGCGCAATATCAAACATTCATACGTTTCACTATAGGTGTACGTATGCATATGCAATAATATTCTTATATTACTTACATCATAATATTTTATAGATGTCAACAAGGAAACACAAATAAAAATACTTACCTACACCTATGTAGAATAGACACAGACCTAGACCTAGACTCATGGAATATACGATTATAAAATTCTTAAATTCACGCTATGCCCATACAATTTATAGGTTTTTGTTATTTAAAAGCCCATGGAAAAAAGTGGAAGGTGCAAAGTAGGTACAAAGAAAGAGCACAGAGGAAAATAAGTAGTTTAACGATAATTTTTCAGCAGAGCAAAACTAAAAGATCGAATGCAAAAACCAAATAAATCCCAATTTTGAAATTATTTAGGAGCCACAAAATCTGAATAATTTATTTTTTTATGGATGCATGAATTGTAAAAATAGATTTAAATTCTCTATAGGAATAGCTTCTACTATACATGTGTATATACTATAATATATATATACAGGATGATTCTCTAAGCTTGTTCATCCCATTTCTTTGGTTAAATTTTGCATATTTTAAAATTCTAATTTTTGAAATTTTTAAGTGTAGTTAAAGCCAACATTTTCGAATACTTAAATTTTTCACAACATGTAAGAAATATCCTGAGGCGATACCGACTTCAGTTTATCAAATGAGAACCTATAATAAAAAGTACATAAATAAATGGAATATTAATTTAAATACATTTTGATGTTAAAACGTTTGATTTTCGTCAATCTGTCAACGAGATATTCCACTTTTAAGATAGGGGGAAAGTAGTGGAGCACTAATAAAACGCTGCGCGCCGTGCCGCCACACAAATGATACTCCACTACTCACACCCTACTTAAACTTAAAAGTGGAATATTTCGTTAACGGGTTGACAGAAATCAACAATTTTGACACCAAAATTTGCTTAAATTAAAACTCCATCTATTTATAGAATTTTTGAATATAGGTTCTCATTCAAAAAACCAAAGTTGATATCACCATAGGTTACTCCTTAAATGTAAAAATCTAAGTAAAGAAAAATATCGGCTTTATCTATACTTAAAAATTCTAAAAATCAGAATTTGAATAAATGCAAAATTTCAAAATTTCCCCAAAAAAATGAGGTGAACACGCTTAGTGAATATTTATATATATATATGCAGTGGAACCTCGATAACTCGAATCGGTTGGGGGCGAAAAAAAATTCGAGTTATCGAAAATTCGACTTATGGAAAACATATACATATCTCACACATATCATATATTGGAAGCCAGGGGCCAAGGTATTCCTTCGAGTTATCGAAAATTCGACTTATAGAGGTTTCAGTTATCGAGGTTCCACTGTATTTATATTTTACATAACACATTTCCTTTTTGTAAGTGATATTTAGAGTTAAAGACAGGGTGCTAAGCCTTTTTGACCGTAGAATAAAAATTGAATTATAACCAAAAATCTAAACCTAATAATTAACTCTCTCTCTCTCTCTCTCTGTATGTCTACGTTACACTATGACGGCAAATCGGGCGAGTTGTAGCCAGCAGTCGGACTATACGATGCTAAAATGATATCACTGAGCCATATCGAACTTTACAGATTACAGTCGTTTGATTGTTGTTATTCGCATCAAAGAAACAAACGTTCTTAAGAATGTACATATACATATCTATACCGATTTCCATTGTAGGTATACGTAAAACAATGCCTAATTAAATCGGCTTAGTTTTATTTGTATTCATCGACTAGATTTTAATCGTATGCAGGTATACGTAAACACACACATTATATTTATTATTTACTATTATTTCGAATACAATAACGAATTAATTTTAACACATTAATATATTACAGTTTACTATTAAATTAGCAATTCCGAAGGTCTTGATGAGGTTAACGTCCAAAAAAAATAATAATACGCATTTATATAGATACATATGGTACAGACAATAATTGAAAAGCAGTTAACCATCACGCTATACTGACCCTAAACTATATTAACGTTATGCTTTGATGATATGATTTTATCGTTTAATTTGTAAGTTTTAACTATACTTACCTACTCGATGGCTTCTATAAAACTATTTGGTTTTTGGACAGCACTTATCCGTGTATACGTCATTTTTCTTTATTCGGTCAACAATTTAAAATTAAAGAAGACGTTATAAATAAACCGAAATTCATCTATGAATACATTTTTTTCCGTTTTAGCCGACAGCATTGAGGGATCTGTTTTCTCAATGGTTTCTCACTGCTGCCGAATAACTATATAATATAATAATATACTTATCTATACAAATATATTTGTAGTGACGGATTTATGGAAGGGAGGCGATCTATACCCCCTGGACCCCCCATAATCCGATATAATTTCAATAAAATATAAACATAAAATGCCTCAAAATAGCTAAAAAAAAAAACTGAAAATTTTACCGAGTCTAAAAAGAAAGTAAAAGTTTTAAAGTCTAAACGGATATTTTTAACTGAATTATAAAACACAAAATTTAAAATAATTAAACCATTATTTCTGTAAACTTTCCCGCTATTTCCACGTTTTTCTGGTTTTACTCAATTATTAAGAAAACTGATTGGCAAACCAAAAAATGACTTGTGTAATCACCAACTACATTAAAAATGCAACAAAATTGGTCTTTTGTCATTTTTTGATCGAAGCAAGAATTTGGTAGAAACATAATGCGTAAAAGTTAAAAATAATGAAATCGGTAACGCCGCTATGCTCCGTAAATAGTTCGTTTTTCCTATAATTTAGTTTCAGGGTTTTCCCAATTATTTTTAAAACTCCTAGGAAAATCAAAAAATAACCTATTAAATACATTAACTAGGCCCAAAATATAATTAAAAAAGCTAACGTGTCATTCTTCGATTAGAGCAAGTCTTCTATTCTAATTCTATAAGTTATTTATAGACGGAAAAAACATACACATCTGTTACGTGTCCACACGCTACTATAAGTATATGCGCGTGAACCCGTAGTAATTATTATTCAAAAGGGGTCCCCACAACCAAAACCGGAATCTAAGACTTATATACCAAGGAGCGGATAGGCATAAAACAACGGTCGTAATGCCAACAAAATCCAATAATACGGAAAAGTATTATAAAAAAATCAATAGGTACAGCCGCGACGCGACGGCGACAGTGACGGCGCCAGCGTCGGCGACAGCATATAAGATAATACAAAAATGTGTAATAAATTAAACAACCAAAATAGGGGGAAACCGAGACGATAGAAAAATGTACCCTTTTAAATTTACCAACTTGTACGTAACAATGCGCGAGGAGATACGATCGTAAAATAAACTTGTAATATTTATAATAAATAAACACGAGCAATACTTAGATTCTAGAAAGTATAAAAAATTTCCAGTAACTCAATAATGTAGATAGCCGAACTATGAACGACGGGTTGCTGGAGTCTCTCAGAGCATATGTAACGCCGCCCGAAACATCGTCGAATGAGACGAGTCCACCGCGATCAAATGCGAGCAACTTCGCATCACTCTGTTTTATGAAATATTTTTGGACTTTTAATATTTTTGTGTGTGAAATTGAATTGGACTTGGAATATTTTTCGATGTTTGTGAATTGAATTATTTGGACTAGTATTATTTTTGTGAATTTATTTATCGGACTTGTAGTTTTTGAATGGAAAATATTAACTGTTTATAAACTCAAATTGGAGTTTGATTTATTTCAAACATTTTTCTTCCAAGTCCTATTAGTACATGGGCCTGTTACACATCACTTTAAAACCAACAGATCCCTCACTATGTTCCTCTTCTAATATACTAATCGCTAGAAAATTGACGACAGTTAAATAATTTTGTGTTACGTCAACATATATTATACTTGTAAATCTATTTTGGCGTAGACCTACGTAATGGTCGTCCGGTTTCCAGATTTGTTTTTATTTCGAATCGGTAACTCGTTATAACAGCGGAGCCTTAAAAAAAAAAATTGAATCATAGTTTTTGTTCCTTCTGCAAAATTCGTTGATTACACACCGGCCTCGTTAATGGCTCGCCTGTTTTATAGAAGAACAGCGATTTGATATCCACATGACATCCACGTGATATCCACGCGACATTTGTCGACATTATACGTTGCGGTAATAATATAAGTATTGATATTGAATTGCGTATTTATGGTTTGACGAAAAATGTACAGGTATCGCCATATACTTGGGCACTTGAATATTTCTATTTCTTTTTGCACACTCGATAAAAAAAACGCTCACCAAGTGTCACGTGCGTGCGTAACCGACCGGCGAGCGGATTAGCGTTCTCGACAACACCGGCCGACATAACGCGGCGGCGGCGAGAAACTTCCCAAGCGCGCCGCGGGTTCGGGTTCTACAACCTCGTTATATTTTCATCGTTGGTAGTCCGGTCCGGTCTGGCGGCTAATGCGTCGGCCACGCGGACCAGGGGCGAATTTCCCCAAAGTGTCATTAACCGCGCTCGCCGTTTGATAATGATATTATTCTGTTTTGCATCGCCGTTATCGTTGATAGTGACGTGAGTATTGGTACATCATTGTGCGCCCGGTAATTACGTACAATTACGCGCTCGCGTGGTCTCAATGTCAATGTCGCGTCGCGGTGGCAGAGTAGTCGTGTCTTCACGGCGGCGGGGGCGTTATGCCGAATTAGTCGCACAATAAAAATACCTACAAATAATACAACCATTATTATTATTATTATTATTATTATTATTATTATTATTACCACATTAATACGTCGCCGATATTATAATAAGTAATACGCTTCTAATAACATAATAATATACGAATAACGCGGAGTCCGTTCGCCTATGTGCACGCACGAACATCGCGTTCGCGTTGGAACCGCCAGGGCGTCGTTTCCATAGATAATAAAAATACGGACGGACCAGCCCTGTACCTTACACACATACCCTATATACACAGCGTTCTGTGACGGAATGGAAACTCTTGGATATCACAGTTATACCTAGACATACGAGTATAATAATAGAATAAACCGCGAATTATACAAAATATGTGATATGACTTTATAAATCTTCGTTTTTATCAATGAGATTATTATAAATACCTATATAATCACACAAATATGCTGATAGCCAATAGATAGGATTATGTAAAATCATCGAGATAAACAATACAATCGAGATTAGGTTACATCTTGAATTCAATACAATATTGTTTATCTATATCGATGTATAAAATAAAAATTATCTATGAAAATCTAATAATAATTTTGTTTGAATATGCTCTTAACAAAATTTAATATAGATACATTTAAAATTGTCAATTTTTTTCTTTTAAGTCAAATATTCAGTCAAATAATAAATAAAATACAAAACCGAAATATTATATATGATTACGATTTACAAATACTCTGGCCATAGTTAATTTTTCTATGAAATAACTAATTGTAGCAAATGATTTAACGTTAATTTTTACTCCCACTGTTATCTTTCTGACATGACTGTTTATTTAGCCATGGTAACAATTAACCGTGATAACAATAATTGTCCATGTCACTCTCACCTTTCAGATGACCGGCTCCCAGTAACTTATTAGAAAGTTTATATGATTTTTTTCACCCATCGTGTTAAATTTAAATTAAAACATCGCAAATCAGTTTACTTATAAATCGGATTTTCATTAAAAGTGTGATCTTGAGAATAATTATTATTATCTTTACCAAAAATCGTCTTTCGACAAATCATAATTGAATACAATTTCGCGCAGAAATAAAAATAATATTCATTAGAATTATAATAATAATTGTACTTCCTCTTTTCGTCAAATATACAGTAATATTATAATATACGCACTAGACCTTGACGGTCCAATCCTTGAACCTGGATCGTTTCACACATCGTCCGTGTGGTTTACCTAGCTATACAGCATTCGCTAAAAGTACAATGTCATCACGTCATCTACAAACCGTTTGAGTTTCGTACCTATGTGAATCCAAATCGTGTCCATGACATCATCGTTACACAAGGTGCTATACGTACCTCTATACCCGTGTATTGAACATACAAAAATAACACGCATCTGGTTCCTATATATTTATGTACTTACGTTCTGTTGTACGTGACTACAACCGGGGGAAATTATAAGATACTTCATAGCTAATTGTTCAGTATGTTCATGTGATAGATGCCGTTTTCCAATCATTTTATCCATTAAAAATCAAAAATAAAAGATAACGGATCTATAAAAAGAATCGGCGTAAAGCGTTGGAATTTAATTTACCAACATATCCAGTACCCATACGTTTTTGCAGAATAGATAGGTACCGCCAAAGAACAATTATCCTAATTAAATGTGACATTAATTCAAAGTTTACAATAATTCGCAACAAATAACTTTATTTTTTTATGCGTCTAAAAATTTCACGCAAGTTGAACTATACTCGTATATTGAGTTAAAATGAAAAAATCACGGGTAAATCACTATTGTAGATGGGTGTACCTACTTCATACAGTAGAATATTATATTACAGTGTAGTAAGATTTATATACTGTATGCAACGATAAACCATTGCAAACATAAAAATAATTCGTATAAGTATTCGTATCATGTGTTTTCCTTGTTACAGTGGTAATCCAGAAATTAACAAAAAAATGACCTAGGCTGAAAATGTCAACATATGTTTCAAATAAAGGACATCGGGCGGAAATTCCGCATATTTTGAAGTACTGCGTACAAATATTTCAAACATAGTGTTATATTTTAATAATCGTTATTACCCGCAGTAGATATCTAAAAATAAATAGTAGGTACCTAATTACTTTTAGATTAGGAGAGTAGCGAGGAATCTTTTGGTTTTATTGTGATGAGTGGTTTTTTTTCCTATCTATAAATAACTTTTCAAAAAGAAATCTTGATCCAATTTATAATGTGTTGAACTTGATTTTCCATGGGGTTTTCAAAATAATTGGGAAAAACAGGAAAGAAAATTGTAGGTAAAACGGCAAACATTTACGACGCGCTGCGGCGTTACCGTTTTCATTGTTTTTAATTTTTACAAACTAAGTTTTCTTTCAGAAATATTGCTCCAATCAAAAAATAATAAAATATTGATTTTGTTCCTTTTAATATGTATCCACTGACATGGAAAGTAGTTTTCCAAAGTATTTTAATATTTGGGGTAAACCAAAAAAGACAAAAATACGATTTATTTTCAAATTATGGCGCAATAATTTCATTAGCTAATTAAAATGTTTAAGATTATATTTCCCTACCAGAAATCTTAGTTCAAATTTCAAGAATAGCATATTTTCTAAAAAAAAAAAAAATGTGATCTTGTTTGTGAGTAAGGAAATTGTTGTTTAATTTTCTGTAATGTTTTCTGAATAATCCGAAAAACCGGGAAAAAACGTAATAAATACGACAAAGTGTATGAGTTTATATTTGGGTCTTTTGCTGTTATTCGGTTATAAATTATTATAGAGACCTGTAATTTTTACAATATACTTATATTGACTTTTTATAGATGTGGTAAAATTTTTAAAACTTTCTAACTATTTGAAAGCTATTTATAAATATTTGAAATATTCGTGTTTAACGTTTATTTTCAATTATTAAATATCTGTTATAAAAAACAGAGAAATCATTTTTTGATTTTTCAAGGGGTATCCAAAATAATTAAAGAAAACAGGAAACAAAATTATAGGTCTTACAAAACATGTACAATCAAACTTCGCTCCGAATCGTTTTTCGTTAGTAATGGTTTGTCGTTGCTTATAGGTGTAAATTAAATAATCTTATATATCCTACCTTCTCGACTTCCCACCTACACCGGTGGCGCATCTGATACTGGGGTCACCTAGTATTATTTTTTTTTTTTATTTTTATTTTCATTAAAATTATTATACTATATATGTTTAGTCAATAAGTAAAATATGCGATGTATACTATGCGAGAGTGGAGCGCGTACAATTCTATGGAATGTCAAAACACTTCTTACTCACAAAAACAATTTAGCCGAAAAAAAATTAAATCAATAACATTACAACGGTAACAACGCGATTCTATGACTCATATAGAACCCGATGGCGCTACATCCAATTTACATAGTCATTTCGGTCAACGGCCAACCATGACCTCCTCTCTTCGACCTCATAAAACACGATCTGGTCGTACGAAATATAACCGTCTCCCTCAACTTTACTTTCTTGTTTACTTCCGTGTTATTTTCTTATATTCGTTTGTACAAAATATTCTATCGATAAACAAATTTATATTCAGCTACGGTAGATATAGACCCTCAATGTATTTGATAATACTCATAACAATACATTATCTTCATCCATCATTCTTTAAAATATCCACATTACAAAAATTAAAAGAAAGAATTATTTAATTTTATGTATTTGTATAAATTATTAAACAATAAGCTATATTGTCTTCAAATTCTAGAAAAAAAATTAATTTTAATATACTAGAAAAAAAAGATTTATTTTTAATAAGTAATGTTGAAAATATTTATTCACGATGCTCTCCAAAAACCTAACCTAACTTATCGATACCTTAATGACCATCGGTCATAATGCAAGACTTGATTTATTTTTTATAATCCGTGGGATAATATCAAGATCTCTTTAAATGTATAATAATATGAAAGTTGTATTATATGTTTGTTTTTATACATTATGGAATTATTTGTCATTAATCTTTATCGCTATATTATTTTGTATAGTTAATTGAACTTTTTATATTTGTTTATAAATGTCTATGGTTGCTATTCATAATTATTATTATTATTGATAGGTATAATATTATGATTATTAGTGTTATTATTATTTACAAGGCCGTACCTGGAAATTAATTTCGGGGGTAGGGGGTAAGCTAAAAATGTGTGTTGTTCTAATTTAATTAAAATATTTAAAAAGGTAATTTAATATAACATAAAATTCATAATATTGTAGTAGTAATATTTGTTTGAAATTTACATTTAAAATTTTTTTATTGCTAAATTTTAAAAAAATTATTTAACTTAATTCTACGTATTTAACAATGGTGAAATCAGAATTTGAGTGTACCGACTAAGTTTTGAAATTATATCTTTTTGAAGTTCAGATATTACATGTTAATGTTGAATAACTTTATATTTCCATGACCTTGACCGTATTCAGTCATAAATACGTATTGTTATACTAGTGATTACGAGTTTAAACCCGGGGTTCGAATTTTACACTTTTTCTTTACCTTTTACCTAAATAGGGAAAAAACAAATGCATTTTAAGTATATCTAAAGACCTAGCTATCGCTCGCTTGGACGATTTTAATCGAAAAATACTCCTCGATTTGTTGTGTAATCCTTTTTACTGAATGGAAATTTTATCTCTATAGTTTTAGGGAGGTCATTTTTGTGATTTTTCAATCTGTTTTTATAACAATTGTGAAAAACTGGTATAAAATGTCGGAAAAATGGAAAGTGTACGAAATGTAGGTATTAATAAAAAAATATTATGACCTTTATTTCTACGTACAACTTTTCTACCATCAATTTTGATCTGATTTACAATCATATTTACTTTTTCTAAAATTAAATCTGACTGGGAAGATACTTTAAGGAGGTCATTTTTTGATTTTTCCAAGAGTTTTCTTAGTAAATGTGATAACCCGGGAAAAGTATGGGAAAACCGGGAAAAACTCAGGAAAGTCGATGCAATATTAAACAAATTGTATTAAAGAAAATATATAATGCCTATTCTACGCAGAATCGTTTTTACGTTAGCAATGGTTTACAGATGGTTTACAGTTCGTTGCTTACAGATGTACATTAAATTACCTATAGGTAGCATTAGTTGCACCTGTCTCCATCATCTTAGGACGTCTTGTTTTATTATTCCTATGTACTCGCATATACTTTAGAAGCATAACCGGTTTACAATTCCGTTATTTTGGAAAACAGTATCATATTTACACACGGTATAAATGTTTACAAATATTTAATCTAACTAAATAACAATTTATAGCTGAAATAGTTTTCAGATCATTGAGTCCCTTAATAGAATTACTTTTATTAATAAAGAAAATGAATCATTATAACAACATTATTATTTTATTTACAGGGAACATTATTGATTATAATATTACAACTAGTGACAAGTCATTTACAAGTATGATGGGTCTGATGAGCCGAATCATCGTCTTAGCGTGTGTGATTTACCAATCCACTTGTGGTACGTTATTTTAATAATATAATTTAAAATTTTTAAATAATTAAATTTATAAACCAAAGTTAATATTTTCGAATTTAATTTTACAGATGTAAATAGCAAAGAAACATTTAGCTGTACACTAGAAGGTTTTCATCCAGATCCTTCGGATTGCACGACTTTTTACAGATGTGTAAATTTCGGTGCTGGCACACCTTACACAAAGTTTAAGTTTCAGTGTTCTCCAGGAACTGTTTTTGACCCAGAAAATTCTGTGTGTGTACATCCATCCTCTTCTAATAGAGAAGAATGTAGAAATGTACAATTGAATAATCCTGAACCAGAACCTAGCCCAGAGGAATCTAATTCATGGAATACACCATCTACTGGCACTTCAAATCAACAAAATTCTAATAATGCAAATGGCTTAGGTTATGGTTCCGGCATTCCAGAATATTCAAGTCAACCGTCTTCAAATTATGATTATGGACGCCCTCAAGTCGGTTACCAACCACAAGTAGAATATGGCCAATCACAACAATCACAAAATTATCAACCTCCCTCATTTCCACCTCAACCAAACTCTCAACCGAATTATTATAATCCTCAACAACCCGAATATGTTCAAACCCCATCTCAACCTAATTACAATCAGCCTGCACTACCTCAAACTGGTTACATCCCAGTCTCACCAAAACCGACACAAAAACCTAATTTAAATCAACCTCCACAATCTGGTTATTCACCACAACCGGTACAACCGGCACAACAGTTTAATTATAATCAACCTCCACAATCCGGTTATATACCGCCTATTCAGCAATCTAGTTACAATCAACCACAACAACCTAGTTACAATCAACCACAACAACCTAGTTACAATCAACCACCACAACCTAGTTATAATCAACCACCTCAACTCAGTTATGTTCAATCTTCACAATCCAATTATAATCAACCACAATCTACTTATGCACCTCCTGCTCAACCGGAAGATGGATATAATCAACAATCATCAACGGAAAATCCTGACAATGAAGTAGACAATGAAGGATCTGATCAACTAGAATATACTAGTTCTAGTAGACCAAATTGTCTGTCTGAAGGATTCCATCCATATGACGAAGGTTGTAGTAAAAAATTCATAAGATGTGTTGACAAAGGTGATGGAACATTTATTCAATATGAATTCGAATGTGGAGAAGGGACTTTATGGGATAGTAGTCAAAATACATGTAACCATGCTAACCAAGTTAACTGTGGTACAACGACATCAGCTACACCTTCCACAATACAATCGGATTCTACTGTAGCACAACAAATAACTACATCCAATCAATGGTCTAGTTCATCCGCTGCTAGTTCATCTATGGCATCAAGCTCAAGTTCAAGTTCAAGCTCAAGTAGTTCTTCGAGTAATCAGTTTTCATCTGCGTCTACTATTGCTGGTCAATCAACTGGAAGTAATAATCAACAGACTTCATTTCAAGGTTCTTCTTTAGCTAATCAAAATACTGCAACGACAGCTGCTATGAACCAAGCTTCAAGTCAGGCTACAAGTTCTAATTCAAATCAACAATTTGCGAGCTCTGGGTCTAGTCAAACTACAATTTCTGGATTAAATCAACAAACATCTAGTACTGGATCTAACCAACAAACAAATAGTGGTGGATTTAATCAACAAACAGCCAGTACTGGACTAAATCAAGAATTAACTAATTCTGGTATAAATCAACAAACAACTATCGCTGGATCAAATCAACAAACAACTATCGCTGGATCGAATCAACAAACAACTAGTGCCGGATCAAATCAACAAACAACTAGTGCCGGATCAAATCAACAAACAACTAGTGCCGGATCGAATCAACAAACAACTAGTGCCGGATCGAATCAACAAACAACAAGTGCTGGATTAAACCAAGAAATAACCAGTGCTAGTTCTGGTCAGCAAACAAGTAGCACTGGTTCAAATCAACAAACGAGTAGCATTGGATCAAACCAACAAACAGCAGGTACTGGATCAAACCAACAAACAACTAGTGGTGGGTCCAATCAACAAACCACGAGTACTGGATCAAATCAACAAACAACTAGTTCCGGATTAAATCAACAGGCATCTATTGGTAATTCAAATCAACAGACTTCTAGTACTGGATTTAATCAACAGACAACTAGTGCTGGTGCAAATCAACAAACTGGTATTGGGTCAAATCAACAAACTACTAGTTCTGGATCTAATCAACAATTCCACGCTGAAAATAGACCAACTTTACCAATGTCTTCGACATTAAAACCAACTACACCTCTTTATACAACAAAAAAACCATCAGTTTCAACTACATCAAAGCCGACAACCTTGAAACCAACTGCTGCACAATCAATTCCGATATCAACTTCTTCAAAACCAACACCTGCAAGGCCAACACCTCCAAAACCAACTACACAAAAACCTATTACTACTTCCATTCCACCAGCAACAAGTACTCAAAAATACACTACAACTACTACACAACTAACTCAGACATATTCAACATCTAAACAAACAACTCAAGGAACTTCAAAACCAACATTAGTTACAACAACCAATAAACCAATCACTTCTAAACCAATCACTTCTAAACCAACTACAAAGCCAACTTTGATTGTGTCTACAAACAAACCATTAACACAATCAACTACAACAATCAAACCATTAAATCAGCAACATTGGAATAAACCATCAGCGCCATATCCTCCACCACCATATCCCTCCACTTCATCAACTTCTCAAACACAAACACAGCCACCTTCTACTGCTGATACTTGTACAGCAGAAGGATTTTTCCCAGATTCTAAAGACTGTACTAAGTTTTATAGATGTGTAGGAAACGGAAATAAATTTACCAAATACAATTTTAATTGTGGTCCAGGAACAGTTTGGGACCATGTTAATAATGTATGTAATCATCCGTGGGCAGTTGATAGAGATTGTTCTAAACCTGCTTTATCTGCTACACCTGGATATTTTTCAACAGAATCAACTATATCTAGCAGTTCTGGAAGTTTAACATCAAGTCAAACTAATAAACCAGCATCATCTATAAAGCCATCCTATCAGACAAATGGTCAAACTAATAAACCAACAATAATCACAACACCGTCTAACAGACCGTCCTATCAGACAAGTGGTCAAACTAATAAACCAACAATAGTCACAGCACCATCTAGTGGATCGTCTTATCAAACCAGTAGTACTCAAACCCAAACTTCAACTTCTAATTTTGGTCAACAAACATCTCCGACTCCAATTCCAGTTCCAGTATCTACTATTGGTCAACAAACGTCTTCGAGTTCCAGCCAAGTGCCAACATCTCAAACATCTTCAAATAATTCAACCACACCTTGTTATACTTCACCAAAACCACCAAGCAAAATAGTGTGTAATGCTAGTGGATTTTTCCCTCATCCAGATGATTGCAAAAAATTCTATAGGTGTGTTGATTGGGATGGTGATAAAGGTGAACGATTTTCTGTGTATTACTTTGACTGTCCACAAGGGACTATTTTCGATCCTAGCTTAAATGTATGTAATCACGAAGCTTCTGTATATCCTCCACGTGATTGTCCTGAATCAAGCTCCCTACAAAGTAGCTCTACTTATGGAACAAGTACCCCAGGTTCTCAAATTACAATTACAGAAGTGACTACGGTTTCAGAAACAAATCCTATAGTAACAACTGAAGGCTCAATTGAAACTACTGGACCATCTGAAATCGAATCAACTACATCTAATCAACCAGAAACAAATCCGCCAGGTACTGATCAAACTACAACTAGTCCAACAGAGATAACGACTAGTCAAACAGAAATCAATCCACCAACAACGAGTCAGACGGAAACAAATCCACCAACGACTAGTCAGACAGAAACCAACCCACCAACAACGAGTCAGACGGAAACAAATCCACCAACGACTAGTCAGACGGAAACCAACCCACCAACAACGAGTCAGACGGAAACAAATCCACCAACGACTAGTCAGACGGAAACCAACCCACCAACTACAAGTCAAACGGAAACAAATTCACCGACAATAAGTCAAACAGAAACAAATCCACCGACATACAATCCAACAGAAACAAATACTCCGGTAATGACGAATCCAACGGAAACAAATCCCACAATAAGTCAGACAGAAACAACACAACCAGAAACTAATCCTACTCAACCATCAACAGAAACTTTCCCGGCCTCAACAATTGCACCTGAAACTACAAATGCCACAGACAATAAATGCCCCCCCTTAGAACCCGATCAAATATCTTTAGTGTGCCCAACAGGTTTTAGAAGACATCCACAAAATTGTAACTTATTTTATCAATGTACGATAGCTGATAATAGTGATATAAAGATTTTGGTTCTTGCTTGTTCAAATGGTACATACTATGACCAAACAAGAATTCAATGTTTGCCGCCAGATGAAGCTGAATCATGTCCAACAAACATTGATTTTCGGTTAGAACAAATTGAGGGAATGCTACCAGCTGTAAGTTATTTAAATTCAATCATTAAATAAATGATATAATACCATGTATATATTATTTAGATCCAAGTTCAACCTTACCAACAATTATGCCCATCAGAAGGAATATTTGCATCTCCAAACGATTGTCACACTTTTGTAAATTGTGATAGAAACTCTAAAGGATTACTGAGTGGTAATAGTTTTTTTTTAAATAAATAGTAAAATATTTATTATTAATAATTATACTTTTTGTTTTAGGTAAATTATTCCAATGTCCTGAAGGACAAACTTTTATTGAAAATTCAAAACAATGTGAACAAAGTAAAACAATTCCCATGTGTAACAAACTTGGTCCCAAGTTAAACTGGCAGACAAGTCTTGCGCCAATATCAACTGGAAAATTAAATAATTAATATATATTATAAAAAATCATTTTTAGTTCAATCTGAATGTTTTAAACAAAGGATTTTAAATTTAGCTTATAAGTACATGATGTTTTAATTTATATTACTTACCTTAATTTAAAATGTGTATTCTTTTTGAAAAATGTTTCAAAGATTTTCCTGAGCAACAAAATATAATATTGATTTATTGTGCTTAGAAAATGAAAATATGGACAAACAATTAAATGAGTGGTTTTAATATTATATGTACGAATTTTTAGATATTAGGATTATTATTTATTTTACAGTTATGAATAATTGGTTGAATAATGTGTAAAGCATGTGCGCTCAATATCAAATATAATGTGCCATACTAGAAAAGTAATATTTGTTAAAGTTGCATAAATTTTTGAAACATTTTTTAAAAGTTACAAATTATTTTATAAGTAATATTTTTTTTTTTTAATCTTGCATGTAAATATAATGTACATACATATTTTATATAAAATTAAAAATATATTAATAATTAGAACTGATAAATAATTGTATTTCTATTATGTAGAAGATTAAATTAAATCAATTTAGTTTGTTTATGAATTTATCATTCTAACTAGATACCAATATTATTCTAAATTATTATTTCTTATTTATTTAATATCTATTATACTAATTTTTTTTCCTTATATGTAATGTGGGACGCAATATAAATAACGATATGTTATTTATGTCACAATACACAAACGCCTAAAATCAGTTGACACCTTTTATATTAAATATTAAAAATATGTATAATAGGTATTATTTTAAATCTAATATAATAACAGCTGGTACCATTAAACAAAATTGTATTATTACCTAATAATAATACATATAAAAACTATTTTATTCTGTAATGTAATTGTTTTACAAACATAACGTGTTATATAATTCACAATACTAAGGTTGGAAAAACACATAATGACATATATTAAGGTACATACTATGATACAACTATGAAGAAATATTAATAACTAAATATCAAATTGTTTAATTAGGCCTGAAATAATGGTCAAATTAGCTTTTTTATGTTCTCATAATGAACAGTGGCTAACAGCGTACAAATCTTAATATTTAACTAATAAGTTGTTTTTAAATAGATACTACATATAAAAATAATGTTTTTATATAATACATTGTTTTAAAAAAAAATTTTGAGTGAGTAAAAATAGGCATTTCATATGATATCTTTACTGTAATAAAATTTGTTATTCCGTTCGTATGTTCTGAATGTTTCCCTAAAACCATACAAAAAGAGAAAATGATTAGGTAAATTGTAAATTATGAATACAATTGAATATAAAAAAATAACTGATACTGGGGATGGGTGTATTACTGTTGTAATTGGGAAATTGGGAAGGTAGGATACACAAAAATTATTCAATTTATATTTATATTCTACGATAAGCTATGCTAATAAAAACCGATAAGGAGCGAAGTTCGGTTATACATGTTTTGAAAGGCTATAATATTTAAAATATTAGTAAAAATTTGATTTTAAAAATTACAAAAAAATAATAATACATTACAATCAATTTTTTTTTTTTACCACCAAGGAAGACTAATAATGAACCTCCTGTCAAATTTTCAAGCATTTCTGTTTAGTCTAATAATTTTATCCACAGTTAGAGTACCTACCAACAAAATTAACTGAACAGCTCGTAAAATTAAAAGGTCTATAAAGTAGCTCAAAAATTGCTAAAAAATTTGAATATTTTGCCACGTCTAAAAATAGCAAATATAAGTTGTATCAAATTTTCAAGTCTCTACGAATATGGGTCATTGAATTATAACAAAAAATAAAATTTAAAATAATGAAACCATTATTCTTATAATTAATGTTCTCTTTGTTTCTTTTCTTTTTCAGTTTTGATCAATTATTTAAAAACTATAAAGAAAATCAAAAAACTACTTTCTTAGTCGGCAACTGATTAAAAATCCAGCAAAAAAGATCTCAATTTTTTTTTTTCTATTGGAACAATATTTTTAGGAAAAAAATATAAGCCGTATAAATGTTAAATTCTTAGTTGTTTTACCGTAATTTGAAACAAATTATATTTCTCGTATCTAGAAGATAATAAAGTAATAACTACGTTTCCACAGTTGTTAACAACGATACAATGATATTTATCGTTACCGGTAGGTATCCAACAATATTATCTATAAGCAATTAATGATTTCCATTGGGAACAAATGATTTTGTAAATAGAATAGGTAGATCATTCACCATAAAATTTAAATCAAATTTGTCTAATAATTAATATTTCTTTACTATTCTTCACATTTTCACACAGGAGGGAGGGGGCTGAGTATAAAAAATTACACAAAGTACGACTTATAATGAACATTCTATTAAATTGTCTAGGATTTCTGTTTGGTTCAATAATTTTAACCACAGAGTACTTACTGAACAAAAATTACGTAAAAAAAAACAGGCAAATTTAAAATTTCTATAAATAGCTAAAAAAAAATGGCCACGTTCAGAAAAAGCAAATATAAGTTTTATATCCAAATTTCAAGTCTCTACAAATATTTTTAACTAAATCAAAACAAAACAACAAATTAAAAATTAAATTTCCTGTTTTTCCTACGTTTTTCCCATTTATTATGAAAACAACTGGGAAATAAAAAAATTACCCCCCCCCCAAAAGTACCTCCCCAATTAGATTTTCTTCCAAAAAAAAATTCTACACTTGAAAATCGGACCAAAATTGTTGATGGAAGAGTTGTCCACAGAAAAAATAAAAAATAAAAAAAAATAAACTTCACTGTAAAACCAATAAATTTTTTTGCTCCGCTTAAAATCTAAAATTTAAGGATGAAAAAAGGTATGTATCAACTGCACCCATTGATATTTGAATGTAATACATTTTTTATGTTATTTGGTCCAATCGGTTTATAAATATATAAAAATGCGATTTAGTAAATTTTTTCATTATCTCATTAATGCATGTATTGGTGAACACGCAAATTTTTCACCATATCTTAGGGTATCGTGTATTATATGAGATGAAAGAAATACAAATTCCTGTGCGTTTTTTTTCTCTCAAATTTCGGGAAATATTTTTATTTGATATAAAATTTTGAAAATGTTTCAACTTCAGTAATATGTTATGAAAATAAATATCGTTAAGAAAAAAAAAAAATGAAAACTAAAATATGCAAATTACAAATGAAAATGTAAATATACAGACGTCCTAAGATGAGGGCGAGTGCAGCCACTGTTATAGGTAATTTAATGTATACCTGTAAGCAACGGTAGATCATTGCTTACGAAAAAACGTTTCTGAGTGGCTTTCAGTTGATAGTGATGCTTTGTCAACAATATATATATGTCATATTATAGAAAAATAATTAAATAATTAAATTTTCTTTAATAATATATTTTTAATATTGTAACGATTTTCCCGGCTTTCCTATGTTATTTCCCAGTTTTTCACATTTGTTGAGAAAAGGAGGCTATAAAACAGCCGAACCTTTAACCGAAAATATTTCAACCTACTGTATTTAAGCAAAAAAATATTTCCACGGACAGTATTTCGGCCGAAAATAAAACAACTGAATGTATTTTATTCGAAACGCACCAAATTACTAATTATCAACATTATCAACATGAATTTCTTATCATTGTTTTTAATCAAAATAGGTTGAATTAGAAAATTATGTAGTTTGAACGTAGACATTTTGAACAAACAAAAAAATAATAAAACCACAATATTTCTAATATTTTCTATGACAAAAATATATACTATTTAATTAAGTTTTAAATTATTTTTTTTTTTTTAAATTTCAAACCATTTGTAAGCATTTCAATTATTCAAGCGTAGATAAATATCAACTCATTGCATTTATTATCAAAACTAAACTAATATATTTTCCAATTAACTTTATTAATTAAAAATTCAAAAACATAGAAGTAGGCATCTGCTTAATTAGTTTTTCATTTTAAAATAACATACTGTACGAAATTTCTTTTCCTTTTTATTTATTTCTCATCACATGTTATCATTTTTTGGAAGATCTGAGCTTTATCTCTTTATTACAGTCGGCTGTAATATTTCGGATAAAATACTACTGGCTCAAATATTTTTCGGTCGAAATATTTTTCTGCTTGAATACGGTTCGGCTTAAATATTTGATGGCTGAAATACTGTCCGGCTGATTTATTTTCGGTTTTTTCACGCGCTCCCGTTTATACTTTATTGGTTTATAGCAAGGTGTATTGATACACCTATCGATCTATGTATTTATCAATACACCTTAGTCTATGCTCTATACACGTTATTTACACCAATGTAGCCGTGTTATGAACAAAATTCGATAACACGCGCATGTTGGCTACTCTGTACTGTTAAAGAGACCATTCGATTGACCGCAGAACAGCTCATATCGAATACTGATTGCATTGCCATTTGCCACTCGTTACAGCTCTCAAACTTTTGATTATTACCTCTTTTCCTACACATCGGGTAGCGACGTAGTATCCGTCCGCCCACTCCCATCCTTCCGTGTCACCGTTGTACTAGTATACTACTTACAATATTGCACTCCCCACAGATAGTCGTTTCCGTCGCAACGTAAACATTTTACTTTGACGACGAAGAAATATATTATTTTAATTATTAATAATTTCGATTTTGTCTTTGCCCGATGCGTTAAAATAATTTTGTAGTTATTCATCGTCAGTTAAATACCTAACAAATTCTACATTATGGCGTACTGCAGAGCATTCAAATCAAAAGTATGTAAAAATATACAGAGCCTAGTTGCTTGTTAACTTCGTTACCTATATGATGAAATATATTATTATTATATGCCATTTGTTATTTTGTCTATTTTTATTCATATTTAATTGTCTTTCTGTTACCTATCTAGGCGCCGTGGGCCAAATTGGTCTCTGGTGAAATCCAACAAAGATGTTTCCATTCGTCACCTGCTGCATTTGGAGCCTGTAAAGTTGCTATGAGCAACTTAGATACTAAGCCTTTGCCATATGAAACTTTGGAGAAACGTATTAAAATTGTTGCTGATAGGTATGTGTTTTACCTTTTACCGCAACCTTATTTTAATATTATATGTATATATATACATATGTTTCCTATCTATTTCCTTTTTGAAATAATGAATGCTAACTATTTGTTTTTTAATCTTAATTATTATTTTTTTTTCTTTTAATAGTTTTGTATAGTTATCTTAATTAATCTTAGGTAGTTTAGCTTTGTCCAATAATTTTTAACATCATTATAAACTAACCATCTAACATATAATAAGTACATTAACATATTAAAATAATCAAATTAAAGTACCCAGGTATCCAGGTAACCTATCTATTTACCTATTAACAAATAAAGTAAATTTGCAATTAGTTTTGTTAGTTTGAACGTATGACAAATGAGGATTCATTTTTACCATTATTTTGCTTAATTTTTCAATTTTCCTGGTATTATTACCTATATTTTTTTTGTTTGAATAAAGAAGAAATATTTTCTACAACTCATTAAATATGAACTTTGTACGCGTTTATATCTATACCTAAGCCTTAAGTTATTTATGTTTTACAGTTGCTGTAATTAAGCCAGTTCATAAACATTATTTCCGGGTAACTATTTTGACCATTGTGTATAATCTACTGATTAGTAAAACATAATGATTTTAATTGATTTTAGATAATACTGATAGTGTAGGTTATTCATTATTTAATACATTATTTTATTCATCAAAATCTATTTTAATTGTGTTTCCTCATCAAGAACATTACGGTACACTTTTAAAGTTAGCGGTCATATAAAAAAAATAACCAAGCCAACCTACTGATGATTTCAATGCATCTATTTTTGCTGTAAACTTTGATTAAGTGCCAAAATTAATTTTTTTTAGTATGACCTATCTATTGTAGATTGTGATGTCAAAATGTTTTACTTTAATCCTTACCATTATTTGCATCTATAAAAAATCATTTTTTCTGATTTTAACTTATTAGTTATATTAAGTTATTTCATGCAGGTTGAAGTGGAACGATTTAGTCACTACTCACTAATTATGTCTTATTTTATCAATCTTAATACACATTAAGATATAATTTGTTTAGTCAATTTAATTTCCTATTATAAAACTGTAATATTTAGTGGCATTTTTATTCTGTTCTATACTGTAAATACTATGTGGGACAGTAAGAATATTTAATATTAATGATATTTACCATCATATAATTTCTAGTTAGATATTAACCAGTATTATATTATTATAATTTATAATAAATATGTACAATATTAAATTTCTAATGAGTGGTTGATATAAAAACATTATCATGAAAAATACAAATAAAATCAAAAAATGACTTCTCAATGAACTAACTAGGCAATTTGCTAAAAATAAATGGAACAAAACTTCTCTATTATAAAAAATTTAGGACGAATATTTGTTTTTCACCACTTTTTTTTTTTACAGTAAAATCCTATCCAAACTCCAAAGTTTATATTTCAAAGTAAATATTTATTTCTAATATTAAAGTTTTAAATACTAGACGTGTTTTGCTCCAGATTTTACTCCATAGCATAGAGTAAATAGTACCTAAACATTATAAAAGTCCTTTTTAATTTTATATCAGTAAATTTCACTATAAAAGAGTATTAAGTTTTTGAAAATATGATCTTCGGAATTATATTCTAAATGCATTTGATATCTATTCATATTTAATTATTAAAAAAAGAAGATTTGAGCAGTAATTTTTAAAATTGAAACGATTACCTTTATTAAAAATTCAATAAATAAATAAAGTTCAATTAAAATAAATTATGCTGTTTAAATTTGTATTTTCATCAACTTGTATACGTATAAAGGTATATTGTTTTTAGTTTTACTGTTTGGTTGGTAGGAAAGAAATAATTAAACATCATTTGTGTGTCAATGTCTATGTAGTGAAGAGTGTATATATTTGGGATACTCTGTATATAATATTTGTAAATTAGTAATTATCTTATCTAATATAATACATACTACTATTACAAATAATTGATTTAGTAATTGCCACATAATATTTGCAGTGTGTGTTTAAATAAAAAAAAAAAAATGTTACTTCTTGGTATTACTCTCAGATCTGAAATATTGATTGAATATAGATGGTGATCTCACAAAACCTCAAAGCTGGACTTTTAAATTTTAATTTCCGTATAGGTGCTTACATTAAAAATGTCTTGATTTCTGGTTTTTCTTTCTTACATTAATGCATATATTATTATTTATGTTAACTTGGTTGTCACGACCCACAGGTAATACTGTAATGTAGCTCCACTATTATTTAATAATCTCAATTTTAGTTTTTTAATTAATATTTGTCTGAAAATATTCTAGCAAATGAAGCTTAAAAATGTTTATTGAATTCTATGATTATCATTGGTTTCTAATTTAAAAATTTAATAATTGAACAATTATGTATGATGACAGTTGTACACACATTGGGAGTGGAGGGAAGGGATAGAATGCCCCCCGAAATGACTTCATTAATTTAATTTTTTTGTAATAATATCTTATACCACAGAATAAAATAATGAAATTTAATTTCATCAAATTATTTCTTCATTTATTCGGTAATAATAGTGATGATAGTAATGTACTGATAATATGTACGATCTCCTCTCTTGGAAATTATTATAAGCACACCCCTTCCCCAAAAAACTTCAATGTGGGCTACTGTATGATAATTGTTGAACATAATTAGTTTTATCATTATTATGTTAAACAATAAATTTAAAAATACTAATATCTAGAGATTTTAAGAACCTTGATTTTTAAAGTCAAATTGAACTTTGAAAATATTTTATCGAACTTAAACATTTAAAAGTAAAAAGGCTAGGTTAAGTCAAAAAATTTTAAAATTGAAAAACTGTAAAACTTAGTAAAATACTATGCAAAAATACTAATGCGAAACAATAGAATTTTTCGTAACAAGGCTGTACACAATACATTGTATTAGTAATCACGTAGAATCTGCATTGAATAATTTTCGAATCTAATACCCTGAATTCAGTTCGATAATCAAACAGTTTGTCACATCTCTTCAAATATCCATATCTTTTTGTTTTACGATTGTATAAAATATATATTGATTAGTTTTAATTTTGACTTGTTTGTATTAGTTTATTAATGATAATAATAATTTGTTATAGATTAGGAAAGCCATTGTCCTTGGCAGAAAAAGTTCTTTACTCTCACTTGGATGATCCCAAGAATCAAGAACTCAAACGAGGTGAATCTTATTTAAAATTAAGGCCTGACCGTGTGGCTATGCAAGATGCTACAGCTCAAATGGCTATGTTGCAATTTATTTCATCTGGTTTACCAAAAGTTGCAGTTCCATCCACTATTCATTGTGATCATTTGATTGAAGCTCAAGTATAAATTAAATAACACTTATAATTATATTTTTAATGCTAATAAATATTTTATAATAGATTGGTGGAGTAGAAGACTTAAAAAGAGCCAAAGAAATAAATGAAGAAGTGTACAATTTTTTGAAAACGGCTGGTGCTAAATATGGAGTTGGTTTTTGGCATCCTGGTTCAGGAATCATTCACCAAGTAATAATAATGAATATAATATTTAGTATTTTATTTAAAACGTAAAATAGGAGTACTATTTTAATATTTTGTTTAGATTATTCTGGAAAACTATGCTTTCCCTGGATTATTGATGATTGGTACTGACTCCCATACACCTAACGGTGGTGGTCTTGGGGGTTTGTGTATTGGAGTTGGTGGAGCAGACGCTGTTGATGTTATGGCTGACATTCCATGGGAACTTAAATGCCCAAAAGTATTCATTAACTAATTGGTACATTTTAACTGCAGTTATAATTTTATTTTAATTTAGGTTATTGGTGTTCATCTGTCTGGAAAAATGTCTGGTTGGACTACACCAAAAGATATAATTTTAAAAGTGGCTGACATTTTAACTGTCAAAGGAGGTACCGGTGCTATAATTGAATATCACGGACCTGGAGTTGACAATATATCGTGCACTGGTAAAAATAAATGTGGTTACTTGAAAATTATAAAGCTTTATCTTACCATTAGTCAAATTTATTAAGGTATGGCTACCATTTGTAATATGGGTGCTGAAATTGGTGCTACAACTTCCTTGTTCCCTTTCAATCATCGAATGGCTGATTATTTGAAGGCTACGTTACGTCCTAAGATTGCTGAAGAAGCTGCCAAGTACAGTAAGTCATTATTGACACCCGACCAAGGCAGCCACTATGACCAAGTAATTTTTTTTCTTATCTTAACTAACATTATTAAAAACTATGAGTTTTGTTATTTTTATTATTTAATGGAATATAGTTAATTGAACTTGATTTAAACACATTGGAACCTCATGTCAATGGCCCATTCACACCTGATCTCGCTCATCCTATTTCCAGACTTGGTGATAACGCCAAGAAAAATGATTGGCCTGTTGAAATCAAAGTTGGTAGGTTATTGAAAAAGTTAGCTTATTTTTATTTTTTTTCAGTATTTCATATTTATTTAGTTTTATGAAGTTAATGTTGTAAAATTGTATAATATACTATATATGGCATTCGAATGGTTCTTATTTGGGTGATGGAATTTTTTTTTGGATATTCCCTAACTTTATCTGAAAAAATAAAAATGTTGAGCTTCCTAGGACAATTTTCCATCCTATAACAAGGTAAAGTTTCCCATTTAAAATATATTGGATTTTTTGTTTATTCTGAATTTTAATATAAGGCAGGGATCGGCAATTAGTTTCCAAGAGGGGTCGGATAATTTAAAAAAAAACAATTTTCGAGGGCCATATATTTTTGGAGTTAAACAAAAAAAAAAAGTTCAACTTCTATCTATTTAGTGTTCCATCTTATTTAACACCTCCAAAAAAAATGTAAGTTTATAAGTTATAAATGTATTTATTTTTGTATTAAATACACAATTATTATATAATATTATTTATTATTTTATAGAATAAGATATAAACACAATTGTATTATAATATACAAATACACCACCCATCATATGAATAGATTACATTCAAGCGCTTGGATGTTCTGGATCTACACAGAAATAAATAATGAAAACAAAAAAAAAACCACCTTTAAAGTAAAAAAATTTTGTCTATCCGTTATCCATTTATTTGTTCTCCATGGGCCAGATTTGGTTTGTAGGCCGCCTATTGCCTACTCCTGATACAAGGCATAAAGAATTGACATTCAATTTTTTTCTATCATGAAAATTATCAAGATAAATCTTTTTAATGGGGAGAAATACAATTATGCTACTTTCTTCTATTAATTATATATTATTCTGTTTTCTTAAATTTGGTCAAAAAGTCTGGAAAATTTGATTTTTAGCGTGGCGCATCTTAGAAAATTGTTTAATCATTGAATATGGGTCATTCTATATCAACTATTAATGAAAACAGAATTAATAATAATTAAAATTAACATTTTATATTATTAAAAATAATGAAAATCATTGTATGCTTTATTTTAATAAAATATTTACTACATCAACCATAAACCAGGTGACAACATGTGGTTACACAAATTTGATTTATCAAGAGTAAAAATTATAATTAATTGTTTTTTTTTAATTGTTGTAAAATCGACAATCTGGTTTCATTTAATCTGTGATATACTGAATTATTTGTGGGTCTATGTCACCAATTAAATAAGGTTTTTCATGTAAATCCTTTATTGACTTGAAAATTAATCTATATAGAAATATCAGAAATTACACTCATAAATTAAAGATAAATAGCCTACTATTATTATTTTTTTCAATAATTTAAATCTAAAATTATTTTACTAAATAATAATGTTTTAATGGAAAATAAAATTTAAAAAAAAACCTACCAGTATTGTAGTTAAATTAAATGGACACAAATGAATCATAAATTACAATAAAAAAATATACGAAAACAGAACAAACATTGAATATTAATAATAAAACGTAATATTGTTTGGTGTAAAGTAGGGAAGTATTTTTTTACTTTTGCTGACATTTTTTAAACCAAAAAAAATATATATTGTTTGATTTTTATCTAGGATATTCCAAAAATAGTCTATATGTATTGAGTTTATAGACAAATGAGCAGATACGGCCCGTGCATTTATAGTCTCTTATAAAGTATTATCTCTAATTTCCATGCAAGAAAAAAATTGAACGTCAATTCTTTATGCTTTACATTAAATAATAAAATAATAAAGTACAAATAAAATTATTAAAATAGTTAATACTCGTAAATAAATATATAAATAAAAAAGAATGAATGGATCACCTGGAGTATTATGATAAGTATTTTATGACCAGTTTTTAATTAAAAATTTATCTTTGGCTATATCACAGTCAAAACGTAAAACATGACGGTTTTTCATTTTGACTGTGATATACCTACCTAACGAGGAATTTCAATTTGAAACTGGTCGTATAATACACCTATCATAATACTCCAGGTGATGCATTCATATTTGTATTTATTTATTTATTTGCTTTATATTAACAAAATTCAAAATAAACAAAAGGTACAATGTATTTAGGAAACCTTATCTCGTTATAGGAGGATGAAAAATTATCCCAGGAAACTCAAATAGAGCTCAACATTTTTTTTTTCAGATAAAGTTAGGGGGTGTCCAAAAAAAATTTCACTATCACTTAGATAAAAAAAACCACCTTAATACAGCATAAATTCATAAACCTTGTTGTATTAATTATTTTTATTATCAATATCATATGTATATTTAGGTCTAATTGGAAGTTGTACCAACTCTAGTTATGAAGATATGTCAAGGTGTGCCTCTATAGCAAAAGAAGCTTTAGCTCATGGGCGCAAATCAAAAATCCCATTTAATGTAACACCTGGATCTGAACAAATCAGAGCAACAATTGAAAGAGATGGAATTGTATATAGAAAATAATATTATTATATTTCAATTGGTTTTTGTACTTACATTATTGTTTAGGCACAAACATTGAGAGATTTTGGTGGTACTGTATTAGCTAATGCGTGTGGTCCTTGTATTGGTCAATGGGACCGTAAAGATGTCAAAAAAGGTGAAAAGAACACAATTGTTAGTTCTTACAACAGGAACTTCACTGGACGAAATGATGCTAATGCAGCAACTCATGCATTTGTCACATCTCCTGAGCTCGTTACTGCTTTAGCCATTGAAGCTCGCTTAGACTTTGATCCTTCAGTTGATTCAATTAAGGGAGCTGATGGTTAGTTACATATTATGAGGGTAAAGGACATGTAGCTCTAAAAAAATCCTAAAATATACACATTTTAATAGCGATTTAATTAATAAAAATTTGTTATTTCAAATAAGAAAAACCGTTACCTACCTAATTTAATTATATGCCATACCATGACCAAATTAATAAAAAAAAAAATTGTCATAATTAAACTTTTACTTTTATTTTTTGTTGATTAAACTGTATAGACATTAATGCTACATTGATTGGTTTTTAAATATATTTAATTTGTCATTTCTTCTAACACTAAAAAAATAGTTTTTATGCATTAATTTATGATTTTTATTAATGATTATCCTTTTCAATAAATATTATTATTAAAGAAATTGTAAAAAAAACTTCAAATGTATTTTGATACGCAAGACAAAAATATGCAACATAAAATTATAGATTTGGTGTTGTTGTAACTTAAAACAAATGTATTTTAATACATTTGTAAACAATGTATTTGTAAACTAGCCTTTTCTTACAACTCCGCAAAATAGATATGCAAATGCTAAATGTCCTTTACCTTTTAAATTCTTTATTAATTTTTATCATGATTTACTTGATTTTATTTTATAAATATTTGATTTTAATATCTGATAAATACTTGAAAACAAAAAAATATACACAATGGTAGGTACTTTGTGTGCCTCTTTATAACTTATTAAGTAGATAGTTGATAGTATTGTTTTAATCTGTACATATTGTATAATTGCCTAAATAAAATCTCCTATTTTACTCTTTGTACTTTTAACAAGTTTAAATTTAATTGTATCCATTAAATAATTTGAGCAGAGCAACAAATGTATTAGTTTTACAATGTTTATTTTTTCATTTTTTTGTGAATAACTTCTATCAGAAATTTTACTCACATTTCAAATGTAGCACCTTTTTTGAAATTAAATTTTTCTGATATGGTATTTTATGGAGGTTATTTTTTGATACAAAAAAGTTTTCATAATAATTTGGAAAAACAGGACAATTAATAAAATGTATTATTTTCAAATCATAAACATTACAGTCTTTCAAAATGTGTACTCTGGCCAGAATCGGTTTTTTGTTAGAAATGATTAATTGTTCCTTCAGATACACATTAAATTTCCCTTCTACCTTCTCTGATGCTCACTTACAACAATAGCCCACCTTCATGCAAAGTATGTCAGTTTTATTTTATTTAAACTGAATTTCTTCTAATTAAGAATATAATAATTGTTTGCATAATAACAATATTAGTACAATTGCTTTATTTCTCTGACATTAATTTTCATATTTAAACCAAAAAACACATAAAATTGCTTACAATGTGTATTAATATAGTTTAATATTTTGATGTAAAGGTAAGGAATTTAAATTGAGCAATCCATTTGGAGCTGAATTACCCGCTAGAGGATTCGATCCTGGTCAAGATACTTATCAAGCTCCACCAGCTGATGGATCATCTGTAAATGTCGCAGTGGATCCAAAGTCCAAACGTCTTCAATTATTGGAACCTTTCAAGGTTTGGAGTGGAAAGGATTTGGAAAACCTAACTATTCTTATTAAAGTATGTTTTTTTTTTTTAACAATATGCATATAGTAAGTTGAAATATTCGACCAAACATTGCTAGTATGGTGCATTCCAAAAAAAAACTAAACTATTCTAAACATAATAAATAAAGTTGTTTAAACAGATTATTTATTTGTTATCTGATATATTTTTACTTAGTAAATCTTGTGTCCAATCATTGAACAATGCTTAAACCCAGTAGTTTCCCAGAAATACCAAGTATCCACTAAAGTGTATCAAATACAGCTTTTTTTTGATTTATAATGTTGAATTTTGTTGTGTAACAAACACATTAATTTGTATTGTCTGAAAAAGGTTAAAGGAAAATGTACTACTGATCATATTTCTGCTGCTGGACCATGGTTGAAATACAGAGGTCATTTGGACAATATATCCAATAACATGTTCTTGACGTAAGTTATTTTTTATATTGAAACATATTTGTATTTTTTAATTATTTGTCTATTTTACTCTTATTTGATTATTCAAGCGCAACTAATGCTGACAACAATGAAATGAATAAAGTAAAGAATCAAGTAACTGGAGAGTGGGGCGCAGTGCCAGATACAGCCAGGGCTTATAAAGCAAAAGGTGTATCATGGGTAGTATTTGGTGATGATAATTACGGTGAAGGAAGTAGCAGGGAACATGCTGCTTTAGAACCACGTCATTTGGGAGGAGTTGCCATTATTGTCAAGTCTTTTGCACGCATCCACGAAACAAATTTGAAGAAACAAGGAGTATTAGCTCTTACATTTGCAAATGCTCAAGATTACGATAAAGTTCAACCAACTGATAAAGTATCTTTGGTAGGACTGAACCAATTTGTTCCTGGCAAGGTAAAATACATTTATTTAAAACTTTGAGAACTAAAAAGTACACTTTTAAAATTTTTAGATTTTATGTACTATTTCCATATAGAGATCACTAGTGATGTCTTAATTTTGTTTGTTTAATTAATATTACTTTTAATTTCAGCCATTAAAATGCATCCTATCTCATACTGATGGAAGTAAAGATGAAATCTTATTGAACCATACATTTAATGAACAACAGATTGAATGGTTTAAAGCAGGCAGTGCATTAAACCGTATGAAACAAATAGCTGCTGCTTTTAAATAAATTTACTAACGTCATTAGAACGTTATTTTAATGATTGTATTATAAATTAATTTATTTTTACTATTTTAAATAGAAAAAAAAATAATTTTGTGTAAAAAAAAAAAACATGTTTTAGTCAAATTGTTGTTTAGGAGAAAAATTATTGGATTTAGATTTTAGATCCATCACTACTGTTATTTTATATTATATATAATTGTATTTTTAAAACTGTTAATAGATCATAGTCTTAAATTTTTTTTTTTTATTATATAATTATGGAGCTTTGACTCCTGTGCACATTTCATTCACTAACTCCTCACATTCCACTTGACATCCTATCTCTTGTAATTGACGTACAAATTTAAAAATATTTACAGCAAAAAATAACCAGCAACTCGCTTAATATTTATTCAAAATAAGATGCATAGATATGTTACCAGAAAAATATATAGTAAGAATACAATTTTGTCAATGAAATACCTTTTTATTAAGAAAGAATACATCTCTCATAATTAGTGTATTATAGTGAACTACGTTAATCACAATGAATTGATGAATAATTGCAGAGTAAAATTTTTTAAAAAATATCCAGTATAAAGGTGGTAAAACAACAAAAACACAAAATTACTAGGTAGGTAACATAATTTATATAATAGTACATTTTCTACTTAATTGTTGATACAATTTTAAATCTATTACATTTAGTATGTATATCAATAGTAGTAATTGGATAACGAATTCAGTGTACGAGTTCGACGCCGCGAAATTCTCTGGTAAACTTGATGGCAACAAAAAAGAACGCAACGCTCTTCACGATATTCCTACACACAGTATAGACGAGTTACAGATATATTTTACAAGTAATATTGACTGAATAAAAACGTGTACCACATACCATATGTCTTCGTCCTGATAAATGAGCTTCACCTTTTCCAGAGTGGTTCGAGGTTTTGGCTTGACAGCTGGTCCTGGTCTGGCGAACATTTTGGGTCCGTTTCAAAGATACTTTGAAAGAAATCGGCTTAATTGAGTAGTCTAGAATAGAACGTTGAATCAAGGGTTATGAAAGACTATTGGAGTTACCACAATACTGAATACAGTAATAATAATTGTATAATAATCTTATTGAATATTGTGAATTGTGATAGCGATATTTTACATAAATATTTAACACTGATAACATGTACGTTCCGCTAGCAATATTTGATAAGAAAGCTGAGGGGTTCCCAAGTTTATATATAATGTTGCCTATGCAACTCCTAAAAATACATTCTTTAACTAATTTTATTGCTATTGTTCAAAAAAATTTAATTTAATACAAATATGCTTAACATTGTACATAATTCCTAACCCATGAAATATTTTTTTGAGCATCTGATCACGAAAAGGTTATCTCTAAAAATGTCGTAGATCTAAATGACTCGGGACTATATTGTCTCGAGATCTAAATGTCTCTGATCTGGTATAAATTCTTATCAGAATACTTACCGGAGTCTCGACATAGAGTAATCCCGGCTGTATAACCGAATCGAGGCAAAAATTAAGACTAATTTTACAGTGCCACTGTCACAATTTATACGCACTAGCATATTGTAATTAAATATTATGTTTGAAAACTACATAAGAAATCAATAACAGCGTTTGTTGTTATGCTCGAAAATATTCGAATTCGACATTTAAATTGGTGGCAGTTTTGTTATGGTATATGCATACATATATTTTTTAGCTAAATATTTTAATACATATTACATAATTGTTTGCATAAATGTTAAACTAAAGTAAGTAACTGAGTCATATTACTCTATGCATGAGGATATCCAGAAATTGTTCATGGGAGGTCAGCGCAGATCAGTGTTTCCGATAGATTTATGTATGATGATATATTACATAATATACATAATATTAGATTCCGAGCGTAGCGAGGGAGCTATTAGTTTTACCAAGATGTTTATTTTTTTTCTTCTAGGCTGTGGACACGTTTTTTCCTATTAAATTTACTTCGATTTTTTACGTGTTGCAAATTTTCTGAAAGTTCATGTTTCTGGATGGTAAGTAGGAAAAAACGTAGGAAAATGTACAATTTCACGAGTTCATTATTTTATAAAAACACGGATGATGTTTTCTATCAGAAAAAATGATTTAATCGAAAAATCACAAGACACTTTTTTATTGAATTATTGATTTACTTTCTTACAATATCATCGCTAAAATTTTTGAGTCATTTTTGAACTTTTAAGGAATTTTAATTTTTGAGAGTTTTTTGCTGTAATTTAGTTATAAATACACGTAGACTTGAACTTAGTAATAATTATATTGGACTTAAATTGACGTGGACAAATTTTCAAGATCATCGGACGACTTTTTTTTTAATAAGCCTATTGAAATCAAATTTGATACGAAAATAGCAAAAACAAATTACGGTACTTCAAATTATGTATACCGAACTGCGCTCGGGATCGTCTTTCGCCAACCAATGGTTTATCGTTGCTTACAGATATAAATGAAATAACCTTATGTATCCTACCTTCCCAACTTCCCATCCTAAAACAATGGCTGCTCCCATCCCCAGTATCAGCTCTTTTTTGTATTGACAATACATGTTTGAGGAACTCGCGTCGCATACTACCAACTACCTACATGAATGTTAATCGCGTTGTGTGTTATCTACGTCTCGGACGATAAACGTGGGTCGGACATTGATGGTATGCTTTATGTCGTCAGTACAGTTTAATAGTTTATATATATATAAATTTTTTAGAAAAGTAACCAGTAACCGATACAGAACATTAAATCTACTCCATTCGGTTTTTTTTTTTTTTTTTTTGCAAACAATTAGAATTTTCAAAAATTCATATTTGTGTAGAAAATAAATATGATTTGACAAATTCAGAATAGGTATTACATTTTTATTATAAACGTGTAGGATTTTTTTTAAGCGCTGACAAAATGAGTCTATACTAACATCAAGTAACTTACTTTTTGAGTTATCATTTTATTAACAAAAATCATTAATAATGGATAAGTACCTATATTTTTCAAAAAAAACAAAACTAAATTGGTAAAATCATGTACAAATTTATGTGGCCTCTAGTAATGTAGGTAGTTGTTATACCTAATAATTAATACCTATGCAGCTTATTACTCCCCATCCTCATTTACATAAAATCAATTATTATTTTCCGATTTTTTATCTATATAAATTAATTTTTAGTTTTAAACAGCCTAGCTGGTTGAAACCGGTTAAATTGATTTTTAAAAACCATGAGCGGTAAAGTGAGGTATTTGGAATAATAATTTTCTCGAGGATGCAGTGACATAATTGAGAATGTTTTATTGGGGGGGGGGGAATATCAAAATAAATCTTCATGGCAATGTCGTAGGGGTTTTCGCTCCCACGACCCCTCACTCTTACTTATATTTAATAACTCATCAAATATTATATCAACATAGTTCTTCTATAATACATACCATATTTAACTACAATTATTTTTGTACTTATTTCAACTTCATCATATTATGTCTAGAATTCTAGGTTTCTTGGAAAGTCCATTTATAATCTCTATATTTGAAAATAGAATATTATTATGAATTTCCAACATTGATAGTCCGAAGTCATTTCTACAAACAAATTCAAGACAATTTTACGTAATAGGTATCTATCATGAAAGTTAATTTTCTCCAACACAAGGATTAAATATTTATCCTCAATGTAAGCCTTTTTAAATGTGTACTCACTACGTACCTATTATAATAAGCTCCTCCCCAAGCTGAAATTCCATAAGTAACTGAAAACTGATTGAGAAAGTGTACAGTAAAGATTATTATGAAAATCCCTTAGAAAATCAAAAAAATGACCTCTATCTAATGCACCAATTAGATAAAATTTCCTTTCAGAAAAGGTATACATATACTTACGTAGATATCGAATAAACGCATGAAATAGCACCGCACCAGAAAAATACTCCCCGGATCTGTGGCATTTATGAGCTCGTTATTCTACTACACATGTACTGACCAATGAAAAACGGAGAAAAGCAATATGGTTGGTATCATGTTTAATCTATGGTCTAACCACTCTAACCTATAGGTTGTTTAGAATATTTAATTTTGAAGTTCTACATTGTTATTTGTTTTTGCTACGCGTTCGCGCTGTTTTCGTTAAATCAATAACTATTTAACGTAGTTTATAAAACGTTTCGTTATTTTACCAATCGTTAATTGTTATTAATCTTACGTATTGGTTTTTTCTATTAATTTGTTTTATGGATGATTTGAATCTGACATCAATATGGATACAAAAATGATTATGGCCGAGTTAAAAGCACTAAGACACCAAATTTCCGGGATAATCTTACGACAGCAACACGATAGTGAAATTTTACGTAAAACTGCTAATTCGGTAAATGTTGTTGTCAAATTATTTGCAGTAAGTATTATTGATTTCAATAGTGTTATAATAGTTTTAGAAAAACAATCCCTTGACCAAAAAAACAAACTAGAAAAAAAGCCCTGGAATGGGAAAAAAATTCCCTATGTTAAAATAATACCTATTATCTAGGTATAGGTACAATAGCGACGTGATACCAAATTGTTGTGTTAAGTGTCCCATCTATAAATTGGGACGGGTGGGACCTGTGAGTGGTTAGAATAAAAAGTTATGAAATTATGTTATATAGTTTATATTCCAAGTTGAATAGTTAATTATATTACCTATACTTAATATAACGTACAAAGTATTCTTAGTCGTGCAATCATATTTTAAGCATTGAAGAGTTATCGATAGTTGATAATAAACCAAATTATAAAGAAAATCAGTGGATTTATAGATGCAAATTGCAAATGGGTTTTTTATTTATAAATTACTGTTATAACTGGGGCGCACTAAATTCTTTAAAAAATATACAATTCTAGTTGTGCCTAGAGGAGTGGGTGAAGTTTCAAATGTGTTATTTTAATAAAAATTGGTGGGTATAAATCAAACGAACATGTTGCTGTTCTTTTCATAAAAATAGTTTACCGCCACTGTATAGGTATTTAAAAAATAATAATGAATCAGTTAGTAAAAATTAAATGAATATTTGTGTATCATAATATAATAATTAGAAATCCGAATATCTTATATAAAAAAATAATAATATATAGATTAATAAATTCCCAATAAAAGTTTACCTATATCATAATACAAGTCATAATATTCTATAGAGTTATATAGAGTTCTATTTAAGAGTTTTTTGGTTGAACATTATTCAATGATTAAAAATTCAAAGCAATAAAGCAGAGAAATAAGATAAATATTAATAGATTCTTAAAGTGTATCTACATCCTACTTAATATTATTCTATTCAGTATGGTTTTTTCCGTTCATTATGTTCCTTTTTTAAATTTTATAACAGTAATTACCCGATTTTAATCTTTAATGAACATGAGCATGTACACGAAGCAAATGAACATATTTTTTCTGCTGTAAAAATTAAAAGTTGAATAAATGTAAAAGTCAAACTAACCAACAAGTCTTTTGGACACACGTGCTCAAATTTTTCAAATGCCATACTTAATGTTTCAAATAGTGCATAAGCAGAATTACTGTGGGAAGAACATTTAAGGACTATTCAATATTATTGAACATGCTATGATCCATTTGTTTATTTTTTTGTTTGTGATTTATTATTATTTTTTTAATATGTATATGTAATTTAGAATAGGTCTTTTTTTTTAATTCACTATAACATTTTGTACCTAAAACAATTACACAATATTTTATAACAATTAGCAATATATTATATTAGTGATCATACATTGTTTTACTTGTATATGACACTGTAAAACATTTTCAAACAATTCAAAATGATGATTATAATATGTAAGTACTTAAAACTGTTCTGTATTGTTCAAAACAACTTAGTGAAATGTTTTATCTTTAAAAACGTTTTAGTGAGTTCAAAACTATTTGGAACCGTTGTTTTGGGTTCAACATTTTTTTTTTTAATATCCATCAAGTATCAAAATACAAAATGTATGATTGGGAACTACTGGCACTAACTACTTATCAATTACTCTGAAAAAAGAAATATTCTATATAGCTTTACTTAAGTCAATGGGGTTATTACCAATTAATGTTCTTCTTAGAAAAATTACCTAAAATATTAATAATATTAAAATAGTTTGAACTGAAAGAAGGAAATTCCTCCTTATGTATATAAACGCTACTAATTTATTAGTGGTATATAGGCTTATATTAAATCATTCAAATCTAAGCTGTATGATAGTTTTGACATAAAACAAATTTTACTTTGATCTTTGATTGTTAACATTCATTTTTATTTTCAGGGTGTTTGCGATATGAGTACCGAAAAACTTTCATCAATTCTAATAAAAGCTGATGGTAATTTACACACAGTAAACTCATATGAAGAATCAAATTTTGAATCTACAAATTTTAATTTGAATGAATATCCTATTAATAATCTAAAAACAATGCTACTAAATATAGTGAACATGATTGATGCTGGGCAATTTGAACAAAAGTCTGATTCATCCATATCTGAAGCGCCCATTTCCACAAATGTAACTCAAGATACTTATGAGGCTCAAAAAAATAATACAATTCCAGATGTATCACTTGTACAGACAAATATTGGTAAAACAACCAAGAATGAAAAACAAATTTCACCAGATATAACTCTAAACACCCATATACATAATAAAAATATAAAAGGTACACCATCTGCGAAAAAAAATATTTCTAAACCAACTGCAATGATATCACCAGATATAACCCAAAACACTCATTGTCAAGTTTATAATAGAAATAATATTAATTCTAGTATACCACTTGTACAGAAAAATATTGATAATTCAACTTCTACCGTACCTGAAACAAAAATTTCAACAGATATAGACCAAAATTATATTGATAAGCGTAAAAAAGACGAAGAAGAATATTTTGCACTAAGAAGAAGATACAGGAATAAATATAGGTACATGAATCTTGCAAGTGCACAGAGTACTGAAAATTCAGTAAAAAATACTACAAAAACACCAACGAAAAATGTCACTGAAAATAATGTGATTGATCAAACTGCTAATGACAAAGTAAGTTTGACATTATTGTTATCAAAAGATAATTATCAATATGACAAGTTTTCAGACGAAGTCATAAGAAAACAGTTTAATTTTGTTGACGCTCATGTAGTACTCCATAAATATACTCCTCCTATTCAGATTCCTGCACAAAAAGGAAAGAAGTAAGTATTAATTGTAATTAAATACCTATAGTAAGTTTCATAACTGCGATTCGTTGTATTTTTTCATTATGGTTTCTAAAACTAGGTCGTTATAATGTGCGATAAAATTCTTATAGGGATGTTTTTTATATGCATAACAAAAAATACTTCTGTTTACACAAAACAGTGGTACATAAAACAAACATACCCAGCTGATCTTACTATTTTGTTTGACGAAACGTGTGCATTTTATTTTCAATCCTAGATTGAAGACCCCTAATTTGAGACAAAACTGTCATAAGGCACAGCAGAATCGAGTTGCAGTTATTGTGAAACGCACTATAGGTATCTATAGTGTATACTATGGTGGTAATTAGTTTTGAAGTTTTATAATTTTTATGCTTGCACTCCTAAAATTTGTTTTAATGCATATAAAAATAAGGTGTATATTATAATTTACGATTGGTCAACCCTAATACGTGCCCTAAAGGGATTGAATATTTAAATTTGTGGAGTATTGGGAAGCTTATATGCTTGTGTTATTTTGTTGTAAAATTAAATTAAATTTTAATTGAATAAACAATATGTAAAAAAAAAATTAACGAAATAAACAATTTGTTACTCAAAGCATTCTATTTACCGATTAATAGGTAGAAAATGTTTTCTGTCACACATTAGTATACAAATTATCTAAGATACAGGTTGTTTAAAATTGATAATATAAATCGAAAATAGATTTTTCATAATAGTAACTATTATTTATAATTATCTAATCTAGTTATAATAATAATGACCTTATGATCTAAGATAAGACTTTGAGGCTATTGGAGCAAGTGTTAAATTCAATCGAATCGGATAATATTTATTGTATATGTTTTTTACATAAATAAAAACTATTTAGGAGGTACATAAAAAAAAATGTCAACTTTTTTAAATTTGTTAGGAAAGCAAGACATATTCTTCACTATTTGACTATCTACATCTTTAAATATTAGTAATATACATAATTTTTTTACGTTTTTAATATGATGAATATAGTTACATTATAAAGTTATAATATAAGTATACTTAGTACGGTTTGACAGTGAACGAAGTTTGGTTACACATGTTTTAACTGGCCATAATACAGAGGTTTCCAACCTTTTTTGACTCACAGTTAGAGAATACAATTGTAGGATCCTGACCCTTTTTTGATCCTATAATTCCTCGGGATTAAGCATTTAATGTAGTAAGATGGATAAAAAAATATATGATAATTGTAAATAAATATAAACAATAAACATATATGAAATAGAATATTTTGTGAGTATCAGTGAATGTATGGTTTTACTAGTCTATTTATTTATATTTTTTTTCTGTAATACATAATTTTAAATTGTTAAAATTGTATTAAAAAAATAAATAATGTACATGACAGCTACTTGCAGACGTTGTGTAACTTTCAAGTTGAAGAAATATAATGCTGTCTACGTCTCGGAAGAGTTTAGAGCAACAGTGTGCGTGCTATCAGGTCAGAGCTATGGGACAAGGAATTCCAAAAGTGGAAAGGCATGCCTCATTAAGGAATGGGGATATTATGGTACGACAAGTGTATGTTAATCAATTCATGGGTGTCTAACAAAAGATCTCTCAAGTTGTGAGTGGTCAAATGCTATAAAATCTTTGGTGAATTTGATGGCTATTCATGGAATGGGTTGGGTGGGCGCAGCGTAAGTGGTAGTCGCCACTGTAGGTTTAAAATCTGTAGTGAGACTAATATTATAAAAATTCTACCACACATCCGAAGTGTCTGTCCCATCACCGGGACCGTATGATGTTAGCCAATATTTTTCGCCTAAAGAACCTATTCAAAGTGTTGAGGAAGTCCGTTGAGAATATAATGTACAAAATTGATGTAATAGAAAGGAGTAAAAACCATGATCTTATTCTGGATCCGACAATTCATTGGGAAATGAATAACCCACAGCAAGACAGAGCAGTAGATGAAGAAAAGAAAAATATTTATGAACCGTGCTTTCCGTGGCTTCAATAAAATATATGGTATAACAGGTTGGAAAGTATTTGGACTTAGGTTTGGAGCTCAAGGTACAGCCTCAGGATTCTTAAAATCATTCCTCACAAATTTATATATTAATACTTTTATAGAAAATAAAATATTTATAATAAAAGTTTTTAACACTTTTAGCGCATGTAGGATATTTTTTGAGATAAATTTTAAAAAAAAATTGAAAAAATAGCCCCCAGTTTAAATGTTTTGGGGCACATGTTAGAGCTAACCAATCATGACAACATTTTGCATACCATATTTTTATATATATATTAGCACACATTTTTGGGGTGCGGCCTAAAATATTTTGAGAAAAATATATTTTTACCTTGATTATTAAGAATCACCCTAATTTATACCTATATTATTATTAACAGTTTTATGTTTGTGTTATAACTATAGTGAAACAGAAGATCTTGCAGTGACTAATTCATGTAACAGAAAATCAAATAGGAATAAAAAAAATACGACTTTAAATGAAAAAGAAAAAGTACCCCCACAAAAAAGGTATGTGGCTCTTTTAAAGTTTTTTGCATTTTAAATATTTTTGTTATTTTGCATTACATGCTTTGAAGACTTCTACTAGGTCTCTCCAATGACCCCTGTCATCTGCGTCTTCTATTACTGCTGTTTTATCAATTTTTTTTAGATCATTCTTTACTCGATCCATCCAGTACTGTCGTGGTCGTTTTCCATATGAGTTATTATTTATTGATAAAAATTGATAAAATATAATGTTCTTTGAGTGGTACATTAGAGAGGTCATTTTCTCTTTAATATTAGAGATAATGAGAAAAAATAAGGTCGTTAATGGCAACTGTTTTTATTTATTTTTTGTTATAAATAAGTTTTTATTATTTTAATCTTTTTTTTAAATAATCATTTTTGTCATGGAAACCCACATTGTTGTAATCATTTTACTATAATATGACATATATATTGTTAACAAAGCATCACTATTAACTAAATTTGGCTCAGAATTGTTTTTTCATTAGCAATGGTTATTGTTGCTTACAGGTATACACTAAATTTCTCCTCTACTACCTTCCTAATTTATCACCTACAACAGTATCTGCACGCACTTGCAGTCAGTCTTTTTTCAAATGGATTTTCCAATATTTTTAATAAAACCTTTTCGAAAAAATGTCCAAAAAGTAGAAAATATTATTCTTGAAAAATTGTAATTAATTGATCATTACAATTCTGAGTATGGTGTGTCACTACGGAAATTTTACAATTTAATAATATTACAGGAATATTCTTGAGTTTTATTTACTATAATAATATTTATTTTATTTTTATTAACCATATTTATTAAAAATTTTAATTTGCTGCTGATAATCTACATGTTATCTACGTTATACACACGATAGCACATTGCGCATGCGTACCATGAGCAATGGTAAAATACATCCCTGTATTTAAACACTTCTTAAATTTTACACACTGTAGTGGTTTTTATAATTAAGGTATCTAATTTAAGCTATTGCCATATTACATAATTGTTAACTGTTGGTGATTTATGTATTTTTGAATTAAATGTTTTTTGATAAACCAACCTTGACACCTCTGTCTACAAAATACTGGCCTTATACACCAACAAAAATATTTGTTAATTAATTATTAAAAAGCCTAACATTTGATACTGAGGATGGGTGTGTGACTATTATGAGTTGGAAGTTTGAAAGGTATGATACATAGAGATATTTAATTTATATCTGTTAGCAATGGTTTACACGATAAACCATTGGTAACTTGAAAAAAAAATAAACATTAAAAAACCAATACATTCTTCATTTTATTCAGAATCCAAAAAATTTTAATTTTAACCAACAAATAATAAATGGTTATACTCTACCAAAAAAATAAAAAAATTAAACAAATTATTAGAAATACCAAGCTAAACAGAACCAAATCATATCAGTGCATCATTAATATTAAAAAATAATACTTAATGTTTCTCATTTTTTTATTCAGTTTTTAAGTATTTTTTTATTTTATTTTATGTGTTTAATATTTTTATTTTTAGAGTAAGTTAAACAGAATTTGTATTTTGTATTTATATAATATAATTGTATATTATAATATATAAAGAGACTAAAAAATAAAATAACAAAAGAGCAAAAAAAATAAACTTGATTATTTCTTTCTGGATGTTCAACAACTAGTGCTGTTTCTTCAATTGCTCTGATATCACGTTTAAGATATATAGGTTAAACAACGGCTTATAACAGATAGTGCTTTATGATGACCGGTGAACTAATTATCTGAAACAGCTGAGGGCCCTGAATCACTAGCACTTGTAGTTGTTTAAATATGTTAATATTTATTATTTCTATCATAATTTTTAAATACATTACAAGCGTTTAGACACAGAAAATCTGAACGGCTGCAAGATGGCCGACTACTACGTTATCATACAATCATTATTATTATCACTTACAGCTTATCACTAAATTAAGAATTGGTATTTATTCTATTAGTTTATAAAGTTTATTACATTTTATTTTTCTTGACATAATTCAATTATTTGTGAAAATGAAACAAATTAACTTTTTAATTACTTAATACCTTTATTCATAGATATATTTTATACATTAGTAAATAATTCAAAATAAAAAATTTATAATGTAGCATTTGGCTGGTAATATATTTTGTTTAACTGGCCGTAAAAAAAACCTTGAAAATAATATAATGTTTACACATTTAGCAATTAATATAAATGGAAATAAAATGAAAAATATCATGTGGCTGGTAATATTTATTCATTTTTTAAAGCAGCTAAAGTTGGTTTGTTGGTAGAGAAACATTTCTTCAAAATATTAAGTTCTTCCAAATTTGAGATTCCATTTAACATTTATTCAAAATTTAATTTAAATTTGTCTTCTTCAATTTGAAAAGTAGATTGGTTTGATATTATTAAATTATTTAATTGTGATATAAATACAAATAGTAAAATATAGATATCATTTTGTAAAAAGTTTTACCTATCTAATATTACTATTTGTATTAACTTTTAATAACATAATATATTGTATTTAATCAATAATTTAATACTTGTACAATAATACTCATCCGCCGCATGACTATACACTTGTACTTCGGGAGCTCACTTGCATTCCATATAGATGGCTCACCTTCGTACAATTATTTCATTGGACCATCCCATATTAGTGTAGAAATAAACTATACACAAAACTGATCAGAACAGAATGTTGTATTGAAAAATAAATCTTCACTTATTCTGTATAAAAACATTTAGAATTATTGTTTTAATTATTTATTCATAGATGGCGTTGATTGTTTTGTACCGACCATATGGGAAACGTTTCGTTTTCATCGATAAGACATCCTTACTCAGTTTATTCTTTCTTAGTTCGTGGTTAGGTATAGGCATTGTTTTTAGAATATACTATGAAGTAGTATATTAGTATACTATACTACTATAGTATATTATAAAATCAATGCTTTAGGTTATAGTAACTATAAACTGTATAGTTTATACGGTACCAGCTGTTACAGATAGTTCACCGGTCATATTATGGGAGTTCGATATGCAACCTGCTGTTATAATATCTTAAATCGTATTCTTTTAAAATGGAAAATTTAAAAATTTAAATTTTATTTTTGACACGCTGTATAATAGGACACAAGCGGCAGTGCGCTGCCGCTTGGACTATTTGAGTCGAGGAAACAGTACCTCGAGACGTTCAACGCCGTCAGATGCATTATGCATGCTCGAAACGAGTTCTTTCTCTCATGAGCCCCAGTAAAGTTTTTCACAGCTTTAAAGAAAATTGATTAATGATTGAATACAATCAGGGGCGGATTGGCGAGAGATTTCGGCACGGTAAAATACAAAAGTACCGGTTCTGTTATTAATTTACCAAATACTGAATTTTAGTCAACATGTATTATCATTATTAACCCAACTAAACATTTTTTTTTTTTACACATTTAGAAAGATATTATCCAATGTTAAGTTCTATCATAAGTTAATTATATCTGTATGTAATATTTTATATTTGATTAAAAAAAAAGTCATATTTTTGTACTGAACACTACTCCATCACAAGCTCGGGCTTAAAGGAGTAAATATATTTTAAATTCCGAGCGTAGCGAGTTAGTTATTGGTTTTACTAAGATGTTTATTTTTTTTTTTCTAGTCTGTGGACACCGTTTTTTCTAGTAAACTTGTTCCGATTTTTACGTGTAGCAACTTTTCTGAAAGCCAGGTTGTCTAGATTGTACCTTAAAGAGGTTGATTTTCGATGCCATTTTTTAAATAAAAGTGGGTCAAAAACGTAGAAAAAAGTACAATTTCACTATTTCATTGTTTAATAAAAACCCGGATGACGTTTTCTACCAGAAAAAATGATTCAATCGAAAAATCATAAGATTTCTTTTTTGTTTCCTTTTTGATTTACTTCCTTACGGTATCATCGCCAAGGAGGAAGTCTTCCTTACTATACTATCAAAAATGATTTAAACAATTAACCATAGCTCCTAATTAAACAATATCGAGTAATAATAATATTTTTAACTATTTGAAGCCAATGAGTGAAGATGACTGATGATAGTTTTAATATGAAAATGTCGTATGTAGTCGTACCAACGCTAATAGTATAGTAAATAGCATCATGCTATGGATATCACAATGATCGGTCGTGTAACATATTTAAAAGTTGCTTAAATGTCATATCCTTATAGGTACTATTCTAAAATTCCAAAATAATATATAATTTTACATTATTAGAACTTGATAATGGTTTAAAGCGTTCATTTAAAAATATACCTATAACATTTTATAACTGAAAGTGTAAGAAACGCTTACACTGCATATATGCACGCCACGCCATTGGGTTGCATATGGTTGTAACCACGATTATAGAACTATATCCGAGATTGTAACGGTTACTTTGATATTGTATTCTCTCCATGACACAATAAATGTATTGTATATTTCTGTGTTCTATGGTCTAGTTTAATATTGTGACCATAATGGTATAGTTAATTATTAGCCGCTATCGTGACGTTATTTTTTTTTGTTTATATTATGTTTTACATAGTTATTTTATAGTATAAATTTAAAATATATCTTAAGTTCCTAGTATTTCTATTAGGTATCTATCGGGAAACCAATTTCAGCCAATAGTTTAGGACAGCCAATGGGGTTGTTTAAAATATTGTATACTAACATAACATTTGTTAATTTATATCTTTCACTTAGTAAGTGTAGGCACAAGAAGATATATGTCGGAGTCATAAGCAAATAAGAGAATAAGATAATTCTCTTCAAAAATTTATATTGGTCATTAACAAGATCATTTATACATTATGAATAATTACAAGACCAAATAAGTGAACTAAATTCGAGGTTAGATCTTACTAATGACATATATAGTTTTTTTTAAGTATTTCGTATTTCTATTGATAAAACCCATTTCATAGGATTTATGGTTGATAACCATTTTATGGTTTAATTTGAATGATAAATCATTTTAAAAGTTTACACCTAAGTCTTTAATAGTAAATCATAAAAAAAAACCATTTATGACATAATTATTGTATTATAATTTTAGTTATAGCTATTGTATCGAAATAGACAGTGTATTACTGAAAAAAAAAAAAATTTTCATTATCTTGTAGGTAATGTATTATCACAAGTCTCATCGTGGCTTTACCAAATCGATAACATAGATTATAAATATTTCTTAATTGTCGGGAATCGGCTCTACCGTTTGTCTGAAGTAGTGATTATCAGTTATATCCTGTATATCTTGGAAGCTCTTATACTGTTATCACTTAAAACTCTTGGTGTAATACATAAACCTGTTGGTGTACGAAATTCGAGCGAAATACACCACTACTAACTCCCCGCCCAAAACTTAAAAGTGGTATATCTTGTCAACTGGTTGATAGAAATCGAAAACTTCAACACCAAAATTTATTTTTATTTTAATTAGTACTTCATCTATTTAAGGCATTTTCAAAATTGGTTGCCATTTGAAAATCAAAAGTAAATAATCGTTTCACCCTCAAAAATAAGAGGTACAAAAAAAATGATAAACTAATATTTAAGAACTGATTGTTTCTTAAGTTTTCAAAAAAAAAAAAAAATAGAAATTAAATTCACTTAAATTCTCTGAGTTAATTGCTGGTTCATGATAAAAAAGGACATACTTCGCATATGGGTGCAACCACTGTTATGGGTTGGAAGTTGAGAAGGTAGGATACAGACAGGAATTTAATGTAAGCAATGCTAAACCATTTTTAATGAAAAAACGATTCTGAGCGGAGCTCAGTTGATTGTGTTGATTTGTCAAACCCATAATATATGGTAAAATAAGTACACATGCATTAAATATTTGTTTAATATTGTACCTATTTTCCCGTTTCCCGATTTTCTTCCGTTTTTTTCCGGTTCTTCAAATATTTTAAGAAAATTCCGGAAAAAATCAAAATATTATCTCCTTAAAGTACCTCTCCAGTCAAATTTCCTGTTAGAAAAAGTGTTATTATTGTAAATCGGAGCAAAATTGCTCTTAGAAAAGTTGTTCACTGATAAAAAAAAAAAACAAATAAATATTGTAAAACCATTAGCTTCTTTGCTCCACTCGGAATCTAAAAATTACACTGTATATATATCAAGTTAGAATAACTTTATCATATAGAGTTCAATGAATATACGATAGATAAATAAAACAACTAAATAGCTGACTACCGTGAAAATTATCCAGAAATATAAACAAACCAAAAGCTAGTTCAACTCAAGTAACCATTATTTAAAAAAATGTCTTCGAAAAATATGTATAGATATTTCAGCATAATTTGTTGACATAAAATATTTTTTAAAATAGTTATTTGAATAAACCGTTCACTGGATAAATTCTAGAATTCCCGGTGGCCCAATCCGCCCCTGATATACAAGTTAAAACGTTAGATCATGTTATAATAATATATCTGTGATAAAGAATATGATAAATTCTGCTATCAAATTATGTATTTTCTTATCTAAATGTAACTTAACGATAAGTATACTCCATTTTGATTCCATTCGGTTTCTGTACAAATATATAAAACTAGATATTAGACTTCGGTATTTTATACCGTCATCTAAGAGGTGAATGTTTATCTTTTATAGTATTGATAAGGAACGATATTATAATATTTGAATATTAGGTTTTATGCATATTGTACAGTTATATTTTTATATTATGATGTACAGATAAGAACAGTTTTTCATGTTTTACTATATTGTTATAAATTTAACTTAAACTTTAAAAAACAAATATTATTTTGAAAAGTTTTGAACATAATGTAGTTAAGCTCCCAAGTGATTTTTGAAAATTTGTTTTTTGGAAATCTATGTGTTTCAACAAGTTAAGAATAATGGTACAATCCGAGTTAATTGTCGGTCAAACTTATTTTATGTACTCCCATCCAGTATTCACAACATAAAAAGTATGATAGGTTCTAATTACACTAAAATGTTAAGGACGAAAACAGTCACATTTTGAAAAAAAAACAAATCCCTAAACTGCCCTTGTTCTGAGTTTTTGGTGGAGTTCAGTTTTCTGTATGTTTTTATGCAAGAGAAATAGTCATAAATTATTTTGTCCGTGTTAGGTCATAAGGTTATTTATTGTAAAACAAATATTAGCACACCTAGAGGTATAAGTTTTAATGAAATATAACTATGAAAAAAAAAAAGAAAGGTAAGATAAGGGGGACGGGTGGCAGACACTAGTGTATGTGGAAAGTTGGGAAGGTAGGATACAGACGTGAATTTTATGTATATCTGTAAGCAATGATAAATCGTTGCTAACGAAAAAACGATTTTGAGCGGAGTTCAGTTGATAGTGATGTTTTGTCAACAATATATATGTCATTTTATAGTAAAATAATTAATTAATTAGGCTTTATATTATTTTTTTAATATTATGTTTAATGTTGTACTGATTTTACCAGTTTTCTTACGTTTTTCCGATGTTTTGAAAACATATATTGTATTATAATAGAAACCCAAAAAACAACACGATTGAGCACGAAAATAGGTGCTACATTGCCACTTTGTATCGTAGAATATTATTATTAAAAAATAAAATACATCTGAACATAAATATTTATGTATAGAAATATTATCTTATATTGGTTTTTTATCACATATTACCTATGATATATTAAGACAGCTTTTACTGGGTTAGTTAGTTTAGTATATATTACAATTAAAATTTGTTCCCCTAAATACCGAATATATATATAGAAAAAATTAAATAAAAAATGTTGCTGTACAATCATTTTGTGTACATCGCCATTTCAAAAATTCATCTTTTTTTCTTGACCCAATAAAATTGTACTTGAAAGTTCTAACATTTGTTAACTCTGCATCTATCGGATAAAATAATTTGTATTTCATTGTTTTCCATCATAAAAATCGTAAAATTTGCAAAATACACACTATTTTTGAAGAACACAAGCACGAGACACCAGAACAGACTAACTGTGACCAAGTCTTATTCACGGCGTATGTACAATAACAGTTCATTACAATTTAGTGCAATTGTTGTAGACAAAATTCTGGTTTTCTATCTATCTCAGTTATTTTTAACTTCCGTGGGTACCTATCGATCGATGCAAAATCTTTTTCGACTAATATGTCAGTTACCTATTAGTAATCTATACAACATACGTAGTAGTGGAAATCTGAAATCGTTGTACACAATATTTGTTTTATTGTGCTCAATCGAATTGTCAATAAGGTCGGCTAATAACGACCGTGCTCAATTGTTCCAATATATTGAATTATGTCGGTGATTTCTATTACAGAATTAAACATTTTGTATTTTTATCACTATACATTGTAAACAAAATAAGTTTTAATAAGAAAATTAAAAAAAAACTAGTAATAAATGGATTATTTTGGCTAAATTACTACTTTTCTAATGCTACCATAGCGTCCATCTCATTGTTAGTCTTATCATTTGTGTCGACTAAAGCGCTACCTAGTTTCTTTCAATCGCAAATTACAGTGGAAATAATAATCAATTTCAAGGTGTAATAAAACTTTTAAAGAATTTTATCCATGGTTGCCCCTGACTATCGCTATCATTCTCACTCAATGTCTTTTACGAACACCATAGACGGGAGGTGAGGAAACCGCAGTCCATTTATTAATATGTCTGATTTTACATACATGGGAATTACATATAATATGCATTCTATTTAGTTCAGTGGCTCAAAATCTAACCTTATTATACACATACTCCAATCCCGAAATCTTCCTTTATTCCACACATACTTTGTACATTCATATTTGAACCTTCATACATATCCTCTATCAAATTAATATACACAATTTTGGAGCTCTTTTCTCATTAAAATCCACATAACTTCTCTTGGAACTCTGTCGTATGCCTTCTCTAAATCGGTCAAAGCCATTTTTCGTTTTATAAGTTCAAAATATATATGTAAGCACTGACATGAATTAACCTATCTATATTTATCTTATACAAAATTTAACTTTTTTCAGTACTAAAAAGTCCAGATACCCAAATGAAATAGAGGCCCGAAGAAGATCAATCATAAAACAAATCAATTTTGAACCTGTAAAAAAGAAGAAAAAAAGAGTTTAAGGTTGGCACTGTAAATAAATAACTGATCTTTATATAATTATATTTTATTTTAATATTAAAATACTTACACTGATGTAAATAAATAAATAATAAGCCAATTATTTTAGTTTATTTTAAGTTGGAATTTTTTTATTTTATTTTTTTCCGGTTAACTGAGTGCAGTGGTGGTTCAGTTTTAACTTTATTATACTACTGCTGCCAAAGTTGGAAATACTTCTCAGCATTTTATTAAATCATTTATGTTTGTTTTAAGAATTGTATATAACAATATAATTTAAGTTTATTTTACAATTTTATATAAAAGATAATATGGCAACAATATTATTTGCATGCTAATATATAGCATACGACAATATATACATACATTATATTATATATATATTAAATTTGCATGTGATCAAAGAATATTGGTAATATATTAATAGTTTTAATTTTAAGTATTGTTAAGCATAGCAGTAATGGCTTGTAATTTCTAAAAGTGTTTAATGAATTATTCTTTAAATTAATAATATTGTAAATATTCGTTGTGACAAAATACTATGTCCATATATTATACCTATTAATGATTAACATAACTATTAAATATAATGCAATTATTGTATTAGTATTGATTTATTTTAATTTTTTTGTTTTGGTATATTAATCTGAGAAGTTTTTGGCTTCCAATCTGACTTGTAGCAGTTGGTTGTGTTGGTTATTTTAAGAACGTGCGTCCAAAAAGATTGTTTATTTTAAATACTCACTTTTAGGTGTATGTACTTGTGGTACTAAGAAAAAGAAGGCCCATTTTAAATTAATACATGATTTCAAAAAAAAAAAAATTTAGAAAATACAAAAATAATTAAATACCAAAAGCATGTTTTTCAAATAACATGCGTCATCAACAATTATATAATACTTATTTGATTGCTGTTTATGATTTGCACGCTAAGATTTTTTAAAATGATTGACAAATTTCAGATTCTGAGTGGAGTGAAGAAACTTACGGTTTACGTGTTATTAACTTTTCTACCAGAAGACTTGCTCGGAATTCTACGTCTACACCTTTTCTGAAAGGAAATCGGTGTGGGGAGGTACTTTAGTTTTTTCGATTTTTTCCGGAGTTTTCTCATCAAATGCGAAAAACCGGAATAAAATATGGGAAAAATTTAGAAAAATTGGGAAAATCGATATAACATTAAACAAATATTATTAAAGAAAATATATAGACCCTATTTAATCATTTTACTATAATATGGCATATATATTGTTGACAAAGCATTATTATCAACTGAAGTCCGTTCAGAATCGTTTTTTCTTGAGCAATGGTTTATATCGTTGCTTACAGGTATATATTAAATTACCTATCACAGTGGCTGCACCCGTCCCCATTATCCTAGGACGTTTTTTTATACCTACTCTATTCATATTAAAAAGACACTTATTCACTGTTCACGTATGTACGACTGACCATTCAAACTAGTGTTAAGATATAATATTATATTCGGAGATTTTTGTACTCTCAATGTTTTCCAAATATATATAAATCTTATTAAAATAATAAATCCATGTAGATACCAAATATTTTTGATTACATTTTATGAATATTCGATTAAAAAAAATTAGTAGATACGTATGTATATTATTACGTCGACTATCTGATAGTATATTTTATTATTCGAATATAATTGAATATAATTATCGGCATATATCCGAATAGTATACGAATATACGAATGGATTTTTATCCAGATTTTAAGCTTCCAGTATCCGGATATAGTTCCACCACTAATTCAAACGTTAAAGGAACGGCGGAACTCCCACCGCTGAACCTGTAATTGTCTACTGTACGTGACCATAATCGCGAACTCGGACTTTTGTAGTTCGTCGCTCAGTGTCTTCTTATTCTGAAAGAGTATACTTATTTATTTAAATTGTAATTGTTGCTATGAGAGAGTAGTAACAACCATTATTTTTCTACGGCGTTGGTATAGTCTACAATTATTATGTACCTACATAGGTAATATATTTTAGTCTGCGAACAGAATTTACAAACATTTTTCGAATAGAATGAAATGCAAAATACACAATATATATTAAGTAGGTACTAACTATACTTTTGTATTATACCGGTACATCATTTATATATTTTTATTGAAATTCGTTCGGTGAACTCTCATGTGTAAAACGTAATAATTATATTTTTAAGTATATCCATTGTTTGTTTTGGTATACCTATGTATAATAAAATTATACAATTTTTTGGTTCGGTTTTGTTGTATGAATGATACTTGAACAGTTGTACCTATAGCTATGTATTTTTGTTTTTTTACTGAATTCATGGTTGATTGTCATAAGAAACCATAAATAATTACTGCAGTACTCGTTTTCGATTGTTGCAAAAATACCGACAATGGTGGAAGCGGGTTGGGTTCTATACTTTGACTTTTGTAAATAAAAATGATTACGTTTTTCAGTGTCAACAAGGTTGAATTTAGTCGAATTTTACAGGCCAAGTATTAAAAAAGTAACGACAATAATAAATAAATTGTATTTCATCTCTACCCCTTAATTGTATTATTGGTATACGTTATATTATTATTGTATGCACTAGATATAATATAGGTTATGTGTTTGGTATATTATATTCATAACTATATGTATATATGTTTTTTACGACGAGCTCTGTGTAGTTAGTAGGCAATAAGTATTAAGTGTGTATAATAGTGAGTGGTAAGTATACCTACGTGTTAATATTGTTATGTAAATAATTTTGAGACGATAAAAAAAAGAAAGAAAGAATCATCGTGCCTATTGTGAGGTATGAAGCGAATCCTCATTTGTCAACGGAACACGTCATCAATGATATCTGTGATTCTACTGAGAATGATGAAAAACTGAAAAAACTTCTTTATTGCGATTTGGATACGCATTTTAAAAAGAAGTCCTGGGATAATGGGGACAGGGGTAGTCATTGTTATAGATAATTAAATATATACCTGTAAGCAACGATAAACCATATTGCTTACGAAAATACGATTCTGAGCGGAGTTCAGTTGATAGTGATTCTTTGTCAAAAATACATATGTCTTTTAATATTAAAATAAATAAATAGGCGTTTTATATTTTTTTTTAATAATATTTGTTTAATGTTGATTTTCCTACGTTTTCCCCGGTTTTCTCATGTTTTATTCCGGTTTTTCACATTTGTTGGAAAACTCCTTAAGAAATCGAAAAATTACCTCTTTAAAGTACCTTCCTAGTGAAATTTCCGTTTAGAAACATTGCTATCATTAAAAGTTGGAGCAAAATTGCTGGTTGAAAACTTGTGCTTAGAAAAAAAAAATAGTTATTTTGTACATATTCTCATGTTTTATTAGGTTTTCCAAAAAATAAATATCTTTATAAAACCATAAACTTCTTCAATCCACTCAGAATCTAAAATATAAAAGTTTTTTCGTGTGTAGTATTTTTAACAATTGAATTTATCCGATTATTATACTGGTAGATTACTTATCTTACGCATTTTATAGATTGTTGTCAAGTTTAATTTGTTCGTGTTTTATACCAAATTTATAACATTATATACCTATTAAAATAAATGTATATATAGTGAACAGCAAGTACAGCACTGCGTTGACTGTGAAATTCGTATTTTGTATTTTTAAAATTTGAGTGAATTTTTTTCTCACCTATTTGTTTTGTTAACCGAGAGAAATCAGAAATTAATAAAAACAATTGTAATTTGATATAACATCTTCTCGTTTCAACAATTCCTCTTATTTAATTTATTTGACCTATGTTACTCTCTAAAATAATTTTCCTCAAATCAAGATATAATGAAATCACTTCCGAAAGCGGACATTTTAATGAGTGGCTGTGTCCGCTAATAAGAGGTTTTCACTGTAGTTTCCATTTTCCTCAGTTTTTTTTTAGGTTTTTCACATTTGTTGAAAAAACACCTGGGAAAATCTAATTAATTTTGGTTGTGGTATTTTAAACGGTTTTGTATTTATTTTTGTTTAAATTCTCTACGTCCGGACACGTGCGTTTATAAAATATGTTAAATCGCACGTAATATGAATGTCAAACTGCAGCATTTTGAAGTTGTAAACTAAATGTGATGGATGCAACAGCGTATTCCTTGTAAATTATAGTGGACGAGAACAATTGTATACCTAGGTATTTGTTGTTATGAACATTGTTTTAACGAAATACTATAAATATTTGATATTATAATAATTATATGCTCTGTGACGTAAATCATATTAAAAGATAATAAGATATTCCGGATTTAAATGCAAAGTGCATTTTTTTTCTGCTTGCTCCAATAGAGAAATGAATACCAAGTGCATAATTGGATTCACCTATAAGAAATAGTTCAAAAATGAAACATTTTTCGCAGTTTTTTCAATTTTTTTCTGAAACTTTAGGTCTTTTTATTAACTTTGTATGCATATTGCATATTTTAAAAAGTATACGGGCATTTAAGAGCAAAATTGGGTAATTCAAAACAGTATTTCAACAAATTCCACAATATTGGCTTGATAGGTTAGGTTAAGTATTTTCTTCATCGGCTTCAATATTTATCCATTTTTCTATTTATGATTTGTAAACCCAAATTTTTTTTGGGTTACTTTAGAACACTGTACGATACAATCAGTGTAGGTATTTACATATTTCGATTCACGTAATATAGACACTTCTAAGGGGAAACTTTTTTTTCTCCATTTTTTAAAGATATTTTTATAATCTAAATGAATATTCTTTATTTATTATCAAATACTTGAAGTAATTTTAGAATAAATAAAAGGGGGTATGTTATGTTATACCTATGTACTTATATATATATATTGTCTCGGAAAACGATTCATTTAGACCATTCTTAGTCTTCCAAATTATTGTAAAAAAATAATAATAATAAAATAGTACCACTGTCATATAGTTCATTCTACATTAATTTAAATACTTGAACATACTTTTTGATAAACCTTATTTATTTGCCGATACAGTTTGATTTACAATAGAACACTGTTCTTTAGCCATATAATTACCATAGAGATTTTTTAGATAGAAAACTATAGAGTCATCTCGTATTATAGTTAAAATATTCAGAATATTAACAATCATGGAACTATATAGGAACTTATTATTTTAAGATCTTTCCATAAACTGTACATTTGCTATGTTTAAGTCAAAAATTGGTTACAATGGGCTGTGTGTCTCATAATTTGTTACAATATGTACTGTAATTTTATATTTACAATATTTTAGTTACCCAACAAAACATGTAACACATGAGACCGAAAAAATAGATGATTAGAGTACATTGTGAGTAGATAGTTATTTTCTTTTTAATGTTTGTGTAATACATTTATTTTAGGTAAAAACTGTGATTGTGTAATCCGAAGAAAGGATTTTAAGATTTATGTGAAATGGTAGTTAGCAGTCACACATTGTAAAAATAGAAGGGTATCGTGACAATTAATGACAATTAAAATGTTCGTAGGTACCTATTTTCGTAATGATTCGATCCATTCTTTTTCGTGGGTATAATATAAGATTGAGATTTGAAAAAAAGCTCTCGAGTACCTGATAATAGTGTAATTGTAACATGGTTTTCCATTAATACGAGTAAAAACAATGGGTCATATATTATAGTAATATATGTACCTATACCTGGGTGTATTCTTTTTTGTTATGGTCACGAGGATCACGAACTATTTATGCGTCTTGTCGTAATATGCAGTGATGCAGAGAATGTCATGTCTTATGTGGCTACATATATATATATATCTGTGTGTGTGTAAGTGAATTTTTTTATTGTTATCTTAACCTACCTATTTTTTTAATATAGAAGGTAAGGTACCTAATAATATAATATAAACCTTACCTACATACCTATTTATGAACCATGCACTTCTGTGTTCCAGTGACGTAGGTAGATACTATGTATATAATGTATATAGGTAGCTGTCATGTTTACAGATCGTGAGTAAATTCATTTATTTACGTATCCCTATGTATAATATTTAATCCAATGGCATTCAAATAAAGTAAACACAAAAAGGTTTTAAGCTCGTGCGTCATGACTCATGCACTTATCAGTGCATCTATGCACCGATGGTGCAGTATCTATACACACTTAGCTACCTAGGTACTTATAAAATATAAACAATGTATAATCAGCCTTGAGCCGACTTTATCGAAATCCATATGATCTATATAACAATAGATGCCCGAAATATTTTCGATAAATGCTATTTCATTATTTGCGTCTGATAATTTTATTGTTATTATAATTTGTTTTTTTTTTTATATTAGATATTGACCCTGAAGCAGGAGCGGGTCCAGGGAAGCCCTAGAGTCCGGCCTCTTCTCCAAGCCCAAATTTATAAAATATTTTATATTGTTAAAAACAAAATAATAAAAAAAAAACTTATTTGCTATCGACTATTATAGACACGTAAAATTGTGTAGTATGGGGGGGGGGTCATATTATTGATGTTTTGCTATAATAATTATGATATAGCAATCGAATCGATGGAATAGATAATAATATTATTATGTTAAACTAATAGTATGTACAGTTTGTTATTCGTATAGTTATGATGCATTTCGTGTTCTTTATATATTTTTTTTAGATTTTGAGTGTAGTGAAGAATGTATTCGTTTTATTAAGATGTTTATTTTTTTTTTTTTTATATTGTGTTCAAAAATTTGACCATAAATCTTGTTAAGATATACACTCGTGGCATCATTTCTGAAAAGAAATATTGTCCAGATGGAACTTCTAGGAGGTCATTTTTTGATTTTCCAAGTGGCTTTCATAATAACTGGGAAAAACTCGGATAAAACGTAAGAAAAACGGGAAATTTACAAAAATAATGCTTTTATTATTTTTCAATTTTGTTATTTATTGTAATTCAGTTAAAAATATTTATAGATACTTGAAATTTGGACAAAATTTCATATTTGCCTTTCCTTTTACCATAATGTGACATATATGTTGTTGACAAAGCATTACTATTAACTGAACTGCGCTCAGAATCGTTTTTTCGTTATAAATGGTTTATTTTTGCTTACAGACAGGACCGTATTTAAAAATTTGGCATCCCCGGGCATATCATTTATGCCATCCCTCTTCCCTCAAATTAACAATATTAGTATAATAATATTACATTAATCATTTTATCCATGATCGTGATTCTTTAATATTTGTGTATAAATATTAATACATTTAATGTTCATAATATTCTTTATTTTAATATTAAAATATAACATATTAATTAATAAATGAATATCGTTTTATAGTTAAAAAAAATTACAATCTTTTTTAATTAACAAATTAACATAATAAAACATACAATTTTCCTTGTTTGATTATTGGTAAAACCTTCAATTATGTCGCTAAATTAATGTGATGAGTTAATTGAGATTCAATATTTAAAATTTCCAATGCATTTAGTCTGTCTATGAATATGTTTGACCTTAGATACGTTTTTATGCGTCGAAGTGTCGAAAATGACCGTTCCGCGGTACAATTAGTCGCTGGAGTACAAAGAAACATACCTACGTAATGCTATACTTACATATGGAAAAATATCCTCCAATTCATGTTTTTTCATCATGGTACTGATAATAATTATATTTTTAGAATAATATTTTATATTTTGTAGGTGACTTTGGAAATGGATGTATTCGTTTATAAATGTTGTATCTAAATCATTTGTGTACATTGAATATACATTTTTAGTCGATATGTATACTTCTGATGTTTTCATCTTTTCAAGTTTTAAAAAGAAACTATACTTAGTTATTGCATTATTATATGCCAACTTTTTAGTAGTCAATTCGTTAACTGTAGGGTTACAAATTATAACTTTTTATTGTTTTATCTAGCTTCTGTTTTTTCTCTTTAACTAACTCACGGAAGTGAGTACCATTAAGTTTTATTATTTTAGATTTAGTTTAAACCGTATAGGTAAAAATAATAAAACTTACTTAGTTATATAATATAATATAACGTGCACATATTAATTATCAATGTATCAACGCATCACACATTTATACTGTTTATACACATAAGTTCAAAACAATGTATACGTATACGTGTATAACGTATTTATACTAATATATTAATATTACTCGTATATACAATTATGATTTATTAAAAATAGTTAACTACTACACTGACACATTGTAAACATAATACAATGCGTCACTATCACAACTTACAGTGCAATATCGATATCACTATAAAATTATCATTGTTTTCATAAATTGTGTAAAATAGTTAAAATTAAGTAAATCGATTTTTTCTGAACATTTTTGTCATCTAGCTATTATCTTTATTATTTTGTCAATTGTAGGCAATAATACAGCTAAATATACAGTGGTTAATAACATTTTTCTAAAATACAAATTACGACTGTGTACTTGGTATCTAGTAAAAAAGTATTTGAGATAATATACATAACGGGGCGTTCGTTTTTTGAGAGACTGATATACTTAGTAATTGAAACATTGTAAAACGTGTGAGAATATAAAGATTCACACGACGGGCGGCACGACGATTGGCGATATTGTCCCCGTACCGACGTGGTTGCGGACCATTCAATTTCTTTATTAAATTGAATTTTCTTCTTTAAAGTTTAATTGTCAGCAAATCATTATACTTCGGCCCTGACACAAAGACGTCATTGATTATAAAAAAAATAACGGTTTTTAGTGATTTTTTCCGAAAATCACTCTGTCGAGAACCCTGTATCATAGTGTAATAGGTAGCTTAGTTAATCGGTTCTGCTCTAAAGCAAATTGCTTAATAAAATAATAATGGTCGTTGATGATAATTATTTTATTGTAATCTTAATACTTGTGCAATTTTTCAATTTTCAACAATAGAAAATTGTTGTATTTGAGAAAATAAAAATTAAGTTCACTGACCTATGTTAATATCGGTTTTTAGTTTGTGTTTTTTTTTTTTTTTTGTTAATATATGATCAATAATTTTTAATAAATTATGATATGGATAATAATCTTTAACGTATTTTAGTTGTTACACTAGTTGTGTCCGACCTTATATTTCGAATATCTGTTATAATAATTATACTAGATATTTCGAATATTGCTTCCCTTATTATTATTATTATTTATTTTTGAAAAATATTGGGATTCGTGTAACAACCGACATTTTAGTGTTAACAATATATTATTTAAAATACTATTATCAATGATATAGACTCTATATGGTCTCTATAATGTCTTATTATGCCTGATATTCCCATGGAATTTATGCAACAAAAACATGATGATATTAGGGTGATTATCAAATTTTAATGATATTTCAGTTGCAGATCGATTTTAAAAAAGCAAATCTGAAATCTGAATAACGTTGAATTTTTTTTTCTATTATTAGGTAGACTACTTGTGTTATACATTGGGTTCCAAAAATGAATTAACAAATTAATATAAGTAATATGAAATCGATGGTCGCGTTAAGCAAATGCGTGTAAGGGCCATTAAAACGGATGTGGTAAACCAAATGTTTTTAAGCAATAGCGGGCGTCACGTGTTTAATGGGCTGTGGGGAAACCGTGTCCGGGTCAGGATAATGTGTCATAAGGAGACAACAACGGTGGCATTCACCATTACAGACAGATATAGACAGATATACAGTGAGGAATGGTAACAAATTGCCCTTTCCTACTCCTCTGGTCTAAACGGTAAACTGATATAACTCAAAAATGGTAAATCTGATACTAGTGTTTTGTACTTTCGAAATTTCTAGAAAAATATTCTCTATTCATATCTGTGTTCAAAAGGAAGGGTTCCTATTTAAAAATCAAAATTATGTACTTAGTTAAGGTATATGAAATAGCGGTAAACATTTTAAAATAACATTAAAATAAAGCTTAAACGGTTCTATAATGATTAAAAAAACAGAAAATTCACTAAAAATCCTATGAAATAATTGCTGGTTCGTGATAAAAAAATCACTCTGTATAAGACGACCGGAAAAGAGCCGGAAGAAAGGGTATATCAGTCAGTTCAAGACAGTGGAGTGAATTCAATGAGATCCAGCGACGCATGCTATGGGAGAGGGGAGGTCCGTCACTTCGCCGCCAACCTGTTTAGTCATTTCATAGTTGCTTTTATAACTGGTAATGCAAACTAAGTTTCGACCCGGGTCTGGTAGAACATCTTAATTAATTATTTCTTGTCAACTTGTTTACTTATAGTTTTGAAAAAGGAAAACAGTTTAATAACTAAATAGCACCAAAAATTGAAAATGGGTAATTTACCCATTACTTATTAAAGACGTACGGTGTCCAAAATTTTCAATAATTTAAATGTGTCGGCGCATACTAGTTGCCTCCCAAAATATACGAATCGCCTCCTATTCTTATCGTAAATAAAAAAGTTAACATACACTAGGTGTCTCCGACGATTAGGTAGTCCATAATTATATACGAATTACCTCCCAAAAATGTTCGTACTAGTCGCCTCCCATATTGAATAAAACAGTGGTTCATAAACTAAACTGAATTTAATATAATATTTATAATTTTATTAAAAATAATAATATAATTGGTTAATAAAAAAACATGTACATGAACAGTACTTGTTCAGATAATGTCTATTATGGTTCAATTTATTTGCATTCAATATTACCTATCATTTTCGTCTACTTTTAAAACAGCTTTGCATTTTTTTGTCGTATAATTCCCCGGTTTTTTGTTGTAGGCTAACTTTTTTTGAAAACTTAATTTAAAACTATTAACTTTTTTAACACGTTTGCTCTTTTCACTGATCATTTCTCGCATTTCAATTTGATCCATTCTAAAAACTTATTAGAAAATTTAAAACCACTTAATATCTTTTTGTAAAAATAAAATCTTATAACGAGTATTGAAGCTCAGCTAACGACAGTAATCATTACACAAGAGAAAAAATGTTTAATATGAGTTGTATAATCTTATCAATGCACTTAAGTCATAAATTATGACTTAGAATGTATAAATCCAAAATCCAATAATATGTTATTAATAAGTAACAACCAACATAATATTACTTCATGATAAAAGATTTAAACAAATCTAAATATTTATACATACTGTTTGAAATTTTTTGAATCGTTTGTGAACCACTTATACATTCGTTATTTGCCTATTGGGAGGTAACTAGAAGTAGACCATTTTCAATTACGATAAAGTTTAGGGTACGTCGGGAAGCAACTCGTATATACCTGGGAGGCAATGCGTATTAAAATTAGCGACTTTTTTCACTTCGGGAGGCGACTTGTATGTGCCCAAATGTGCAGCAGAGAATTTACGAGTAGGAAGGGTCCAAAGGATTTAGATCCCTCCAAATATCGACATAATTTCAGTAAAATGACATCTATAACAGGTAAATATTTAAAATAAAACTTTTGAATTACATATTATTTTTCAGGACCTCTTCCAGAAAATTTGTAATTATGATATTTTATATTGTAAATTTTGGATTTCCATTAAAAAAAAAATTTATCCATGAGTAATCGGTGCTAAAGTAAATTACGGTTACCTGTATATCGTACGCATATTTAGTATAAAATATATATACGCATGTATAAAGGTATCTATAATATACATTATAGCGCCATAGTGGCGATTGAAAGTATTTTAGAATTGAAAAAATATGCGGAGATAAGTAGGGTATATAATATACATAATATATATATAGTATCAGTTTCTGAGTGTCCGATTTCATAATACCTATACCTATACAAAATAAGTGTTATAACCACACGTGGTTAATAAAATTGAATCGCCTATAATGCTTATACCCTAATCGAATATTATTTGAGGTGATTTTCATAAGTATCTAGTAGGTACATTGTTATAAAAATGTATAAACTTAAATTTTGACACGAGGTATAAATGAAAAAAAAAAAATTTGTTATATTATATAATGTTGATTTACTATTAATAATAATAATAATAAATATAATAAATACTTGTGATATAAAATATTATGCCACAAGTTCGTGCGTACATAAAAAATATAGAGATTGTGTATAGAGATTTTTTTTTTTTGTGGGGGGGTGGCTGACGGTTTTTTTTGGAAATACCATTACACAAAACCCACCCTATCAGTTTATTTAAAACGACCATTTTCTAAACATTTTGGGATGGAGTGTGGGTACAGCCCCTTAAGTTACCCCCTAAAAACTCCCCTGTTATGATATATGGATAAACAGTTGTAAGTATAGTATATAAGAGAAAGTGCCTAAAACGAAACATCCTGTATATTATTATTCTATGATCTGAAATCATATTATTAGAACTTGTTTTTAACGAATGTACGGTAAACCATGTAATACTGCATTTTGAGTTTAAGTTTTTTTTTTGTTCTTATTAAAAACAAAGTATACAATTTTTAACTTTTTTTATTGATTAGGTATGCCTGTTTGTTAGAGGTCATTGACTTCCGTTATTGCGGTATTTTCTTTACTGAGGTATATATTTTATCGTACATTTATACTTACATTTTTATCGGTTTTATTTGTGTGTATATCACGTAAGTATTGATTTTTTTTAAAATATTATATGCATAATAGTTATTTATCTACGTGTAAATTTTAGCGTCAGTCGCATTATTATTTACGAAATTAGTTACATTAGTCCTATAATACTACATACCATAACTAATAAGGGTATTAAGAGCCTACAAAATATGTTTACGTATATTAATATTACCTAAATAGAAATAGGTTTTTTGACAACAGGTATAGTTTGATTTCCCTCAAACGTACCCATGGAGTTTAATGGATAATTATTAGGTACTTACTAGACTATAATACATAACTGCATCGTTTAAATTTTAAGTTCAAAATTTTTTATTTTATTTTTATGATTTCTTATTAATAATTATCTAGGATTTTTCTTTGTCCGTGCTATCTATTAATAAATCATTATATTAGCTATTAGGTATAATACCTATATCTGCGATATTTGTATTATTTCTTATACGGCTCACGTACACTTGGTCTGGGCATTCTCTTTATCTTTGTTCCTGTGTAACCAGGTGATTGTACGATTACACGTAGCTATTTGTGTATTTTTTTTTATATTTTTCAATTTTTCATTTTTTATTTGACCTGCCGGTTTTAGTATAAGACGTATCTATATATCTTTGGCGCTAAGGAAGAAGAGCTTAAGTCAATATTTTGCATAGTTTTTAATACAAGCAAATTACATTTTGAAAAAAATATACTTATGTAAGCAGGAAATTCAATTCACAATTTAGAAATATTAGTATTAAGTTAATAGGTACTATTTACTACTTTATTTCATAAAGTTCTTAATTTATTATAAATAGTTTACTTTGTACAATATTTTATAATCTTAACTTTATTTTATTATTTACTAGCTGTCCCACCCGAAGTTGTCCGTGTCAAATAATGTACGAGTAATTTCGGAGATTACATTAAAATGGCACTTTGTTTTTTATCTATTATATTCCTTTTCTAATCTTGCTTTCCGTTCCTCCTAATGCCTTTTTCTTTTATACTTCCAGATATAGATCGACTAATCGATTTACATATGAACTGTCGACAATGCAGTATTCAAAAAAGAAGATAAGTATGCTTTATGTAATATGTCTTATGCATGTTTATAGATATGTCTTATAATATCGTACGTTTTACTTATGTCTTATATCACCCATGAACTAAAGTATACACAATAATGATTTTTTCGTCGGCAATACAAATTAAACACTTTCTTTGCAATCACGACCAAAAAGCTATCCTAAGATAATGAAGACGGTTGCAGCCGCTGCTATAGGTAGATAGTTGCAAATGCGGGATACATAAAGTTATTTAATCTATAGCTGTAAGCAACGATAAATAATTGCTAATGAAAAACGATTTGGAGCGAAGTTCGGTTGTACATGTTTTGAAAGGCCGCCATATTTACGATTTTCGTCAAAATTTGATTTTTAAACTCTTATAGAAACAAAAAACAAATACTACATTACATTCAATTTTTGTTTTGATCAAAGACATTTTCAACTACATTACAACCAAAAACCAATACCTTGCTCAACTATTAAGTTTCATCAACTATTCATTTTAATTATTCGGTTTTTCCCAATTATTAGGAAATTTACTTTGGATATTAAAAAACGACATAATCTGCCAGCTTAAAAACATTAAACGGAACAAAATCGATTATTTTTGGATTAGAGCTATATTTCTAATAAATTATATCGTGTAGGCACAACCAAATAAAAACTAAAACAATTTTCAAATTTCAAATTATTCATATTATATCACCAAAATGTTGTATGTATGTATTATTATGTATCTATATGTGTTTATTCCAGTAAAGCTTTTAAATATTCGAATAGTTTTGTGTGTGTGTGTAGTATCATTAGAACCGATACATTTTTTGAGTGACAGAAAGGCTAGGTGACGTTTTAAACAAGTTAATGAGGTAGATAGCCGAAAATAATCAAAAGCATATATATTTACGACTTTAATACTAAGTCGGATCTTCTTAAGTCGGTAAAAATTGGGATCTCAGTGTTTGACACTTCCCCTCCCCCCAATGGTTGTACCACTGTGAGATGTATAGTAGGGATGAGATAGTGGAACCACTAGTCTATTTAGAAAAATATTATGAATACACTATAAAATAAATATTCTATTATTATTTAAAATTGTGTGGAAACTTTGTCAGTAGTAAATTAATTCAAAATATGAAATATCTCATTAATAAATGTTATTATTTAGATAAGACTATAATATTAGTCTAATAAAATAAAAATAAAAATACACTACAAATAATACCTACCGCAATACACATACACGCGTTTTTGTGATGTTTGTAAAAGCTTATTAACATTTTTTCTTGACTCTTATAGTTAAGAATGAATAGTTAGGTAAATTTCAAGGTTTATTTTCTTTGTTCGATTTTTACTCGGTTCATTATTATCTCTACCTACTTTTAATGGCTATTTTTAACATTTACATTTTTGTCTGCAGACTGCAGAGAAACATTTTCAAGAATTATTGCGACTCTTTATCTATAGATATATTATACTATTATATTATATTATATTATTACAGTAGCGTGCACATAGTTCTTCGCAAACATTGTGTAATGCATGTGCCAAGCAAGTCACATGTATGAGTTTTGGATAAAGCGCATTTATACAATCACCAGCTTTTTTCATATAAGGTGCAGTATCTAAGATAAATAGCAAAACATCGTTATGTTTTACACCATTTTCCCACAAAATATGCAAAGCATTATCGAATAGCTGGAATATTATACTATGGTTAACTTTATCCAAGTATTCTATGTGAATAACGAACATATTACTTGGATTTTGTAGTTGTAATGTGCCCACTATTATATTTGTAACATTAAGGCGTGCCGAGTCCGAAGTTTCGTCAATAGATACCCATATTTTCTGATCAATTATTGTATCACAAATTTTTGCCAATGCATTTTCATTGCATGAATTGAAATATCCTTTATGTAATATCTATTCGTTTAATACATTTAACAATCAAGCTGATAACGAAAACAATAAAAATCCAATATAACCATGTAGTCCGTATTCCAGGTTTTCACATTTCTTATTAATTAAATTCAATTTTTTTTTTATTACTGTAGCATAATAAACATATACAATTTCTATAGTAGGAATAATTGAAAAAAGCAATAACAAGTAAAAAAAAAAAGAGCAAAACTAAATTGGTTTATTTGGAATCAGAATGACGTGAAACGAATTTATGTATACAAATTAGATTTATATTTCATTTATAAAAAAACAAGTATTTGCTTTAAAATCCGAGCCCTTGTTATCAATATTACATGTTATACAAACATCTTGTCAACGATACCATAGCTATTAAACCAGAATTATGTTTTATCCGTCAGTGTAGAAGCTACACAAACTTTTTTATATACTTTTATCTAACTGTCCTTATAAGATAAATAATATTGAATATTTATAATACATTATCGAGTTGATTGCGTTTCAGGGGTTATCTTAAATTGTCTATCTTCTAGATTGAAATATTATTGAGGTTATCATTTTATTATGTTTAGATGTTATTATAATTGGAATAATAAAAAAAAAAAATCACTTTTTTACATAAGTTCCGTAATTCGATTGTTTTTCATCATAAAATTGTATAGGTAGGTTAGGTTATTTATTTACTTAATTAGGTTATTATGTTAAGTATATATATATATATATATATAACATATGTATAATAATAAAAGATTATAGCAACGTTTATAATGTTGCAAAACTTATGCGTAAAACAAGATTAGTTGGTAAATCAAAGGAGATGCGTACAATGAAAAATATTCCAGTAATAATAAGTTTCTCTATGATAGCTTTTAAATAGTAAATTGGCCCTGAGTTCTTGGACAAAATTGCCATAAGTACATATTAGAAAGTACCTACGTATTACAAAATATTAAAATAATATTTTATAATAATATATACATTGTACATAGGTACACCGTGATTTATTGTACTATACAAGTTACATATGTTTTTATATTGACTATACAATTTTATAGTTCGTGATAAGATAGGTAGGTACCTACTATGTGAATGGTACGTCTTCAGTCAGTCCCTTTCGAAAAATGTAAATAATTAATTTAGAGTAACCAAATGAAAAATTTTTGCTTAAAAAATATTTTACTTAAACTCTCGAGAATTTTATAGTTTAGATTCTGAGTGGAGCGAAAAAGCTTATGGTTTTACAAAGATGTTTATTCATTTATTTATTTTTTTTTATCTATGCGTAACTTTTCTACCAAAAATCTTGTTCCGATTTTTAAGTGTAGCACTTTTTCTAAAAGGGAATCTGACTAGAAAAGTACTTTAAAGAAGTCATTTTTCGATTTTCCCAAGAGTTTTCTGAGCAAACGTGAAAAACAGGTATACATTAAACCACCTATACAATGGCTGCGCCCATCCCCATTATCGTAGGATAGCTTTTTGTACGTTTTTTGCTATACGTGGTATTCAATATAACGTAAGATACTGTAATTATCCCGGAAAGTATAACGGTTTCAAGCAGCTTTGAAATGTTGCATTATCATTAATTTTTTATATTAAATTAGTAAATTTACTAGTATAGTATTGCCCTTGACAGCTAAATATATCAATATAAATCCAATTCATGTATAGGTTCTGTGACAACTTTATTGAATCGGTTATTTGTATTTTTTATTCGTCAAACCAAGGGAAATCAGAAAAACTAATTCGTGTTCAAAGTTCAAAATTCGAGTATGAGTTTGAATTTGGAATTCGTACTTATGTATAAAAATGTATTGAATATCCAAATTTCAAATGTCCATATGTGTGTTTGCCTGCTTATGATCAAATTTATATATGTCTGCGTGCCATGATGGGATGAACTATTTCCTTATTTTAAATTTGTACTTCTTATGTTTTCTACCATAAATATTGCTCTAATAGATAAACAACAAAAAACTTTTTTGTTGGATTTTTTAATCTAATTTATGAGTAATTTATTTTTTTATTTGATTTTTCTGGTAGTTGTAATGATAACTAAAAAACCGATAAATACCTAGAAATTATGGGAAAAACATATACATATATCGAACATCGGCCTTTTTGTTTTAATTGTGCATTTTTACAACCACTATTACTACGGTGTCTTTCAGAAAAAATCAATAATTTTAACCATTTAGACATTCCTAAGTCTATGTTCCTTCATATATTTTGGTTAAAGATAGTTAAATTCTTAAGGAAAATGCTGATTTAAAAAGATTTAAGCAAATGCCATGAATTGATATACCCATATCATGCATATAGCTGCATAAATTCTAGATTTACAGGATCAACGTACAGCCAACATTTATGTACTTTTCTAATATCAATAATTTTTCTAATATTTCTAAAATTAAATGAAACATTTTTGGAAAAAATTCATTAGAAATATATGATAATTAATTTTATAAAATCTATTTTACTGTTAGTTTCATGGTTATTATTGTACTGTTACGTACATGCATTTATATTTCAGTTAAAGTTTATATATATGCAAACTTCAGGTGTTTTATTTTTGTAGAGTACACTGACTTCTATTATAGCATCTATTGTATAATATTACAATTAATAGATTATTTATCGAAATCATTACATTTCAAAAATATTATAGTTCCATAGATAATAGCATGCTACACCGTTACACATTACACTTATTATACGAGCGAAAAAGGAAAATAACAGTATATTCCAAAACATAATAATGATAAGAAGAAGTTTGTAGACTGACGTATTATATTTACGTGACAACAAGTGTTTTTTTGTTTTTCATTGAACTCATAATTTGAACTGTTATCGAAATATAGGTATCTATTTCGACTAGATACTAAATCTGATATTATTATACTTGTATAATAGTCAAACATAGGTATCTACTAAAACCGACAACAATTTAAATGTTGATTAAATATGAATACATTATATTATATGATAGTATTAATATCTCCTATTAAAAAAAATCCATTAAATTATCAGCGGTTGACATTTCAATTCATATATAGGTACCCACCATTACTTTTATGTAACACCTATGAAGGTGTATTATATTATTCGACGTTTATGATTAGATACAGTAAAAATGTGAAATATCTCGGAAATATCTATTCCGGATAGACAAATTATATACAATAATACATACTATAAATTATAATGTGAAAAAAATATTTAAAATGTATGCGAAAATGCTTAAATTTCAGTTTATTTTGAATTTTTACAAAAAATAATAATAATAAGAAATACAAAATTAGATTTGAAATAATAAAGGTTGTCGAGTCATTTTTTAGTGAATCTCTACTGCGTGCCTACACCCTCTTCCCTGAAAAAGTTACATGAATATTGAGGAGATAGACCAATCCTTTATCTTAACTTTTGGACTTTTCATAGTTACTTGTTTCCCAACAGTGAGAGTAAAATAAAATATTTTGTAATAAAATCTACTAATATTCAACCATTTAGAATTTGTTTTCTAGTGGACAAACATGCAGGAAGTAAAATCGTATTGAACCCCCTCATAAATTTAGCAGCACATCCATAACAGACACTTATCAAATACAACCAAACATTTTTTAGATAACTCGATATCCAGTAAATTTACCAATAGAATTTACTGTTTCCATTTGGACTCAGAAAATCTCCTTAAAAAATAATGTGACAGTGTTTCCCGATTAATTTATTATGGTCGTATCGAACATTTGTATTATGTTATATTTAAAAAAATGTATATTATTTTGTAGATACATAATATAGATTAGCTACACTATAGCTAAGTTTCTTGTATTTTTAATTTTTTAAATTCTGAGTGAAGCGAAGAAGCTTATGATTTTACAAAGATGTTAATTTTTTTATTTTTTTTCTGTGGACAACTTTATACCAGAGACTCCAATTTTTAAGTGTAGCACCTTTTCTGAAAGAAAATCGGTTTGGGGAGGTATTTTTCCAATTTTCCGAAGAAATTTTCTCAACAAATGCGAAAAATATAAGAAAAACAGGAAAAACGTGAGAATGGTACAATATTAAACAAATATTATTTATGAAAATATATAATACCTATTTAATTATTTTACCATAATATGACATGTATATTGTTGACAAAGCAACACTGTTAACTAAATGCCGTTCAGAATCGTTTTTCGTTAGAAATGGTTTTTCATTGTTTACAGATGTTGTTGTACATTAAATTCCCTTCTGTATTCTACTTTCCCAACTTCGCACCTATAGGAATGACTGCACCCACCCCGATTATTCTAGGACAGCTTTTTGTTTTAGATTTTGAGCATAAAGGGAATTTATTAATTTTAATATGTGTACCTTTCTTTTTGTTTATGCCTGTGAGCACATTTTCTACCATATATTTTGCTCCAATAAAAAAATGACGAGAGATCTTTTTTTTTAGAGTTCCAGATTTATTTGGAACTTTTAGGAAGTAATTTTTTGTTTTTTTAAAGATATTTTTATTCAAGGGTTTATTATTTACGATTTTGTTTTTTTGCTGTCAATAGGATAAAAAAATTGTGGAAATAGGAAATGTTCACTGAATATTTACATTAGACATTTCTAGAAATTTTAAAATTCTTAAAATAATCCTCAAATGCCTTGAGTTATTTATACTTTTTATAGGCATTTGGCATTTATGAGGTTTTTTGTTTTTTATTTAGTAGAGTATTATAATATAAATAAAATTGTTTGAACAAATAGAAATTCTTGAAAATTTAACACGAGGTCTATAATAAGTTTTACTAAAAAAAGAAAATTAAGTGTGATGTAATAGTTTTTTTTACAACGTTTTAAGATTAAATTTTTACGAAATCCATAATAATTACGGTATTTCAAAAAATGCATAACTGAACCTAGCTCAAAATCACATTTCATTAACAAAGATTTATCGTTGCTTACAGATATAATTCAAGTTATTTTAATAGTATCCTAGATTTCCAACATCTCGCCTACAAGTTATAGGTATTGTAAGCTACAACAGTGGCACACCCATCATTACCAGAAGTACCATTAGTTTTTTTTTACGAAGTTTAATGTACTTCGGTGCCATGAAATTAACATTATTACTTTAAAAAATCAGATAATGTTTATTGTGTTTAATATAATATCAAGTAAGAATAGGTATATATAAGTAACATTAGGTAATTATTACTAGTATTAGAAAACCTGTAAATTTGAGGGAGTCGTTGTGCAACAATCGAAGTAACACAATATTTTAATTTTGATAGGTTTTATTCGATTAAAAGATCAATCATAAACCAAAGATAAGATATGAATAATTAATAATCGTAGTGGTTTAATACAAAAATGAAAAAAAATCTGAGAGCGTGTACCTATTGTGTATCCAGTATATATGCATATGAAACGTTTATTATATTAACGACATTGATATATACTATATTTATAACTACGTATTTTAAAATATTATTTTTTAAATTTTCAATGTTTTATTTTTTGTTTCTATAGTAAATTCATTAATGGATTTTTCTTTTAAAGAAAGATGGATATGTGTTATGTTTCGTGATAGAATTTATTTTTGTCTCTAAAATAAGTTCAATTTCAACAAATTTTAATGAAAGACAAAATAAAGCGGAATAACCAACATTAAGTGTAAAACGTAGCTTTATACGATTGAGCTTTTAATATTATAATTGATTTATCAAAAATACTATTACTACAAATCGTTACGCTTAGAAGAAAAATAAAATCTAAAATCAAAGAAACCGTTACTGCGGTAATCTTTGTATTTTTCTTAAATGTTACCCAAATATTAAAAACCGCAAATAAAATTTTAAAAAATTACCTAAATTTCACCAATTAAATCCAAAATGTTACGAAAAAGCTCTCGTGTTGCTTTTCGACTGGTGCAATATTTCGAGTAGAAAAGTTTTTTACAGAAACGCACAATTGAAAAAAAAGCACACATCATCGTAGTAAAATCAATACATTCCTGGCTACTCTTAGAATCAAAAATGTTATATTGTACGCTCGTCAAACAGAAAAGCGCTTGCTGATTTCAGTTTAACATATTGGTACATAGGTACTCGTATATAATACACGTATATATATATGTGTGTGTGCGTATAAATATATATATAATGTACGCATAAACGTATATACATATATAGGTAATAGACGGGGTAGGGGAAAGGTATATACAAGTCGGCTATAGAGAGCATTTAGATATATAATAGTGACAAATTAGCGGCGGCCTTCCGTGGATACCGATCATTTTCATCGCAGTACGGTCGTACCTACAGCAGTGCAGTGCAGTGCAACATCAGCAACAGGTCGAACGTCAATCGACCTATAACAGTAATGTTTCTATTATACGAAACTAAACCGATATTCAATTATTACAATATAATTTCATATTTATAACAGTATCACGTGTAGTATATTTCATTATTCATTAATATCGTATACGCGTGTTTTTTTTTTTTTTTTGGATAATATACTTACCTAATATAATATTATTGACAGACAAAACAAATAAACAAAACATTATAGTGTGTCAGCCGCCACCGCCACCACGATCGATTCTGTATAGTAGAAACGCCGTCGACGCGATATACTTTTCGATTAATATATTATCGTTGACAAGTCGTCTCAGTCGTTTTTCGCCTACATTTCATTTGTATTTGTACTATTATTATATCTACGGTGACGCACTTTATTTTTTTGTTATTATACTGCCACATTGCCAAAATAGTTATACATCGTCGAAAACCCGAAAAAATTCGGCTCATAATGTTACGGGACTATCCTTTCACTGTCGTGTTATCTTGTTTCCAGTCGAAAACGAAGCATCCGTAGCGTTCATCGACTACAACAGTCCAGAGGTAAGAAATTTGTTTACAACTACCGCATTGAGCTTTTTTTTTTCTATTTTCTATTTTGAGCGGAGCTATTGGACATTGTTATACACATCTATACTTTTAATATTTTCTTTGGTTACCTAATTGACTCCAATAAAACTTACATGACCGTATATCAGTATATATTTAACGATGCAGATTTTCCCTGCCTAGTGATCGGAACTTAAATTTTAATTTTTTTTTCTTGATTCTTAACACATTTTAACCCCTTCACTCTTCTGATTGGACTACTTTCTTATTAGGGGAGAAGGTTGGAATAATTATTGTTTATACAAACATATAAACAAATGCATGCTTTAATTAATTACCTATACTACCAGTTATACACGAACTAAGCATCGTTTTTCGATTGTTTTTTTTTACATTTTCTCTCTTTCTCTCTCTCTCCCTCTATTTTTTTCCTTATCCTCTTTGAATCCGTACAGTGGTACGCTCGTGTGTAAACACGTACGTTTCATTATTGCGCAGTGGTTTAATACGTATTATATCTCATTATATTTAATACGTATCATGTCTGTCTGATATGTATCAGAAACATCCGATTGTAGTGATCTAAAAATCATTGGATTTTAATAGATCATTATTTCATAATAACGCCGCGTGTCAGGGGTGTTTGCGAAGAGATCGAGATCGAAACACCTGACAATGATGTCATCCATTTCTATTTGCTTATAGTGTCAATACAATAAAACAAATATTATTATAGAATAAGTGTAACATAAATTTAAAATACGTAGATATCTACACAATTTAGTCATAATATTAAAATTGAGATTTAATTGTTTTTTTCGTTATAGGAATTATAATTCGAGACTTACCTACCTATAATATGATTATTATAACAATTTGTTTTTGTTTTTGAAGTTATAAATTTTATTTTATTCGTTTAAATTATACGTTAGCCTAAGTGCGTTTAAAATATTCAACAATTTAAATGAGACTTTTTAATATTTTATACTTAGTTATACCTATACGGTACAGGTAGGTACTGATATTTACAACATTGCTGCAGTTCAAAGTACGTATAAAGGTATATTTTAATGTACATACAAAATTATTTTTATTTTTATAAACCGTTCAGAAATATTTACTTTGAATATATATGAGTATATGTAGAAGTTAGTTAAAGCCTTTTCTAGTTAAGCTTAGATTATTTTTTGTATATTAAAAATACAAATAAATTATTTTAACCTTGTACTAAGCATAGCCGGTAATAGGGTTTAAAGATCGAAACCTTTTTATTATTATACATAAGACCTCCTCAATCAATTGAGAGTTCGTTGAGGTACAAGGATCTATGAGGCTTTTAATAAAATAAGAAGAGTGTGTAAGTGTGTAACATATTTATTTAAAGTTGTATACTATTAGACATTTTTTAATGAATGTAATATTATTGTAACGCTTTTAATCGTATGATTCTAAAATTATCTTCGTTTTTGTTACTATTAGTGTTAGATACAGTGCCAGGTTAAGAGAGGGACAAAGGAGGGAGTTACCCCCGGAGGCAAATTTTAGTGGCGGTAATTTTTTGAAGGCGTAAATAAAAGTATTGGCCGTTTTATTATGTATTATAATTTTTAAGAAGAATTATAAATTATTGAAAAAGATGTGTAATAAACTAATAAAATTGAATAACAATAATACAGCCTGCTGCAGAATTATCACGTCAGTGAGCGTATTCTTAGGAATACTATAATAATATTATAGTACATTCGGACCGACAAATTTATACTTTCGTTCGTATTATTTTCGAGTACAAATTATACACAATATATTTACAGCTGTACATGTATACATTGATACATTATATTTGTTGTATTACCTGTATTATAATCTATAATCATCTGATTTATCTTCTGTTAAGTCTGGTTGATTGAGCGTTTTTATAAATAATACATAGTATATTATAATATGATAAGTGGAAAACGAATAAAATTAAATGGTGCTGAATTTTGCAGACGAGCAGAGGAAAAAGTTAAAATTAACAAATTATTTTTCAGATATCAAAAATTTAGAGTTTCTTTTAAAGGTAAAACTAGTGTAAAATAATACTACATTTATATTTTATACCTTATATAAAATTAATTTGAATGTAACTACTCTTTCAAAAAGCAAGACTTTGTTGGTTATAGTTTTTGTGCGATAATATGATGCATTTATGTTTTTTTTCGTTTACTATTAGTCCCATGGATCTGCTTCTCTCTATTAGTAATTCTGCTAAAGTCTTAATTTCCTCTTCTGACTTGCCAATTAACTATATCGTCCACGTATGTTATTGAGTAATTCTTTTTATTTTGTAATCTAATCCTTACGTCAATGTCAAATAGTCATCTAAACACTAATTCTAATGCAATGAAAAAAGACATAGGAGACAGTATCTTACTGTCTTAATCCCATTTTAACCTCGAATTCTTTAAATACATGGTCATTGAACTTAATTTTGCATTTTGAGTTCTGAAAACATGATCTTATCAGTCTAATTCACTTGATAGGGTTTCCTAAGTCTTTCATTATCACCCATAGCTCCTCATTACTAAGAAATCATACGCTTTTTTGTAATCGATGAATAACATGAAGAGATCCTGATTATATTCATAACTCTTTTCCATTATCTGTTTAATAATGTGGATCTGGTCCATTATTGACCTTCCCGATTTGAATCCTGTTTGATACTTCCCAAATATTTTCTCACTATATGGCTTTAGTCTGGTTGAAATATACATAGGTATATACAATTACGTTGGATATATCCGTGACAAATTTAAAATGTTTGAGTGGCGAAAATTTTGGTGGACCATCAAATCACCCACCTTACTCAATAACTAAAAAAAAATCCTACTCTTTAAATTTGTTTTAACAGCATAGTTGTAAATGATGTGTAATTTGAAGCATATCCTCTTTTCGAATCTATCCATAAATAGCCTCCCAAAAAATTGTTAAATATTCATAATTTTATTTATTATAGTTGATATTACTTATCAACAACTAATAATTTTATAATTTGTTTTGTTATTGTGTTAAATACAAGTATAAATTAGACACCCAAAATCTTCCAAAATCTTAGTGGAAATCTCACTGCGAGTATTTAAAGATACTTGCAATGTTGGTTAATCGTTTTTTTTTTCAATTCTTAGATTAATTTAGTGACTCTATGGATCTTTACTGTCTCCAACCCACCAATCAGTAACGGATTTACGGGGGTTTTGGTTAAGTTAAGTTAGGTTTGAACTTCCCCAGACACCGATATAATTTCAATAAAATACCGTCCAAAAATGGGCTTCTATTAATAGAGATACCTTTTAAATACATATGAATTTTCAGGACACCTCCCAGAAAAATGTTGAAAATCTGCTACTGCCACCACTGTTGCTCTAAGTTCTGTGCAAGTTATTATTATTAAAGTAGCCATGAAAGATTTGACAAATGATAATGAAAAACAGATAGAGTATAGATGTTTAGTAAATCTTTAACAAATAAAATAATTTAGCCTAATTTTATAGAAGATTTTTAATACAAAATCCTAACTAAAGTTTAGCCATGATGATTGTATTTTTGAAAATTGTCGTTGACGTATAAATAAATAATACCTAGTTATGAATTGGCGATTTTTAGAGTTTTTACTGTATATATGTAATTTAATGAGATTTTATACAATTTTCTGAGAGCTTGATGTAATGCTTAAATTGAAACCGGGTTCTTGATGATTTTACGCACAACAGTGTATTATTTTGATAGTCGTGATCACTATAGGTACGTGATCGTGATCGAAAAGGTTTCTCCAACTGTATGCCACATTTTCTCGATAAGGTATTGGAATGAGTTTTTTTTATTGTTTTACTATCGTTTATAATTAATTATACGACTAAAACATATCCATATTCTGTTTATAATGCGTATTTTTTAGACAGTGCAATTTACCATTCTGGTAGAACAAATGCAATAGACGAAACTGTTTATAGTGCAGTGACCGAAATCCCAACAATAGTATACGATGCTTATGATAAAAATCAAAACATCATGTAGTTGTTTATATATTCTTACGAAATGAGACAAAAAAATTGTTTTTTCTCTCCCATTGTTTTCACTTTACACTGTATATGTAGGTGTCAAAAGTTTTTGAGCACGATTGTTATCTAAAAATTGGTTCGTATGCAGGTGTCTACCTATTAGCATTAGATCAACTATATTGTATTTGTTGATGATAAATATCTATTTATAGACAATCAAATATTCCTTCTTATTTAATTTTAATAATTGGGTACCACGTCTAATAGGTATACTTAATTAACCGTAAAGATTGTTTTTAGACAACATAGTATTGTTTTTTTATTTTTACTTCAACGCTCAATTTCGTTTACACTTCACATAAAAATGATAATTAACTCATTCTTAGTATAACATAATTCATTTAAATAATACGCGGTTTCCAAAAACCTATTAAACTAATTTACACGCAATTTTGTACTATATTTCGTATACCAATGCGATTGAAAATTATAATTTGAAAAGTTTGATTAGTTAATGAATTATATTAACTCATTTAAAATAGTTAATTGAAAATTAACACAGCGTTGGTATTTTTATAACAATGAACTTATTAAAAATATTAAATTTTTAGTTGGTTATAAAGCAAAAAAAAAAAACGTAATAATTATTGCAATTATGTTATTTAATATTATAGGTTACTTAATCATGTATAATAGCAATAAAATTAAAATCATTATAATGACATTATGAATAACTTACCTATGATTCATTTTTTTATATTTTATATTATTTTCATCGAAATGTTATTAAACCGCTCTTTGTTATATTATATTTTTCGGGTGTACTCGTAAGTACACAATTATTATTCACTCGATTTAAACAGTAATAGGCATTACGATTAGTTTTTTTTTTTATCACCGAAGTAATAATTATTGAGTTAATAGTAATTGGAAATGCGTATTTATTATCCATGTTATAGAAGTATAAGAAAATCTAAAATAGTATTACTGAAAACAAGAATGTGTGCGTGAATTATTATCATCGTATCGTTTTTCGTACCTAGTTTTTACTTATTACTTATTACATTACCCACCTATATATTTCACGTATTGCGCAGCAACAATTTTTTTTATTATTATTAAACGGATAACAAATTGTTATCTTCTCTCACATTGTAGAAAATCTTACAGCGGCACCACCGCTGGTAAAGAGGATAGGTATACTAGGTGATGCCTTTAAGTGGGTAAACTGATTATCTCGGAAAGTATTAACTTTTTCTGGAATTTGTTTTCTAGAACATTTAAAAAAACAAGCTGCTCCACAATTTTATATTTGTGTTATTTTTTGTCATTCTTATTTTTGGTGGTAAAACCACTATCTACTTTTGATTTTTAAAAGGCAGCCCATATTAAAAAGTCCATAAATAGATTGAATATTAGTTAAAATAAATTTTAGTGTTGACATTTTTGACTTCTGTCGATCTGTCGACGAGGTATTCCACTTTTAAGTGAAGGTTGGAGGAGAGTAGTGGAGTATCATTTGTGTGGTGGTACGGCGCGGGGTATGTTAATAATGCACTACTACTCCCCTCCAACCAAAACTTAAAAGTGGAATATCTCATCAACGGCTCGACAGAAATCAAAAATCAACACTAAAATTTATTTTAACTAATATTCAATCTATTTATGGACTTTTAATATAGGTTGCCATTTGAAAATCAAAAGTAGGTAGCTGTTTTATCCCCAAAATTAAGGGTGACAAAAATAATACAAATATAAAATTGTGGAGTACTTTTTTTCCCAAATGTTCTAGAAAACAAATTCCGGAAAAAGGTAATACTTTCCGATAAAATGAGTGTACCCACTTAAATGAATCACTTGGTACTTATACAGAAACAGAATACCTATTAAATCTCTTGTAGTTTCCATAAAAAATCGTTTTAAAAGGTTTGCCGATTATTCGAAATGGATTATATTTTTCAAAATTTCGGACGAATGTGAACTGTGAGTTTTAACAGTCTTCGTGAATATAACGATGTTTATACTCGGAAACTGCCAAAAGTCACACACACACACACACACATACGAATCGTATAAAAATGCATACACCATTAAATTACGAACTTAGTAAATTTTGTCTAGTTGATGTATTGGAGAAGTAATCTTTTAAATTGTCTTGAAGTTCTCTTAGAGAACTATTTGGAAAACTAAAAGGGAGATGGAGACAATAACGGAAATAACGGTATATCTACTTTTATTTTTATCTTTTAATATTTATCTTATCTTTCTTTTAATATCTTTTGGTATTTTTTTGTAATGCAGTTAAAAATAACAGTGGAACCTTGAAACAGAACACTAATATTAGCCCTTTCTAAATTTGTTAAAATTTCCCATTTATTTTACCGATTTTTGAACTATTTAGGTCTTTGAAATTATCGAGTTTTTTTAAAAAAAATATTATTTCGTTTTATGTGCATATAAATATTTTGACACATTAAAAATGATCGAAAATTGAATAAGAGGTTCAAAATAAGTCATATAAGTCGAAAAAAAAAATTGAACGTTATATAGTAATTTATTTTAAAATAGTTTTAAATTCAAATTTTGACAAAAATCGTAAATATCAAATTTTTTTTTTACGCAAATAAATGTTAAATTGTTAAACAGTATGACTTTGTAATGACGTAAAACAATAAGTTATATTTGATTCATGATTCCGAATTATATTTATACGTGTGCATTTTATCTCGTTCGAATGATAATGTATCATTATATTTTGTTTCCTGTAAAATAATTGAACATCGTTTTAGATATTTTTGAATTATATAATTATATTGATTTGTGAAAGTCAAATTTGAGTTAAAGGAAACTAATTGAAACATTTACTGGTTTAGATAATAAATATTAATGTTGAACATTTGTTGTATTTTATTCGACGCGTAAAAATAACATAATAAACCGTTCATTTAGCATAATGTAAATCGTTTTATGTACCTCAGATTTGTGTCACCTATATAATATATTATTATGAAATCTGAACGGAAATAACGATTAGACGAATCTGAAAAGAAGCAAGTGGGTCATAACAAACATTTCAATAATTGACCCCGTTTTATTTTTATTTATAAAGAATTTAAATTATTTAGACGTTGGTATGATTGGTTATGATGCATTTTGTTGAATAATATTATTTATACGTACCGTTCATGGGTGCAACTATAGGCTATCAACTTTGAGGATTCTAAAATTATAGACACATCATAGATCCATGGGTATAATGTCACCATAATCCCCTTTACATATAGAACTTATAATAAGCAACTACACATTTCATTTACAATTTTTATATAAAAATATATCATAACTTTTTTAACTTTATTTTTGTGCAAAAATACATTATCTGTAGGTAATCTGTATTTTTTCTTCTTATTATTTATAAAATACATGAGTAATTTATTATTTAGTCGATACTATATAAAAACAGATTATTGAGAGTGCTAAAGATTGTCTCCCCCCCCTAGTTGGGCTGATGATACCATTAGTAATAATAATATAGTCGGAACGAAAATGAAGTAATAAACAGTTATTACATTCGTTATCAAAATCTATAATTTATTTTGAGTCATCCGATATCAAAACTATTACGTCCATCGTGTAAATCATGGAATTTATATTTAAACTTGTAAAATGTTCAATAAAATAAATAACCATGAGTCGCGTATTCTCGTTTTTGAATAGTACCTATTATAATCTCAAGGCTGGATAAGTTAATAATGAATACCTCATATTAACTCGGTACCTAAAGTTAAAAGTTAATTTGAAAATTGAATTAGCTTACTAACTTTGTGGAGTTAATTTTATTATAAAACAGTTATTGTCCGTGTAAATGATTAAACCAAGAATCTGTGATTTTTTTGAAAATAATGACTATCATCAATGTTAAGAATCACAGACGGTAAATATTCTGGGAATATTAAATGGCACATATTATTTTAAAATCAGAATTCAACACACCTTTGAGTAAAAAAGGATAAAAACAGCGATGAGCAACAGAGTTCCTTTACAGCTACCGTCTAATTTTCCCCACTTATTTTGTGTAGAAGAAATATTCTTTGCAAAACAAAAAACAACCGAATACTATAACAATACAATACTATCTGTATTAAAATTATAATTAGTATTTCTAAAAAAATTGTTGAAATTTGATCATAAAAATGGTAGGTGTTAGAATAATAAAACTTCTAAAGATTTATATGATATAATGCAGTGAAATAGTCTCAGTCTAGCATTTACGAAGATAATTTTAAAAGAAAAAAAATTATTTGAGGATGGAAAATTGAGTAGACAAATCAAAGTTAAAAGTTAAAATTGACTATACTTTTAAATTTTGTTTTGTTAGATTTGAAAGGTTAAAATGCCTAAATCTGATTATTATTATTATTATTAAATTTTATCAACGAGAATAATTTGTCAATATCGCGTGTTAGATAATCTAGAAAAAAAAACTACTGGGGACGGGTGCTGCCACTTTTTTAGGTAGGAAGCTGGGAAGGTAGGATATATGAAGTTATTTAATTTATATCTGTTCGCAAAGATTAATTAAAAAATGAATGCATTAAACTCAATTTTTGGTAGAGAACATAAGTTACAAAAATTAAAAACATTAAAATTGGTAACTTCAGCGTGTCGTAAATATTTATCGTTTTATCAAAAATTTTCTTTCAGGTTTTTTTCAATTATTTTGAATATCTCTTGGAAAATCAAAAAATGACCTCCTTAATGCATTAACTGAAGAAAATATTTTTCCAGAAAAAGTATTACACTCTTCACATTGAATTAAAATTTCTTTATGGAAAGTTCTTTACACAGAGAAAAAAAATTAAACATCATAGTAAAACCAATAGATTCATCGCTACGTTTCGAATCTAAAATAATACTGTACATTTTTTTTCCGGTTGTTTTTTCGTAGGTTATGCTTTTCAATGATACTTTTGTTACTAAACGACCGATTTTTATTTTGAGGGCACCACAAACAGATAGCGTGACGATAAAATAATAATTCTAATGGTAAACCTACCAACTGTAATATTATTAATTAATCGTGTTTCGCGACTGTCGGAATAATACTTTTATTTTCTTCTTATCTTTAATAATAATGTTTATAGGTAAGTTTTTACTTATCTACATTTATAATTTATCCGAGTAATTGAGGAACTTTTTGAAGTAGACAGTACGTATACCTATACTCAAATAACATACTCAGTACCTTGCTAAGAGGGGAGGGGCAAATTAGGTATTTAACTTTTTTAGGCAATAATTAAAAGTATATCTATTATGTATTTTAGTCAAAATCGAGGTCGCTAGACAATATCAATGTATACGAATATAAATATATAGTTATCTATAGAGATAACAATAATATTTTCTTAATTTCCATTGATAGCATCGTAATATTTTTCTTGTTAGTTATCATAATATTAATAACTATTATTTTTACATATAAATATTATATATATATATATATATATATATATTTGAACGTTGAAACAATTGCATCTGTATATTATAACGATGAATCATAACATAATTTAGACGTTACAATATGTTGACCTTTTAGTTTCGTACAATCAATATTTTGTAAAGTGTAATTATATTAATGATTATTGCAATTTGAGGTTTTAAAATTAATATGATATGTATAACGCATATATGCATAGACTAATAATGAATAAAATATCAATGGAAATTTTGTTTGCAAAAAAAATTATCATAGTTATACATATGTTTAAAAGTAAAAATCGTAATACTTATTTTTTCTCAATTTGTAATGGTATAATAATTTTTCATCTAAATCAATAATAATATTATTAATACCTAATACGATCTATATTGTTATGTCGGTATACGTGGTTTTAATGACGTAACTTAAATATTACACTAAACATACACAAGTGTTATTAAACCGTTTTAATATTAACCGCAATAATCAAATAATTAATATTCGAAAAAACAAATGAATACTAACTGAACATTTTGTTTTATCTATATTGTGTATACATTTATCGTACCCGTATATAATATTGTACACGGTGCCTGCGCGCTACTACATATCATCTATAAATACTCTAATATCTATTTTTAATCTATTTCAATTTTTATAATAATAAATAATTATTGTATTTATAAATGAGATTTTCGACGTTAATAATAATGTAGTACGTATTATGTGCGATAAAATTAATTAAATTAATTAAATTGGGGACTGTATTGTAATATTTAATAGTATACTATTATCTAAGAACTATTTCATTTCGTGTACGTTACTGACATTAAAAAATATTATCACCGAAGTATAGAATAAAAGGTTTAGTTTAAAATAACGTATGGCGTTTTTGTTTGTTGGTACTTGAAATTGTTTAAACGACTTGCACAATTACCGTTATAATGCGTTATACTTAATCAGGTTCTTTGTGGGTTCTAGCCATAGTCGATTTTCGATATATATGTATATTTTTTTAAGAAACACGGTACGGCACGCCGACCGCTGTGCCAAAAAAATGGAAAAATTAATGTTAACGATCGAAACCTCTCAGCGACAGCGGCAGCAGCAGCATCAGCGGCCACTATTCGCTGCCGGTGTCGAGCGGCTGTTGTCACAGACCGTACAATTAATTGAATAAAGGGACTACGGTAGCAAGGTCGTTTGGCGTATGGTAAAAAAAAACTCATTCGCAATGACATCCTTTACAGCAAAATCTCCGCAAATTGACTCGAAACCGTTCATTTCGTATTTATATATACCTATTATTATTATTATTATTATTATTATTATCATGTTCGTTCTCGTCAAAGAATATTATTTTGCCCTTTTAAAAACGACACTATAATATGCGATACCTACCGTTGTAATTTCGTATATTACGCTGCAATATATTATTCACACACGCGTTTATATAGATTTAAAATATTATAATCATTACATTTCGAGACACGGTGCGATGTCGTAATTATAGGTAATGTCAAACCGAACATCATACTCATGTCTAATGAAAACCGAGTGAAAGTCTCCAGAGATTAAATTAATGTTAAGCGGATGCCATACACCCGCATGCGCTGTCCTCGTCGTACAACCACGCAAGATAGCAATTTTCCGTTTGGCAGGGACAACTCTATGCTGTTAGTTTCAATATCAGAGTGAATTGACCTATTATCAAACTTAAATATAAGAACATTATCTTTGTCGTTTTGTCATTTTTCTTTCGTAATTTTAATTTTTCAAGCAAGATACGAGTGTGTGAAATATCACAATTTAAAATTGCTTATAACTCGTTTAAAAATTTAAAAAAAAAAAATGACGACACGACACAGATAACGTCCTTACATTTATGTTTGATAATAGGTCAATTCACTCTGATATTGAAATTAATAGCACAGAGTTGTCTCGGCTAAGTTAAAATTTGGTATGTCACGCAGTTGTATGCCGAAGACAGCACATGTAAGTATCTTGGCGTCCTCTTAAGTAAATTATTTTCGTATTATCCAACTGTAGTTTTGATCAATTAATCAACGATCATAAAGTATTTCTATAAAAATCAATTTCATTGGTTGTTGTAATGTTATTTTTATTAAGACTTAGGTTTACAATAAGACTTAAACTAATAAGATTTATAAAATAAATATATAATCTATATATAGAATATAAATAGTGAAAAATACTAGGTTTATTCGCATGGAATAAAAAACATACTACAAAAATAACAAAAATTTAAAATATAGTCTTCTAGACTATAAAATGTATTTATTATTATTATTATAAAACATTATAATATATTGCACACCGTATTTATTAACTTTATATTGATTAAGTGCCTACCATAATTTTTTTTATAAAGTATTTCTATAAAACTTTAATAACTCTACATCAATTTCGTCGGTATTACACATTACACATCGTAGAATCTCGTACATTTTTTATAAAATTTGACTTTTTGTATTTATATACCCAAGAGTACTGGTCCACCCCCTAGAGCAAAAAAAAAAATCAAATCAGATTAATGTTCCTGGAGAATAAAATGTGCTACAGTATTAAGTCTCAAAACAGTGTAATTATTTAAATACGAGTACAGGTAGATATAAATTTAAATTTAAATAGTTATGCGTTTAAAATAAACCGGAGAGACTATGTATCAGAGAGGTATTTATATGGGGAGGGGAAAGTGGTTATTGATCACAGTTGTCATATTTTAAGAGGACGTTTTTACCCAATTTTAAGATACTGTAAAATAGTAGTTTTTTTAAAATATTGACCCCATCTTACATTTACACTCCCACAGAAAAATCTAAAGTACCTATAGTGTGTTTTAGAGTCACAAAGTTTTTAGTACAAAATATCTAATTATTAGACGATTATAATTTGCATACATATTATTTAAATATTCAACCCCTCCAAAAAACGCCCAGGCACGTAACTGTTATAAACTATAGACCTAATACAGAAAAAGTTGAAAATCCACCACTGACGGCTGACAATATACATTTTTATTTCAAAAATAATTTTCGAAGATTTAATTGTTAGGGTTGGGATTTTAATGTATATACACCCATATTGTTTTTCAAAGTTTGCTGTAATATTGCCGTTTTGTTAAAAATTCGTTCCATGTGTTTTTGAATGAAAATAAGGTATTTTATTTTGCATTTTTTGATTTTAAAATTATTTTTTTGAATTTTATATGCATATTTATTTTCAATTTCCACGGCAAATAAAACTATGTTTTTTTTTAGGGCATTTCAAGGGGTTTATTCCCAAACATGACATTCCTAGTTGTACTTACTATAGTGAACACCACTCGATATTTTATTTTTATCGATATCATTATTGATAATGTAATAATTATATAGGTACGATGTATTCTTAGTCATCAAAAAAAAAAAATAAAACAATTATAATAATGGTTTCTAATATAAATACAATATAAATACATATCAATTAATAATTATAATTCGATGGGGATAGGTTTGAAAATTATAAACACTATAATGTTCCAGTCTATTAAATTCGCCAGACGTCAAGTGCTTGTTAACAATAATTATTATAACATTCACTTTTCGTCAGTAATGTCTTATTTGTATTACGAATATTATATCAACTGTACAACAGTCATTAATATTATATTGGAAAATGTTTAGTGTAAGCACAGTTATATTAATTATAATGTATACTAAATACCTAGGTAGTGAAGATAATAAAATATTGTGTTTTTTTAAACAAATAATATTAATTCATAATAATTGCTTTTAAACAAATAATACAATTTTAATTATAAATCTCTATGAAATACAGTAATATTATAATCATAATTGTTAGCGCGCGTGAACAGAATATTAGCAAATACTTGTAAAACTCGATTAGGGTCAAGGCCGAAATATATAATTGTGATCACTCATGACGAAAAATAAATTGCGGATTATCGAAGATTCGGATGGGAATTAATAATATTTTTACTAGTATTTTTGCAGTTTTATACTGGCTAATTTTCCAAAGAGGTAAATAGATTAGATCAGTGGAGCGCAGCCAAGGGGTCACCAATATTTTTACTTCTAATAAAAGTTATATATACAATGTAGGTATACATATTATTATATATAATGTAATATTTCTTTTAATGTCGGTATCCGTATCCATGAACGTGACTTGGACAATCTGTATGGGAGGGAAGTCAAAGTTTATTTCATGTTATTAAACTTAAAGGCTTTAGAATATGTTTAGAAATTATATGGTTAATAATTATACTAATAATGGTGTTACAAATTAGGCACGAGTCAATTATTAAATTTAAATGTAACATTTATGTTAATTGTATTCTCCTTCCTTTTGGACATTGTAATTCCATAAAAGTAGCATTTTTTAATATTGAAATAGTTGAGTAGTTAGCATTTTGTTTCTTCTGAAAATGTAACGATAAGCTATAAGTTAATTCAAAAATTAACTTCATTAATTTTAAACAAATAAAAATACAAATAAAAAAACTAAAATTTTTGAATATTCACTAAGGTTGAAACAAGGTAAGTTGAAACAATAAGATTAAATTATAATTGTTTATTACAGACCTAATAGTTTCGATTTGACAATTCCACCTAGTGTCACTAAGTGATTTTAAGTACTGGTGGATAACTTTGATTCTTTTTGTTTATTTTCAAATACCAAATATCTTTTGAAGGAGCTCCTATGAATACATAAATCTTATTTAGAGGACCAAATATATTGCGAATTGGTACTAATTTCCCCCTGACATCAATTACACACAAATTTAATATATGAGTATAGTAATGAACATATAGAGCTAGTTTATTTCCATATTTAACCCTTGTAGTAACCCCTGAATATGAACCACGTATTGAGGCGGCACCGTCGTAGCATTGACCTCTAATATTTTCAATTTGTAGGCCTAATGTTAGCAAAGTATTTTTAAGTAAATTCGAAAGAGATTCTTCTTTCATTTTAGCTGTTCTAAAAACAGATTGCGACATTTGAATTACGACCGTATTATTAATAATATAAAAGCGACACTCGGTCAGGTAGGAGTTAAGGAAAAGTGTCCACTTGGTTAGTTAATAAATGATAATATTATAATCTAATTATCGTTTTTGATTTTCGTCGGATCACGACGCACTCATTTGCTGAGAAACCGGCGTATTTAGAGGATTTTAAGTGATAGTCGAATTTTTAGTACATTTAGATACCTCTATAACCACTCAAATCATAATGGTGTCCATGGGAGAGGATACTTACACTTACGGGTAAGTTGTATAGAAACTGATGTTTTAGATTTTGAACCTGAGCTAACAAACTATAGATTACCGGGATTTTTTTCTTTCGGTATATTATTTGTCTGTTTTTTTTCGTCAATGTCAACCGCAATATTTTTTCTTGCACAGATGATTGAGTAAATCTTATGGAAACTTTTAGAAATAGAAATGTTTGGGGTTCGTGGCAAGTCGGCGAGAGAAATATGGGGGAAAAATTGCTAAAAATTATTAAGTATTTGTGGAATTTTAATCCAGACCTGTACGTATTTTCCTGTCTATAACCTATCTATAACCTACATACCTATAACCACTGACGCCACTATATCGGATATGGAAGATGATTGAATCTTTTGATATGTAAACACTTTCACCAATATATATATATATATATATAATTATTATTTTGTTATTGAAACTTCTTTTTTGAGGGCAGACTTATATGATTCGAGTTTTGATATCGAGCGTCACTGGAATGACATCGATAATAAAAATATTATAATTATTCCATTGTCACCGACTAACCAACTATACTGCAGACAGTCTTATAAATTGTTAATTTTTATATCAAAATTTAGCTCACGTCAGCGGCGGTGACGGCGGCAGACGGTTTACGTCCTTGTCGGCGAACCGCATCTGCCTCGGTTGAGGTTACGGGATCAACACCTTGTTGGGTAGGTATAGGTACTAAATAATATTATATTATTGTATACTTCCAAAAAAGAGCGACATAATATACGTGATACGAACTTGCAATACAATTTGTATTGTGTGTTGTTAAAATCGATAATATTCATACCGTTTGACGTTTGCCGAACGAATAATTAAGAGATGATGTACAAAAATAATTATCGTATTAAGTATTAGTGTGCAGATTTGCTTGTATGTTATGCATTTTTTTTTTTCTACAAGGTCGATATTATTAATACGATTGAAAAGAACCGGAAGACAGTAGTACATAATACGGTTAATTTGTATTTTACCAGCGTATTATAATAGGTAATATTATAATATGATTATGTACGTGAGCATAGAAGAAAAAAAGGAATTTAAATTATTTATTATACAAGTAGATTATTCTAATATATTTGATTTAAATACAACACCAATGAAAATCCGAAGATTTGTAATATTTTACTTTTATTATTATAACATGCTATTTACAGTTGTGACGTATTATATACATCCGATATTTACTTAGATTTAGAAGAAAATGTCACTTAAAAAAATAAAATGAGTTATATGAGTTAAAGAGATGATTTAAAATCGTACAACGATGTTTAAAATTTAATTTGTAGTATGATTTGTTTCGAAATTTAAACGTCCCTAGGTATATCGTAATTAATGATTGTCAGATCGTTAATACGATGAAAGTTATAGGCCAAGTATATTAAATTATTATTATATAGTCAATACTCAATATGCACGGTCCAAAGAGTTTAATAGAATTATACAATAATTACTTTTACTTTGTATCAATAGACGAGTATGGGTTAATTACTTATTAATATTTAACAACGAGCCAAAACTGTTGTAATAGCACAATGTAATCAAAACCATAGAGACTCTTACAGAAATTAGAAAATAAGATAAGTAGATACTATTATAGGATTTAACAAGGTTATAATACTGATGTGTAGCCGTTCATCAAAACCATTAAATCGTCAACAGAGACATTCTAATTGTCAAAACAAATAACGAGAGCTGAAATAACCCAAAAGAAAAAAAAATGTTGAGTATAATTCAATTTCGTTTCGATTAAGAAGCTAATGTTTGCTACATTGCGGTTAAATTGACAATAAAAATTGAGATGAGGGGATTTAGGAACGACGCGATCAATTATCGAATCCGGTAGACCTATATCGTTTGAATTTAATTTCTTATTAAAATTTATAAGATTTTATTTCGATTATAGAAAAACTGGATAAATTTAGAACAATAAAAGTTTCATTATTATCGAATTGTTCAATTTTTTTATTTTACCAGAAATTTTGCTCCGAATTTTGGAGCGAAACATCTTTTCTGAAAGGAATTTTGTCTATGGGATGCCTTGGAAAGTTTTCTTTAAGATTCCGGAGCGTATCAAGGATCTGTTGGTTTTATTATGATATGTTTCTCTTTCTGACTGTAAACAACTTTTCTACCAGAAATATTGCTCCGAAGTATCAAGTGTAACACTTTTTCTGAAAGAAAATTTTCTTTTGTTGGTGTATAGGGGAGACCATTTTTTGATTTTCCAAGAGGCTTTCGAAATAATTGGGAAGAAAAACCCAAAGAAAATTTTAGGTAAAACGCTAAATATTTATGCGAATTTAGTAATACAGCGCTACCATTTTCATTGTTTTTACTATGACTACACGATGTTTTGTACCAGAAATATTGCTCCAAACAAAAAATAACAAAATATAAATTATATTCCTTTTAATATATAGCCAGGGCCAAATCTAGGAAGACAAACCTGGCACTTGCTCCGGAATTCCTGGTCAAGGCACACCAAATTACCAAATAATAAGTGCATGGATATATTAACAGTTTTTATTCATTCACAAATTTTTTTGAGATCAAACAAAAATTATTTAATTTTTTTCTAGTTCCATCCAAAGATGGGATATTTTAATGAACAAGCTTCATTTATCTTTAAAGGGTTACAAAGTTACAGTACTATAAGGTGGTCTTCAAAATAGAAAACAGTCAGAGTATTAAATTTATAATTATCTGATTTTATTAAAACATTTGATTTATTAAATCAAAAAATGCTGATTCGATAATAAAAACTTGTTAAAAGCAATAAATAAATTTCCATTTATATTAAATATAACAAAAATTAATAATATATTAAATTCTTAGTGTGATCGAGTAAACATAATATTGCAGCGTTCAAAAAGTTGTTCACAGAAAAAAAGAAGGCCGTAATATATTTTAACTAGTTCCTACATTTTTATGTTTTCTCTTTTTTCTTTTCGGTTTTTCAAATTTGTTGAGAAAAATCCTGAAAATCTAAATATTACCTCCCTAAAGTACCACACCAATTTCCTTTCAGAAAAAGTGTTACATTTAGAATTCCGAGCAAGTCTTCTGGTAGAAAAGTTGCGAACATCTAAACAAAAAAAAAAAAAATAAATAAACATCTTTGTAAAACCATTAGCTTCTTTACTTCACTCAAAATCTAAAATAACGATTGATATGACTGTTGCAAATTTACGTAGCTTAATATAATTATTTGAAAAATTTAAGGAAGGTGTAATTGATAAATTATTTATTGAAGCAGAAAGAAAAGCTGAAATGTTAGGTATTGTAAAAAAGTTTCAAACCTGTAAACTTTCCAAGAAAAAGAAGATAGCCGGTGAGCTTGTTAAAAATAACATAAAAACTGTTTGTGAAAAACAAAAATTCAACATTTTAATCAAATCTGCTATGGATAATATTTTATCGAGAGATCGTTTTGAGCCAGTGCAAAATATTTTATCTACATTTTAATTTTATATGGTAAAATGCTATTTAAAATACCATCTTATAAAATCTAAAAAACATTAAATTGATTTATGTCAAAGTATGAAACAGACTTAAATAAAATAAAATTTATTATGAAATTAAAATTTTTAAACAACATATTTTTGTACTAGATGACTCACTACGATATGGACATTATTTTAATATCCTTAAATGATCTCCTTAAAGTACTACTCCAGTCGGATTTTTTTTTCAGAAAAAATGTTGTACTTGTAAATCAGAGTAAGATATTAAGGAGAAATGTTGTTAAAAAATATAGATAAAAAATAAAATAAAAAAACAAACGATAGAAAATCAATACATTCCTCGTTCCACTTATAATCTAAAAAGGTTGCCAATTTCATACTTCGTCATGGATAAAAAAATATTATATCCGGCTCGGCATATAGCCATTAAAAGTTATAAACCATAAATCATTAATTGGTATAAAAAAAAGTTTTCATAACAATCGGGAAAACCAAAAATGACAAAAAATAAGATTTTTTTATATTACGGCGCAAAGATTTCATTATTTAAAATTTGGATGGCTTTTGCCTTCTATAAACATAAACCATAAATATTGCTCCAATTGAAAATAAATAAGAGACCTTTTTTGTTGGATTTTTACCTAATTAGTGAGTAAAAAAGATGTTTTTTGATTTTCTTTGCAGTTTTTTTAATAATTAAGTTGATTTTGTTCTATTGTGATTCGGTTAAAAATAATCGTAGATAATTTTCTAGACGGGGTGAAATTTCCAAAACATTTAGGGGTATAATATGAGCTATTTATAGTAATTTGACATTTTCAATAATTTTTTAGTTTTTATTTGGCTGTATGTGGATAAAATTGTCGTGGTCGATCAGGTATTTTTGAAAATTTAACACAAGATTCACTTAAGTTTTATTTTTTTTTTTTAAAACCATTTAAAATTCTAATGTTGACAAAATGAAAAGAAATCATGGTATTTCAAAACATGCTCGACTGAACTTCACTGATTTAGTTAGTACATTGAGAAGATCATATTCTGATTTTTCAAGAAGTAATTAGAATGTTGAAAAAAATGGGGGAAAAAATTACAAATTTACGACACTAAAAGTTTTATTATATTCGTTTTTTTTACAGTTATCTTGCTCCGAATTTCAAGAATAGTATTTTTTTTCTGAAAGTAATTGTTTTCTAGTTAGGTAGGTTAGTACTTATTAAGGTTGTAGATAAAATTGTTTTGTCCAAGCATCTTTCTTTTTTAATTAGATTATTGTAGAGAAAAAAATATATATCAAATCCTTCGAGTAGAAAATGAATGGACAAACATCTTGCTTTGTGTGCCTTATATTTATTTATAACTATAGAACGATTAGTAACGATTTAATAATTTTGAATTTTTTAATATTGATGCATTATATGCAAGTATAACTTATATGACTTATTGGTTACAAGATTATAATAATTTTATGATATTTAGTATATTATAGCCAATGCTTTGAAAACTTATTATATGTATCGCTTTTTTTTTTATATATAGATGAAGATTACTTAGAATTTGAAAAATAGTTACTTACTTTAATCATTACGGTAAATTTAGATTCGTTCGTTGCAGTTTTGTGAATAGAATAATTTACACAAAAATAACAACTATAGACTATCTGTTTCAGTAGATTCAGTTTAGACTTAAAGAAATTCGTACAATAATTTGTAAAAAAGCAATACTTTATGCTTGTATGTAAAGTTATTTTCATTACAGCCAAAATCAAAATTAACCTGTTTATCCTGTTTATCCAGTTTAACCTGTTCTACTTCTCTAGGAAATTTATTGTTCCACTAGAATCGTTTTTTGTTTGCAATGGTTTATCGTTTTTTTTTTTCAGTATACAAATTAAATAATTTTATATTCTACAAATGCCTTCTAAATTTCTTACATACTCTGCAGTAGGCCTACTGGACTACCCACTGTGGGAATTACATCCGGTTTTATTTTTAAAACATACAGATTTGTGATGTTTTTTTATTATTTGAAGAGTATTTCGGGACGGTCCTAGATTGAAGAGTGCACGGTAAATAATATTAATTTTGGATATTGATATTGATACCACGTGCCCTACGTCGCTAAAACATTAAAAGGTTAACACGTGCTGTTAGTTATTACACATAAAGAATAATGATAATTATATTAATATATAATAATAATATTAATATTATTATTACTGTGCCTTTATTGATATTAATATTTATTCGTATACGTCATTACCATAAATATTTTTACACTAATTATTAAATTGCGCGTTTCAAAATTATATGTCTATCTTTGTTTCTTTCATACGGTTCAAGTATAATATATATATACCTACCTAGGTATGTATTTTTAAGACAGACCCTGAAAAGTATAGCGTATCGTCAATAAATTAGTAAAACACGTGCTCGATATACTAGGAAAATGCGCGTACGTAATACTATACATTGTGTTTCACAGCGTTCGTATCTAATCAGTGAACCTAATCGCAATTTATACTAACGCGTACATTTCTGTGCAATACCAAATAATTTTTGGTTAGGTAGGTAAATAGGTATTTTAATTTTTGGAAATTATACTCGAGAAATAGTAAATACAAGTTTCTCTTGTACCCGTTGTTATTTCACGCTGAAAAACTACAAAAGCAATCAAAATTCGATAAAAACGATGATAAGTAGATAATAATTATATGCGATAGGTACCTAGTTGTAGAATTGTACATTTTAAATTTTAACATTACTTGTAATGTGTCTTCGTTAAGGATTGACAAAATATACAAATATTTTTAAATTTGATGGTAAATTTATATTATTTATATGTTTAACTTCTACGTTTTATATTCAGAGCGTAGCGAGGGATCTATTAGTTTTATTATGATGCTCTGTTTTTTTTTTTTTTATATACGTAAACAACTTTCCTACTGAAAATATTACTTAGATTGCTTAGATGTATGGAGTGTAGTACCTTTTTTTAAATGAAATTTTGTCTATTGGTGCTAGTTGAGGAGGTTATTTTTAGATTCTGAGTGGAGCGAAGAAGCTTATGATTTTACAATGATTTTTTTTTTGTTCTGTGGACTTTTCTACCAGAGATTTTACTCGGAATTCTTAGTGTACCACCTTATTAGGGAGGTCATTTTTTGATTTCCTTAGAAGTTTTCCTAATAAATGTAAAAAACCGAGATAAAACATGGGAAAACCGGGAAAACGTAGCAAAACTGGAAAAATCGGTACAACATTAAATAAATATTATTAAAGGAAATGTATAAAGCCTATTTAATTATTTTACTATAATATGACATATTTATTGATGACAAAGCATCACTGTCGACTGAACTTCGCTCAGAATCGTTTTTTCGTAAGTAATGGTTTATCGTTGCTTAGTATGTATACCTGATACATTAAATTATCTATTATAGTAGATGCACCCGTCTCCATTGTCCTAGAGCATATTTTTAATTTTCCAAGGGGGTTTCGAAACAATTAGAAAAAACGGGAAAGAAAATTATGAGTAAAACGGCAATTATTTAAGATGTGCCTACCTTAGTATTTTCATTGTATTTTTTTTTTCAACTTGAATTATAACAAAGAATTCTTTTTTGGCATTTAATGTATTTTTTATAATAGATTATTGGGTAAAACAAAAAAAAGATTTTTTCAAATTACAGCGTAACAATTTCAGTATTTAAAATGTCATAAACATTTTACTTGTTTTCTACCATAAATATTGTTCCGATAAAAAAGTTAGTGATTTTTTGATTTTCCAAGTAATTTTTATAATAATTAGGAAAAACGTAAAATGAAATCTGACAAATATACGGAGTTACGATTTTGATCGAGTTGAAATTTTAACAGGAAACTTATATTTGTTTTTTCTAGACGTAGTAAAATATCGTTGAGTTATTCAGACATTTTAATTTTATGGGTTTTGACGTAATTTTTATTTTTACTTTGCGAATAAAATTGTTAGACCTAACCGAAATACTTTAACATTGATTAGGAGATTCACTTAGTTGTGAAAAAAAACGTAAAGATCGTAAAGATCAAAGTAATATTTCTGATAGAAAATTTTTTTACTGAGAAATAAATAAAATAAAAACATCAGAATCTAAAAACGACAAATCATTTTTAAACATACAGCTCATTCTCAGTCAATCATAATTTTTAATTGCACACCGCGACACTTAATTGTTGGACATTAATAGAAAAAACGGTCTCTTCTCGGAAATATACCTAAAGTTACTCAAGGCTGATATTTATTTGATTTCGCCACTATTAACGTTTCAGTGAACATCATAATCTATTTTAATAGGTAATAATAATTACATTTTCTTGCAGAATCTAAAGCCAATATAAATTGAAAATCTGTAGTTATTCGATAATTATAATATTATTAAGCTTTTTTTACTAAGGTCATTAACTTTAAATTATCAGGTTTGAACCGACCGATATCTAGGTTAAGTTTAGTGAAACTCAAAGCGTTGGGCCTGAAGACTCGGATAAAATTGGAAATATCAATTTGGAAGAATATGTCTAATATAGAGGTAGACGGAAAGAGATCGTGTTTACAGCTTTTGATGGCTTTCGTAGAGCTGTTGAGCTATGAAGAAAAGAGATTTACTTGACGTGCCTTCTGAGATTGTTTGTGATTTTATCAAAAAAAAAAAATAATAATAATAATAAAGCTCACACGTAGGAAAATATCGTAAAAAAACCGATAGGGAATATATTGTCTAGACTCTAGATAATATATTCCCTATACACAATATATACAATATATACAAGAGGGAGTGAGAATAAAGAGAGAAATAGAAATATCGCTGTGAGTATACAAGATTGGATGTCAACTTATAATGTATTAGCTACTTTATTATTATACTACAAATACAGTAGTGTTACTAAAAGTGTGTCATAAGGTCATTTTATAAGATTTATAAGCAACACCGCTGTGACCATTGACCCCGTCTGATTAGTCAATTATAATTAAACGTCACCGCAAACCTATCGCACCGGTTCGTATAGTTTACTGTTGTTTTTATTTCATACCTACCTTTCGTTTTTATTATTGTTTTTAAATGCAAATAATTTATTACACCTAGCAGCAGAGATATTATTTTTGTGGTCTTTTTAATCTCAATGCCGGTCGTCACAACGTTCTTCCTTGTTATGGCGTTTTTTTTATAATTACTTGACAAAAATCTATACTACCTACCTGTGTGTACCTACCGAGATACTACATTTGGTCTTGACACAAAAACGCCTAAAACACGAACTGTCGTAGGTATTAAGTAAGATCTATCTATTAATAATTGTATGCAATATAAATTTATAAAATCGTATTATTAGGTATATACTCGTAAAAGTTAAGTAACTAAGTAAGTATCTGCATACCTAACTTACTTGCAGCTCATTGCCTACAGATAGTTTTTATAATTATTATAATGTTCTATTTCAGTAAACAATCAAAATGCGTATATGACTAATAAATTTACATATTTGATTTGTTATTATATTAGTAGTCTTTATAGATTTATCGACTAATTATTAGTGTATATCTACGTCATTTAACATAAAAGTTGTTATTCTTTTTTCCTAAATTAATACTGAAACAAAAATAATGAAATGTCAACTTTACAGCATTTATCCATTATAATAAAATCACCGAATAAGAATTATAGGACTGGAAACGAATGATAGGACGGGCGTGGGGTACTTTTCACAAAAATCAACTGGGGATACGGAGCGCATGAGTTATTTTTTCCTTTATGAGCCCCAGCATTTTATGTTTTTAGAAATAGACACCTTGTCGGTGAAGTATTTAGTTCTGAAAAAATCCCTTTAATATGACGTTGGGGCTCATAAAAAAAATGATTCCTCGTACCTCACATTATACATTTGTTTTTCTGGTCACGTTATCATGTGTTCGTTTACAGTCCTATATATCTTAGTCCTCCGTGAATAATGCGTTTTGTATTGATCTGTTTTCTAAATTATCTGATTTCAGAAAGTCGGATATGTTAGTGTGGGAGTTCGCGTCATCGTCGATCATTTTCGATTGACCCTAATCGTTCGTCTTTCAAACCCACACCATCGTTTCTGTAGACCAGATGTCGGTGGTCGTTAGTAAAATATAAAACAACTGAACGAAAAAATAATCAACAGCAATATACGTGATAAAAACAAAAAAAAACAAACAAACAAAAATAGATTCACAAGATGACGTACGACACGAGCGGGAAAAAGTGCGAGAAATCCGCGTCCGGACAGCAGCAAGACGAGAACCACGAAACGTGGCGCGCCATGGGCATAATGTCCAAGGCCAAATTCATGTTAAAACACTGTACGGTGGAGCCCATGTTGGGTTGTTACATCGTGTCCAGCGTCCTGGCGTCGTTGGCCACGCAGAACTTGAATCTACAGAAAGCGTGCCGGGTGAACTTGAGGCTGGATAATGCAACGTGTTCGGCGCTGGAGAGCCGCTCCACCGACAATTACACTAAGGAGGATGAGGTGGTTGTCCAGGAGCTAGTGGCCGATATGATCATATGGAAAACTATCGTTCAGAGCAGCATACCGTCCGTGCTCATCATATTTATCGGATCGTGGAGCGACCGTAACCATAAGCGCAAGCCATGCATGCTGATACCGATCATCGGCGAGTTCCTCACCAGCATCGGTCTGTTGTTCTGTACTTATTATTTTTACGATTTGCCTATGGAAGTGGCTGGGCTGGTCGAGTCCGTGCCACCAGCCATGACTGGCGGATGGATGACCATGTTCATGGCCGTGTTCAGTTACGTCGGCGATGTTACAACGGTAAATATAAATTAGGTAACCACCACGTGGTTATCATCAATATCCCAGTATTTTGCCGTTTTTCTGAAGGGTCTCTGGCAGTTTTGTAGTTTTTTTTTTCTAGTAAGATCTTATATAGTAAGACAGGTAGGTAGTAAAAATTATATTATTATTTTTTTTTAACCGGAATGTATACAATTTTAATTTTCCCTGTAAATATTAAATGTCAAATATTCATTAAATATGACTACTATACTTTTAAGCTTAAGAATTAAGATGGACGTGAGTTGAAGGATACTAGCTAATACTTAAACCTCATATATACACATATCTGACGGAAAAAAAACCTTTCAAATGTTTCTGTAGAAAATAAGACTTTGTTTTGATTTACAGGTCAAAATGCGAACTCTACGAATCGGCATTGTGAACGTGTTCTGCTCGGTCGGTGTCCCGATAGGAACTGCATTGTCCGGCGTACTATTCCGGGAACTCGGATTTTATGGCGTTTACACGATAGCCACAGTGTTATATATATTCGCTTTCATGTACGGGATGGTTTTCATCAAGGAAACTAAACCGGAGATACCCATCGAGAGCAAAGAATTGCCGAAGGACACGTCATGTTTGGATTTTTTAAAGGACTTTTTCAGCCTAAGCCACATTAAGGAAGCTGTTAGGGTAACATTCAAAGAAGGACAGCACAACAGACGGCTAAGAATTATTTCTCTAATGGTCGTTGTCATTGTCGTAATGGGCCCTCTACACGGTTCGTAAATTGCAAAGAAAAACTTTTTCTGTTTTTTATTATCAATCTGGCCTTTTTGACATTTGTCAATAAAATGAATTTTAAGTTATTCGAATCAATATTAAATTTTATTTTAGCATTTGGAAAAATGTATAATTAGGGTTCAGATTTAAAGGAAATATAAACAATAAAAAAAAAATTTTTAAATGTGAAAAAAGGCAAATAAAAAATGGACGCACGAAGGGTAGGCCACTGTTATAGGTAAGGAGTTTGAAGAGAAGGATATAGACGAGAATTTAATCTAAATACGCAACGATAAACCATTACTAACGAAAAAATGATTCCGAGTTAAATTCGGTTAACAGGTACATGTTTTGAAAGGCTGTCATATTTTAAATGTTCATCAAGATTTGATATTAAAAAAGAACTTCATAAAACTTAATTTTGATTTTTACCATAAAATATGACATTTGCATTTTATGCATTTCTGTTTAGTTTAAAAATTATATCCACAGAGTTGGTACCTACCGAATAAAAATTATGTAAAAACTCTCAAAATGGCTCAAATGTTTTAAAAATTTCACCTCATCTAGAAAAATCAAACTTATAGTTTTCTGTCAAAGTTTCAAGTCTACGAATATTTTTTATTGAATTAAATTTAAATAATAAAATAAATGTTTCCGTAAATTTTCCTGTTTTTTCTCGATTATTACGAAAACCAATTAGGAAATCAAAAATGACCTGTTCAAAGTACCAATTAGATAAAATTTCCTATTAGAAAAGGTACTACACTTGATACACAGGAGTAAGACGTCTAGTAGAAAAGTTGTTCTCTGTGAAAAATAAAAAAATAAATAAATTAACACTATTGTAAAATCAACACATTCCTCGCTACACTCTGAATTTAAAAGCATTTAATTTATTTAAAGAAGCAGTTAACAAATTAACAAAACAATTTAATAGATTTCGGTCAATTTAATTACTTTGCATTTAAAAAATGTACTACCACATACTTAGACAAATATTGTCTTCTGAAAAAGGTTGAAGGTTAGGTTGTTATTATTATGTTAATATTTTTGTACATAGAGAACGATATTTCTACGTCCACCGAAGTTATTCATGCATAAATAATTATATATACATTATATACATCGTATTTCATGCGTAAATAATAATATATACATTAAAATTACTATTTTTAAATCATCATTACTTTTTGTTTCTCCAGTTAATATTTGGTCTGTATTTTCCTATTCTTTGTTTTTCGATGTTATTTTGCTGAATTTATTCATAATATCTACACTTTTCAACAATAATACACCTAAAACAGGAACAGCATTTTTTAATATTACATAAATGTAAAAACATAGAGGTTACAAAAGGTAGACAAAGGTACAACAAAGGTAGAAACTAAAAGGTAGAAATTATTTTTTACCTCTTTTAGCCACTCTTACACATTTAGAATCTTTTTCAAATTCTTCAATTGTAGATTTCAGTTCATTGAAATGTGTACAATAGTATTTTACAGCATTAATCTATGTACCCCAACATGTAGTTATTGGTCTTGGCAGATATGGAAATCCTGGATACTTTTTTTTCAGAATATAAATAATATGGATAATAAAACCTAGTAAAACTAATTTTAAACATAAAATCAAAAACACGTCATCTTCACAAGCTCTTATTGATTTGTACCGTTAAATTATATAAAACTATTAGATAAATTGATAGCTTTATTCATTAAACATAAACCAATTTAAAAAAACAAAAAAAAAAATATTTAGGTCAAAAAATGCATTTATAGGTCAGGAAAGAGGTACAAAATTCAATTATATTTACACGTTATGTTTGAAATTAAATAAAACACATATTTATATAAGAATTATATATTTTTATTATTATCTAAAAAAAAAAAAAATGAGCATTTATCTTTGAATCCGAACCATATCCATATAATATCCATGATTAATATTGTTTTCTATGTGATATTTTACTTGAAGAAGGCATTATTTTAATCAGTACCTATCTGATATGTCCGTGTTTTTTTTTTTTTTTGACAATTTATTTGATTTTCGCATTGTTTGAATAATTTGTTCATTATACAAAAAATAAAATTATTAAAATATTAATCTAACTGAAATTTGTGTAATTATCTGGAGGTTATTTTAAAGTCGTAGGTATATTTGCACAATAATGATATAATAATATAATTGTTGTATGGTCGGTCTCTATACCTATAGTGAATCGAAAATTCCGTGGCGGGAGAAAGTGAGGAAACAATGACGACAAACAGAATTAAACATTTACTAACATATATAATTATTATTTTAATCACGATGACCTTAGACTTCATATATATATATATATAATATTATTATTACTATTACTATATTTAAAATGACAACAATAAAATTTTTTTTTATTATTATTATTCTTTGACAATATTATATTCTAACGAATCAAAAACCTTTTTGAATGTTAAAATACAGATACAGGGTGTCGCACAAAGACTTAACCTTGCGTTGGCATTTAATAATGATGTAAACAATGTTAATAGCCTTTTTGGAAAATTGTATAAAAAAATGATTTTCAAAAATGACGTAATCCAAATAATTCTTATAAAATATTCGTTTTTTTCTTCAGGCCCTTCGCCGCGACTATTACTTTACTTCATCTGTCTGTATCAGTTGTTTATTCTCAACAAGTTTAGGTCTTTGAGTACTATGTTTAATGCCTATTCAGCCCCTAGTGGTCTTTGGGTTCCATTTTATTACTTCTAGGAATTCGGATTAAGTGTTCTTATACCTATCGGCGTATGTCTAGCTCATCCTTTTGCTTTTCTATATTGCCACTATATATCTTCTTCTCCCTAGATATATTTTAGATCTTGGTTTTTCCTTCTATCATATGCATTATGTTTTAGTATTCTGATGTTCCTTTGGTACGAATATTTGACGAAGGACTTTTTCCGCAGGATTTACCAAACATTGTACTTCTGAATAATATTATACGTGAAGATTTCGTAGCTTGAAGTTATTATTAATGTTCAATTTCAGGCGAAATGTCAGTGATGTATCTATTTACACGTGTAAGATTCAACTGGAACGAAGTAAATTACAGTATGTTCTCTACGTACTCTATGATCACAAATCTTGTAGGTTCGTAAAAATATACGTATCGGAGAAAGCGCTTTTCCGGGTCTAATATTATAGTAAACTATAAATACTATTGTATTGATAATATGCATTTTACAGGTACGATGTTTTCAGTCGGCGTTTTTAGTCACATGTTACAAATTGATGATGCCTTAATCGGAGTGATGTCATGTATGAGTAAAATACTAGCCGGATTCGTTTACGCGTTCGCTACCACCGATTTTGTGTTTTACTTGGGTCAGTATTTTCGTATATTATAGTTAGTTTGCAGGGATATTAAAAAAACAAAAATACGGACATCCTTCGCACGTAGGTGCAGCTCCTTTTGTAGGTGGGAAGTTGGGAAGGTAGGATACAGACGGGAATTTAATGTATATATGTAAGCAACGATAAACCATTGCTAACCATTGCAAACGAAAAAACGATTTTGAGAGGAGTCCAGTTAAAAGTTTTGCTTTGTCAGCAATATATACATATTATGCCATATAATGGTAAAATTATTATCACATTTAGCGTTTCCATGACAACAATGATTACTTAAAAAATATTTAAAATAACAAAAACTTAATAATAACAAATAATAAATAAAAAAAGGTTGCCAATTATAACCTAATTTTTAATCTTTCAATTTTTTTTTAACCTAAAGAACCAGGTTTTTCTCATTATCTCGAAATTAATTAGAATTATTTCAAAAAATGACTACTCTAAAGTATCACCCAGTGGACATTTCTTTTCAGAAAAGATACTATACTTGGAAATCGGAATAAGGTTTTTTGACAGAAAAAGTGTTCACATAAAAAAAAAACAAAAACTATATTTCCGTAGTGATTTTTTTACTATTTCGATGGTAATGATGATGTTTTTTTATAGATATGATAGATATGCTGCACACAATATAACAGTGAATTTTTATCCTACATGTGTAATTTTAATTAAACAATAATTGGAAAACCAAACTAAAATGTTTTCTAATTACCTAATATTAAAAAAAAAACAAAATAAAATAGTAAAATAAAAATTATATTTACTCGTATACTCTTACAGCACCACTTGTGGACATAGTAAACGGCACATCGTTTATTGCTATGAGATCGATTATTTCCAAACTTGTCCCCCCAGACGAATTAGGTAACTACGCAGTTTTTTCTTTCTATAAATTGTGTTGTTTTTATCAGGCAGTTGTTAAAATCATGTTTCAGGCAAAGTTAATTCTCTGTTCGGCGTTTGTGAAGCGTTGGTACCACTGATTTATGGGCCAATGTACAGCGCCGTGTACAAGGCAACACTAAAAACGGTCCCAGGAGCGTTCTTCTTACTCGGAGGTGCGTTAACTGCACCCGCGGCTCTCATATTTCTGTAAGTTTTATAGGACCGATAATATGTATAATTATGTTTTTGACTAAAATAATAAAAATAATTATTGATTAAATGTTTAACAGATGGATGTACAGAGAACATAAAAAAGAAGAGCGGGAAAAACAAGCAGCCGCGGCGAGGGACGAAGAAAAAAAGAAATCGGGCGCATTAGAAAAGAAGATCAGCAGTTTGGACTTTAGATTGTCGACACACGATTTCGATTTGAAAACCATATTGGATAGAAGGACACAAACGCACAGGGGTTCGGGACACTTTTCGAGTCTAGGATTAGACAACATGGCATTTCAAATGGAAGAGGGATCCGCGAGCAAAGGCAAATAATAAAGACAATTCTATATGGATAACGCTTCCCCGCGAAAAGGTCTTTCGAAAGAGTTTATTTTTTTATTCCTATAATGTCATATTAAGACACAACCATAGATACATTAAACAACTAGATAGCCGACTATGAATAAATTTGACACTTGGCAGCCATGTATCAAGAGAGCAAATTATATTGATTAACCTATGAAGTATTTGTTTGTGTTACGAATTATGTTAAATGTATGTGATAAAATGAAAAATATTTAAAATTATTATCAAAATGTTTCTATCATGGCTAATTAACTAGGTGCAATGCTTGGAATTCTTAGTCGGTGGTATGATTGCGACTTTGTGATTCTCAGGCGTCATGGCCGTCACTGGCAGTGATTTTATGTATAGGCACCTAGCACAGAAATCCGGTGATATAAATCACTGCCAGCTGAGTTTTATTTTCATGAAATTTAAATAGGGTTAGATAAATACGCATGCGCAATTCACAAGTGAAATACATCTCAGTTCCATCAACCTAGTTATTTAACCATGGTTACAATATCATCACATAATATTCGTGTCTCAAGAAAATATTTTATGGGTTAATTAATAAAATTTGCCATCTTAGTATATGGCTGTTGATTTCATACATCTCAACCAATTACGGAACTGTACAATACAGTCAGCTATCTAATTGTTTTATATACCTAAGGACACAAACTTTATATAATAATAACTGTACGCGTATATTATTTGTACCTATATAAGTTAAGACGTCCGTAAAAATGTAATATAGTACCTACCTATATACGTATCGCTCGATTTCGAGATGAATATTTAAGTCGGAGTGAATATTTTGTTTTTATGTCTGTATATTATATATATATATATATATGTATTTTTTTTTTTTGTTTATATTTTAAGTTAAACGAAATGTATTAATTGGTTTCTCGTCGTGTGGAAAAAATATGTTCATCTGCGGAACAATGTTTTAGAAACCAATCACTTCCAAGTTCCAGTTGTTGTGTTTTTGTACGACTCTAATCACAACGTCAATCCGAGCAACGTTTTTCTGAAAGTTTAAACGATTTCGGAGTCTATATATTATTTCGAGCAATGATGTTTAATAATATTTCGTTATACTATCTGACATTTAAATATTTTTATTGTATTCTTATGCGTACAAAACTGATCTGAACTATTTTTAAATCAAACATCACGGAGAGATTTTTTTTTCTTTCATACATAGATCTGATTAGCATTTAATGAGTTCAGTGCTATAGACTTACGCGTATACCAATTTTCAGACAATGCTCCTGGCTGGGATTGGAAGAAGGGTGAGAGAATATGAGTACACTGACTGTATCGAGCTTTAAAATTATGTTATGCGTATATTACATTGAAAATTCCGAAACGTTAAAAAAAAAAGAAAGATTTTTCTATTTATACCGATTGGTCAATATCGACAGGTTATCAGGCACGACAAAAAAATACGACGTTTATAACAGCACCTCTTATGCTCTTAGGACATAATTTTTTTAAAGCCAAATCTCCTATATTTGTAAATGTCTATAATATATACATATTATTCACCTATACATATTTGTAATATTATTATATATTAACGTTTTACCAGCACGATTTACCTACACTAAATAATATTTTACGTATACGAATTTGATCGGTTTTTGCGACATAATGTAGTTTTTATGAAAATTAATAGGTAAAATTTTTATTTTATTTTTTTTTTTTAAATATTCAATAACACTATTATAAATCATGTCTACGGATATGTTTTGAATGTTATTGTTGTATAATAGAATTTCGAACCGTAAAGAACTCCATTTAGATACCCTTCTTATATACGGTAATAATAATCGTAAAACTATAAATATTATATAAACATTTATTTTTATTTGTTTTGTTTTTAAATATTGTATTTTTATGTAAAATAAAATTCTGTAAACGATAATATCGAAATCAAAATTTTAAATGATTTTCAAATGTTGAGTCAACTATGGAATACGACGACAACGGCGGAGAAAAATTATTTAAGAAAAATGTGAGTTCATTACACTTTTTGTACAGGATTGTGTTTGTGACAACCTAACCTAACCTAACGGAATGGCATGCACAGGGTAGAGGGTTAAAGTTATATTCCTTCGAATTAGCTTAAAAATACAACAACTATATTATAATATGAAATATACATTATACGTATATGTTTATTGTAATTCGATTTTGAAATTAAATGTATTTATTTCAGCTGATTCACAAGAAAACGTTTTATTATTGAATATAAAGTCGCTCTTAAATTCTCGCTGTCGAGTTAGACATAGAAGATGTTTCTATGATTTGTTCATGATTATTTTCATTACATCCTCTATGCTTTTACAAAATACGAAGCTCTACAGAGTGATATTAGTATTCAGGAAAAATGTCAAGTCTCTATACGAGTATTTCTCATCGTGAATTACAACAGAAACAAAAAATCCAAATGAATAGAAAAAGTTTACCATCGTTTTTGCCTAAATATTTTTATTTTATCCACATTACAATGAAACTACTACAAGGAAAATCATAAAATGACATCGGCGTACCGACTAAATAAAATTTGCTACCTGAAACCACCCATAATATAATGTTGATGGTCGAAGCAACATTTATTATTGACACAGATTGACAAGATTACACAGTACAAAAAAAAAAAAAAAAATACATTAAAACACTCACATCATAGTAAAACCAATGCACTCCTCGCTTTACTCGTCGAAATCTAAAAGGTACACAATTTTTTGTTAGTGGTGTGTATTTATGGTTGTCTACAAACAAAACGGACCAATGACGATGTTTTCTACGAATTTTATTATTAGATTTGTTACGAAATAATATAGTTAAATCGTTACGTTATATTAAATGATAACTCGATAAATCGATTAATTTATCATTTTACTCGGTACCTAAGAATATAACTTTCGATACTAAGAATCTTGAAAAAAAAATTTTTTAAAAAACCATGCAAATAAAATATAATTATTACTTTTATAACTATCCGATTTCCAACACGACAATGCTAATACGTATTTAGATTTAAATACTTACTTATTATAGGTTTCAACGAAAATCCGTAAACAGAAAATCTCAATGAGTAATAACTATACTATTAACTATTATTATTATTAATTATTTGATTTATATAATTATCATAAAGTATATTTTAATATGTGATATAAATTCTATAACGTTACATACAACTGTAATCTGTATGTTATATTGTATATGACTTTTTTGTACAATTTTTCCACAGTTTTTTTTTATCGTTTTGTCCTGATAAAAAAAATGTGTTGTTTTAAAATATCGATTCAAATGATTGGTAGGTATGTGCAGTATAATAATACATCATATTACCTGTACTAAAAATATATGTTTCGTAAAATATCTTTGAATGTAATACTATATATTATATGCAATATTATATGTTATCAACACTACGGATTCTGTGATTCGAAAATTAAATTCCCTAGAAAATATAGTAAATAGGTATTTTAGTTTTTAGGTAATATTGTGAGCGATTGCAATTTATAATTTCATCGATTTTATTATTACATAAAACTGTAAAAATATCGCATCTTCACGTGAATCAATTTTTCTGTCATGATTTTTTCTTTCTTAATTTTCTTATTTTAGATTCTGAGTGGCGCAAAGAAGATTATGGTTTTACAAAGATGTTTATTTTTTTTTTTTGCTTGTAGACAATTTTTCTAATAAAAAACTTGCTCAGATTTCTACATGCAACACTTTTTTTCTGAAAGGAAATCGGCGTGGGGAAGTACTTTTTTCCGATTTCTCAAGAATTTTATCATCAAATTTGAAAAACCAAAAAAAAAAAAATATAAGAAATGTAGGTTTCAGTTAAAATATATTACGGCCTTCTTTTTTTCCCGTGCACAACTTTTCTACCAGCAATTTTGCTCCAACTTTTTACAATAGCAATGTTTCTAAAAGGAAATTTCACTGAGAAGGGACTTTAAAGAGGTAATTTTTCGATTTTTCTCAGAACTTTTCCCAGCAATGTGAAAAACCGGGAAAAACCATAGGAACCCGGGAAAAACTTAGGAAAAATGGGAAAATCGGTACAACATTGAATAAATATTATTAAAGGAAATATATAAAGCCTATTTAATTATTTCACTATAAAATGACACAATATATATTGTTGATAAATCATCACTATCAACTAAACTCCGCTCAGAATCATGTTTTCGTTTTTAATGGTTTATTGCTGCTTATAGGTGTACATTAAATTATAACAGTGGCTGAACTTATTCCCATTATCTTAGGACGTCGTTTTAAATTTAGACCCAGTTTTCTGACAATTTACCGGCATTTTGTTTCCTATCATTATAATACTCAACACTCAATACTTTATGTACTACACAAATATTATTACAACATGAAATGATAATCTAAAGTATAACTTTATAATATTGTCATTTTGATAAAATGTTTATTTATTTACATCGAATTTTCGCCAAAAATAGAAACTATTGCATTGTTTTGTATATCGTTAGTACCTATATAATATTTACATTTCATAAATAATGTCATAAGTAAGTGTCTGATTACAGAAAATAATATAAGAAATATCAAACAAAAAATACAATATACACATGCCTATACTATAAAACAATAACGATAATAATATAACGGGCTAAATGAAAATAATGAAAGTAAACCGTAGTACAGTCTTTAAGTAATTTTCACTGGAAAACAAAACAATGTTTTTGGGATAACCAATGATAACTAAATTACTTTATTGTAACGATGATCAAAAAAAAAAAAAATCATCGCTTAATTTTTCTCGGTTTTGCTCAATTGTTAACAAAACTACACAGAAAATCAAAAAAACAACTTTCTTATTCAACCAACTAGATTAAAAATGCAATAATGATTTCTTGTGTTTTTTTATTGGAGCAATATTTCTAATGGAAAACATCTTTACTAAAATGCAAAACCATAAAATCGAC